AGCGTTCGGCGCATCGCGAGGCGGGTCCTAGTATTTCTTGACTGAAAGGAAAAGAACTCTTCTTGGTCTCATTCTCAGACCTACTGGCACGGTGTAGCTCAGAAAATCATCACCGTAGCTTAAGTGATCAGCAAAATGCGTTTTGACACTTTCTGCGCCATGGTCCCTCGAGTGTGAAAAACTCTGTGTCCATCATCGCAGTCAACTGGACAATGCTAACTGTCACACTATTATGTCAATTATGTTATCTTAAGAGTCGAATTGCAGACTTCAAAACGGAAGCTCACGAACCCCAACTACTTTCAGACGCATGCAAATCCCCATTTACAACACGTTTACGAACTACCTCAATACTTCCCTTTCACCCGACAATAAAGGCACACGGTGTAATGCGTGAAATGGGAAGGGAACTGAGAATAAAACGGTCGTGTGTAGTGGCGAGATTGTCACTGAAAAGCTCAATCAACATTTTGGTTTTTTGACAGTGATTTGTGGTTTGAGTGGGTGTCAATCAAGGTGCTTTCACGAGTGTCCATCAAATACCGCATTTGTCCTGTCAGAATGCCTTTTCTCCGCTTCAGTGGTCCCAGGAGCGCGGACAAGGTACAGAATTGATGGGGGAATTAGCTCCCCGGAGCCCGCATGTCACGGTGTTCGATTTGCGGCACATCGGATAACGACCGTTGCATTTTTGTGGTTGTGAAGCGAAGTTCAATGCATACCAAGCGCTACATGCACTCTCATTACCTTACACACTAGCATATCCTTCATAAACTAGCTTGATTGTATCCGTTGTTCAGAATGTTTGGAGAGTTTTGTCACATTTGGAATCCGGTTCATATTATTTTTACCCGATACTTTTTCGGGGTCAAAATAATATTGTTCCGGGTGAAAATGACCCGAAGATGATACAGACAAGAGTAATTTCGACCAGGTTAAGTGTCATTGCGACCCTGAAATGTATTGTGTCAAATATGACCCGATTTCTGGTCATATATGTCCCCGATTCCGGGTCAAATATGACCCCTATTCCGGGTCAAATATGTCCCCGATTTCGGGTAAAATATAACTCTAGATTGTTAAGAGTGCAGCTCACGCTCTGTAAACAACATGTATGATTAAAAAAGATAAGTCAACAAAGTAATCTACAAAAAACTTACTATTGAAGAAAAAGTTAGTATAGTATTACTGAGCTCGAGTTATGTTATGTTTATATACCATTACCAAAGTGTGAACTGATCAAGTACGGATCTTATAAGTTTACATTGGGTTTATATATACGCATGGTCTATGTGAATCGTTCAAGGTATAGAAAGTGGTCGACTTTTTATACAACTATGTCGTATTTTTCTTATATAAAATGAATAGATAAGTTTTTTTTTAAGTTTTGTCCATTCAATTAGATTTACAATAAAAAAATGAAATGATAATGGAGGATCATATGTCCTCACAAGCCAAGTTTTAAATTTGTTGCGAGTGTTATATAAGAGACAAAATTATACAGTGTCAGACAAACAAAGCAGGACAATGACGGACTGACAAACCCGCTGTTGCATTCTTAATAGGATTGGTAAAGTTTACACAATGCAAGCTTGTTCAATCCATAAGCTTTAAAGCTCACGAAGTTTTCGTGGAATTGCGTCCTCGTTAGCAAGCTTTTGCGATCGGTTCTGCGTTTGAAATTCCCTAAAATTAACGACAAAGGGTATAAACTGTCGGTCTCTTTTGTCGTTCTTATACATTGTGCATGCAGTGTGGTTAACTTCGCTAGATTAAAAGCATTTATATACGATTATTTGATTTTCATTCATGATGTTCATTTCCAATAATTACACAACTCAAAATCCAATGATCAAAACCCAACCTGTTAAACTCTCAGCTCAGTGGTTTTACACTTTTCGAGGAAACAGTGAAAAACCATGCGTTAATACCTTTGGATCACTAAACTAGATTTCGTCTATGGCACTCTTTATTTCCAACGATCAGTCAACTGACTGATCGTTAGAAAAATCAGGCTACATTGAGATTGTCTTAATGACAACAAGCCAGACGGAATTATTTCAAGGGGTGTTTAGTACCAGTATACGATCTTGAATCCAAGTAGGTATCTTGATGTCGTTTGGTTTTGGATAAATGAAAGTTATCATATATGCATTTGAATATGTGTTGAATGTTTCGGTACACCAATCGGACTAACCCTTGGCCATAAACATTAAGTTTAAACCATGGATAATTTTACCACTTCCATAGAATAAACTATGCCAAGAACCACAAAATCCTAATTCAATACAAATCTCAGGCGGCCAACACTGACAAATGCCTTCAGTCACTATACGCTTGAGTATGGCCTCGTGAAAAAAAGTATTAACGGTCTGAATGAAGGACGGATGTGCTGTTTGATCAGCTTAAAGGCTCTGTCGGTCGCAAACAACCCCGGGGAATCGTAGCTTTTCTTCCCAGCACCGTCACCCTTCTGACCCGCTACACAATGCGACCGCGGAAGCAGAAAAAAAAAATCCCCCAGGAATCAGCTAACGACCGATGGCGGATGAAAGGACTTGCGGAAAACCCGCTGATTTTGGGGAGGCATTTCTGTTCTTGTTTCTTCTTCTGCCCGCGGAAGGAAAGGTGAAAAGCGTGGCTTTGTAACGCCCCTTGGGTTGGGTTCTGGGTCTTTTTGTTGTTCGCGGTGTTCTGAAAACACCCGCCAAGTTCTTTCATGAAATTACACGGGGTTTAAGGTAACTTTTGAGCCGATGCCCCAGGGTAGTTTTTTTTCTCGAAAACAGGTGTTTTCCTTCTAATTGAACGGTGTACTCCCAGTTTGAAGAAGTGTTAAAAATAAGGGTTCGGAATAGAAGTCTCGGTATTGTTACTGAAGGAAATTTAAAAAGCGCATAAGGTAGACCGGATGTAGAGCATCACTAGCGGCACAATTGCTTAAGGGTGTATAGGATCATTTGCATTTATACCCCAATTCGCTCTGTTCACACTTCCGCCATGGGCATGCAGAGCCTCGATCTGGCAACTTTACACAATAAATATAGCTGGTTCAGTGATTCCCGCGTCGGGGTACGGTTCAGATCACTGAACCGGTTATTTTATTTTGTAAAGTTGCCAGATCGAGGCTCTACATGCCCGATGGCGGAGCGTGAAAAGATCGAATATAGTACATGTATTACCTACCAAAGTATTATCAAAAGTTTTATTTGGATTAAAGATCGTATACTGGTACTAGGCTAAACACCTCGCGAAATTATACCATCGGACGTGCTTAGAAGAAATCTAGAAATGTAGGTGAATTCCAGCGATCAGCCAATTGAAAGAGTGTATATCCCCTGAGCTGAGACTGCAACGCCTTTTGCAGAATATTCCATATGCATATGGAGAATATTCCATATACAATGTAATTTATGGAGGTGTTAGCTGGTTTAGGGTCAAGGATATGAACGCCAAAACTGCCTACAATCATTCTGCATCAATTAATTCATTCTCTTTCATTTGGCTTGATACACGTCGGTATGGATTCAGGGCGAGCCGAACGTTTAAGGGGAGTCAGGTTAATTGGCGTAGCGCTAGCGGTACTTTCCTCGCCTTCCACCGCTGTAACCCGGGTTCGAATCCCGCCTGGGTCAATATGTGGATTGGGTTTTCAGTCCCTACCTGATTCCGTGGGTTTTCCTCAGAATACTCTTCTGGGCTTTTCCTCCCACCTCTAAAACTGTAATTTCTTCACATTGTCTTCTCTTTACTGGGACCCATGGGAGATCAGTGGATTCCACTGAATGGGCTACCCAGTTCAAATAAGAAATAAATAAATAAAGTCCCCATGGAACCTCTAAAGGGGAAAAAAGGTTTATTTTGCTTTTCATGCATTTGTTCATTTCCAGTTCTTCAATGAAACCAATTGTTAAGTTTCTTTTCGGTGACCGCGTGTATCATCAAAGGCCAAGGTCTGGAATCAAGACTAGCAATGACCTTTGACCTGCCGTTGTCCGTCACAAGGGCTGGCCACCCAGAAGTGATAAATCGAGTCGTCATAACTTACGCGTTTGTTTGGTTCAATTCGAAAATTAGATTCATCTTTGTCAGACGTGAAGCCTATAGGGACCCTCTGTGAAATGAGATCACCGAGGTCAGAGTTCAGTGAGGGTACGGTGTGCCATAACAGACATGTCATATTGTATTTCTGGATCGACCTGAACCTGTCATGTGTTTTCAGTTTCAAATACATGAAACAACAGCCAAGTGGTATAATAATGGATACTTATAGATCAAAGCGCTTTACATTATTATTACTCCTGATCATGGGGCCATTGAAACGTTCCAAAGACAATCTCAGCTCCCTGGGGAGTATACAACTCGATGATTCCATTTCGACGCAACTTGGACAGTTTGAATCAATGATCACAGTAAGCGTCTCTACCCTCACAGGTACCCAAGTACTTTGGAGTGGAGAGAAGCAATGAGTGACAAAGTGCCTTGCCCAAGGGCACATGCACCACTCAAAGGCTGGTCTCGAACCCATAACCTGCAGAAAGAATTACCCTTAGACCATGAGTTCAATGCTACTTCTCAAACTGAACTTTCCACAGACGATTTTGACGGTTTTTTCCCCGTCACTAGTATACAACTTAATTGGAACTGATCTGATTGGCATGTCTGCATTGCAATTTAAGAGCCTTTTTGAGATTTGTGGTTTTTTTTGGCGTATTTGATTTGGGTATGAGCTTTGGATATTAAAAGAAACCGACACATTAACATCTCCAAATTGCGCTCTCCTATAGACATTATGTGTAGCGGCCATCTTATACGGCATCTTGCAATATCTTGCAATATTTTAATTCAGTAGCAATGGCTGTACAAAAGATTCACTCGTGCACAGGCATTGCCCGCTAAGATGGCTGCTACTTATGAGTCCACATTATTTCGTAAAGGTTCATATTCAAAGAGTTCCATGTTTCCCTTTTATCCAAGTATTTCACCTCTCTTACCAACAGGTTGCACTGTCCAGAGCAAGCCGAACCGAGGTCAAAAGAGCCGTCATCTGCGCATGCGCTGTTGTCGTGACAACCCTCATCCTTGTCGCTGGTACCCTGGGCGCCATTGCGCTGTGGTTGTCCTTCCACCACATGCCGCATGACGGTCATTTCGTGGGGTTGTTCAACGGCGACAGCGACAGCGCCAAGCCGTCCTCCCCAGGCGACAGAATCGACGACGGGGGGCTCTGGCCACTTGGGGGCGAAAGTCATGCTGACGTCACGGAGTCAATCACCGAGGTGCCTGAGGCGGCCACGGGTGCGGGCGACATCCTGATCGACGGAAACGACCGGAGCCCTGCCCAATCAGAAACGACGACGGTCAGGCCGCGCGTGAAGCAGACCCCGCCAACAGCGCCCCCTACCGGCGGCCATCACGACTCCTCCGAGTGGGACAGTTTCTCGGCGCCGTATTCGGTCTTGTCCGAGCAGGATCCGAGTGCGTCCGCAGACTCATACGACAGCTTGCCCAGCGCCAGCGACGTGTGGGATGAGGCGGGTTCGGGTAGTTACTTGGATGGGTCCGGCAGTTACACGGATCAGGATGACACGGATCAGGATCAGGATGACTCGGACTACGCGGAGATTCCGTACAGATCATCAGGCACGTCAGGTGGGATGACGTCGTGGCTCGGATCGTCCTCCTCCTCCTTCCCCGGGGAATCCCACGGTTCCGCTTACGACTTTGGGACATCTGACACGAGGAGTGATCCGGACTGGGAGAGGAACGATCAAGAATCTGGGTCGGGATCTGGAGATGCAGAAACGAGTGGGGTGAGTATTTTTATTGTACGTTTTTAGATGCGGAAAGCAGGTCAATCTGAGCGTGGAGGCAAGACCGAAAACACGCTAATGTGTCCTTTAAAAATATTTAAATTTAAATATTACTTCACATTTTCCTCAATCCTTCGAAATGTTCCAACAAACACTGTTAATGGGTTGAGGCAGTGGCAATGACATTCAGAAGCAGTGCGGATGATATCGAGCATAATGCAGGGCTCATACATGACGGAAAATAATTATAAGGACTACAGTCTACGAACTCGACACAATGTATCCCCCAAAATCAACCCACACATTTTTTGGCCATCCAGCCTCAATCCTCCAAAATCCTTCAAAACCGCCTGGATGATTTTGGAGGATTGATGAAGGGTTAATGGTTAGGAAAATCTTTATATCATTCGCCTAACACGTTTCACGCGTTCTCTTTTTTTTTCTGTAGGACAACATTGTGTACGCCGTCGACACTCACACCATGGACGGGGACAATGCTCGTCCAGTGCTCCAAACTCCACAAGAATTCACGGTGGTCCGGTACCCTGTCCCGGTCTCGTATTACCACACGCTTTGCACATTGGTAAGTTCGCCTGTCGAGGGAAGGGAGCCTGACTGAGGTTTTCTGTAACAGTTGAATGTCAACGATAACAAAATAATGAGTTTGATAACATATTGACGCACTCAATCTACACTCCTAAGATGTGTAGGAAAAAGAAATAAGATGCCCTCCCCTATCCCCCCCTAAAAAAAACCCGATTGTCGTTCCAGTGCTCTACCAACTGAGCTATCCAGCCCCTATGTTGGTGGCTCGCATGTGTGGCATTTTTTGTTCAAGGGGCGCTAGTCAAAAGCCAGAAGTCTGTACATGTCATGTAGCTAGGTACGACGCCCATAGTCACGATGCTAGCAACATCTTCCCTCGAATATTGTGTGTTCCCCCTTTAGAATACCTGCACGTTGGGCTTCACGAAGGGAGAGGACAGGGTGGAGGTGATCGAGACGGACCTGCGGATGAAACCACAGAAGCTGACGGTCCTCAGGAAAAGCGGCGGCAGACTCTTCACGATCATACGAGACGAGGACCAGGTAAGACCGGACACCAGCTAAACTAGATTGGTTCCCGCTCGTACATTCTAAATCAGAGTACGGAGACACGGGGAACCAGCCTACAGCCGATTCCAACGATCAATTTGAAGAAGTAAAATAGTCGATCACAAATGGGCACAGGTGGATTCCAAACAGGGATCTTTCAACCCAAAACTCATAATTATCACTATCTAATAGGCTACTGTGGAAGCTTGACGACATCGTATCGTTATAACGCCTTAATGAAACTATACTAATGTTGCAACAATGGTGTTGACGTCATTGTTCTTTTCTCATGAATAAACATAATTTTCTAATCGAAGTTTTTGAATTTTTCATAAATTGCTTCACCCGTCCACGCAAAAGAAATCGCTGCCTCGTCAAGCTGGGTCCGAAAGTCTCAGTTGGTCGTAGTCTGTGAGCTGGTCGGTAGGTCTATTTTTCGATCAGTCGTTAGGTATAGGTGTCGACTGCGTAGGAAAATGCAACTGCACACCATTGGCTCGCGACGTGCTGTGGTCTTTATTATTAAACTTGATTCTGTTTCTGTCCCATAGGGCTACAGAGCTGTCTTGTTGTACGAGAGTGGGTTATGCCTTTTGACGAGACTTGAAAACACCGACAATTTGGTGAGTGTTGAACAACAAGATAACCATAACATTGGGTTTTTCCTGGCAATGACTTACAGGCGACGTTCCGCGAACAATCAACGGAGAGTCATATTTCAACCACTTATGCTCTTGTATGCGTAGTGTAGCTAGCAAGAGGGGAATATACGCCAATTATTAGTGAAGTACTGGTGAGTGAGTAGTAAAGTGAAAGTCTGTCACAAGCCAAATATGGTCCATCAGTTTCAGTGGCGTATATAAGTGAAAACTTGAGTGACTTCATGAAGTTGCCTCATGCTCTCTAAATTCCAAAGAGTGAAAATTCACTCCATTCGAGTGGAGATTCACTCGCACAGTCGGAAACTAGGGACTAGACGTTTTAGAGTGAAATTTCTTTAATCGTAAAATTTTCACTCGAGCCTCGACTGAAGTGGTTCATTTTTCAGACTATTTCAATCGAAATTGAGAGTGATTTTCACTCTAAATCGTCTAGTCCCTAATTTCACTCTTTAGAAAATAGAGAGTGATGACAGGGCTTTTATTAAATGACTGAGAATGTGATTTTCCCTGGACGGGATGCTAGCCCATCGTAGGTTACTTCCTAGCTAATGCCTGGGTTGGAAATTATCGGGTCCGATTTTCCTAGATTTGCAAGACAAGAACGGACTGTTGTTTTACCTTATCCCTGCTTTTGAACTGCAGGACATCCGCCACAACTCGGCTATGCCTATCGTCGAGAAGCTGCGGGTGACTCTCCCCGTGGAGCTACCGGAGCCACTGCTGAGCCAGATCGGCGGTCCCATCATGGAGACGTGCCGTGACCTCCCAGTCTTCTGGGCCCAACAGGTCGGCGACAGCGATGACGTCAGCTTCATCAACAGAATCCGACGCAGCAGCGCGCCCTCCCGAGGCGACCCCGACGACGAGGACGAGAACGGGATGACCCTAGGGGGCGGTATTCACTTTCAGTGTTGCTGGTGCGCGGACGAGGACGATCCGTGCCCGTGCGAGTGTGGGCGTTTCTAGTCGACGTATTCCAACTGCTGTCCTGCCTTTGTACATATTTTTAAAAATACTTGCATACTGTTTACTTTTGTCAATGTCATATAAATATATATTTTTAAAAGCAATAAGACGATCCTCTTTGTACGACTCAGGCCAGCCAGCTGTACATTATTGCCTTTTTTTTTGCTGCAGCGCGGTGTGTATCCTTTGTTGGCTCCGTGCACAAGTACCCCGTCAACGGTAAGAAAGGGAGAGTTGAAGAGACCATTAAACAGGACCTTCAGACTTTTATTGGCAACTAGTACGGAAGCTGTATAAAATGGTCATTCTATAAATGTGGGGTCCTAAAGTGTGACATTTTTAAATAGTGTCCGTGTTACACCTGACCTGTGTGTAATTTGACACGGAAATATCATTGAAATTGACTTCAAACTATTTTAAAATGTTTAGCAGGTACTTTGCATTACATAATCACTCTTAGGTAGAAGCATAAAGAATGTGTTCTAAATGTACACAATGTAATGTCAGATGTAACAGGGACACCAACGAAAATTTGCCCCCCAATTTTTGACTGACCCAAAACAATTTCTAAAAATATTTCATAATCAAAACAGTTAGATGGCCTGACGTTTCGTTCTTTCTTTTTGTCGTCCGTCGGTGAAAGACTAATTGTGTTGAAACATTAGGCCGTATAGTACTAGCTTGATATGATTTTCATACATGTACTTTTGTTCAATCCAATCGGTAAGCTATTTTCAGCATGTTTATTCACTTTTCAAAAACTATTTCAGGTTATTGTTTCGACGTATCATAGTAAACACTCGTGTGTCTTACTGTCAGTGATTCCACTATCATTTACTGCTTTCTTTAAATCGAAAGCAGGCGTTATACCCTTGTATATATTTCTTACATAACCAAAAAGTTACTGTTTAACGTCATTTCATTATATGTATTTTGTATTCAACGTATAATCACAATCGCCGTGAGAGTACAATACACAAACATTTATATACATGTATTACATTTTTGTATGGAATCAGCGATGGACCAGAACAATTTGTGTTAGCAGTCGACGTAAGAATTCAAATCAAAATTCACAGATTTATTTACAACATGCTTTAAAAAAGGAAAGAGAAAAATAGATATTTTGATTTCGACTTACACCGAGTTTCCTGTCTGAAATTACACCACATGGGGGCGCCCTTCAGGATATAGATGTGTATATATGTAGCCTCGGCTTACATCAAAACGGCACATTTTAAAAGCTTTTGTACTTTTCAGTGCTACTGAATGAATGCCCTTTTTTGGTTGGGATGTTCGAAAAATACCTCAAAATCTGCCCTTGTTTTCTCATGACAAACATAAGATGCTTCAATGGCCAATGCCCCCGGTTAAAAAGTGTGTGTGGGGGGGGGGGTATAAACCCCGCCCCCAACTCCCCTCCCCCAAAAAATCTTTCCCCAGGTTTTACACCATAAATTCAGCTTTGTTTTGTCCCAATTGAGTTTCCTCTGTAACCACAGATTTGCCTCCATCGCTGGCACCATTTCCTCCATGGATGTAGTCGAGTCAATCACAAGTCCCTGCAAGTCCAACGCAAAACCTCCAGTTGCAATTCAAAACACCACCTATTAAACATGAGCTTTGACGTATGACAAAGACATCCGTTTGTTATTGTTCATCTACTGTCAGGGTGACCGTAAGGTCATAGCCAAATTATGCTAAATGCACCTCAAAAATCTGTCAGATTTATCAAAAATCTGCCGAATTCCCCAGAATTACTCGAAATACACTAAAACACTTAAAATCACATGCAGATTGATAGTATTGCCTTAATTAAGGTTCAAATTGCATAATGAACATTCCAGTCACATAAAGATGTGAAATTGGTAAATTTTGGGCAAAATGCGGATCCTGCCACAACGAAGTCCGTTTCCGAGCGAACCTTGGCACCTAGACCAGCCAACCTGTCCCATTATGCAAGGGTTTGTTTGAAAGGATTGAAACTTTTTTAAATTAAACAAATATACACTTTTTTGTTCAAATTTGCTGTTTTTCTGTAAAAAAAAAACATTTTTGCAGAATTCTGCCAGAAATCTGCCAAAAAAAAATCCATTCTGTCAAATTTTCTGTCAAACTCGGTTTTTTATCAAAAATTCTGTCAAAGTTAGCCGAAAATCGGCTAAAACGGTCACCCTGTCTACTGTCTTGTGACTGGACTTGTGCATGGACTTGTGATTCACATTGATGGACATCTCTGATTTACCTCATTTTGAATTGAAAACTCCAGTTCAACTCGGAATCGTTGACTGGTTTGAACTTTTTTTTAACTAATTCAAAGCCACTTGTGCTAGTTAAAACCAGTTAAAACCACTCAAAACCAGTCGCCGTTTTCCAGTTAATCTGGCACCATGCAGTTGAAACCAGTTGAACTAGTTTCAACTGGATGTACTACATACAATGTATGTCAATGTTACATATTAAGCTGTTTTGTATAATACGCAAAAAAAAGGGAAAAACAATTATGCAGTGTTCCGATTGTTGTCTTATGTCTGTCGTTCTGGATTTTTAATTTTTTTTTTAGCCCCGTGTAATTATTTTACACCTTACAGCCAGTACGATTGGGACAAGACTAGTGATAGTTTCCCCAAACACAGGCGGGTCACAAGAGGGCGCCCTTTCGCCTTGATCGATGTTCTCAGATTTTGAACCAATGATATTAATACACGTCTGTAGTCCCAATCTCAACTAATCACAGCTGTTCAAATTGGAAGGTTTGTCCAAGTCCGTATTGTATGCGCATGCCTTGTGGGGGTAGGCCCTATGGTGGATACAATACCGGAGGGCGCTGTTTGGTTTAGACTTTACATTCCCATGCACAAATTTACCAAACGATATCCTTGTGCAAACGATCGTGTGCATACATGCACAACATTTATCCAGCAGAAAGGCTAATGCGTAGGTGGGGGAACGGTCAGTGGCGCGTATCCAGCTTTGGATGCCGGGGGGGGGGGGGGGGGGGGGGGGTTAACTGCACAAAATGTAGACAGGTTTTTTTTTTCTCCGGACACTTGGCCTTCATAAAATCAAAAAGCGGCCGGGTTGGGATGGGGGTGGTGGGGGCGGTGGGGTGGGGGGGGGGGGGGCTTAAGCTGGTACACTACCCATCTTCCAGATTGGGGGGGGGGGGTACCTGGTACCCATTTCAGATGGGGGCGCTCTTCAAAACTGACCATTATTATGCATAGTCCAAATTCAATGCCCATTTTCACGGCGCATTGTAATGGTTTTGGAGGGTTTTTTTGGGGGGGGATCGATGTCAGAACTCTCCAACAATTTTTTTGAAATAAATGCTGCAAACAAATGTGTACAACAAACAAAAAACGCGGGGGGGGGGGGTGCTGTAGTCAGAACGGAACAACTCTATTGAAACCAGGTTGTCAGAAAGTATAAGGCCTATATTAGCCGATTTCAGATATGGTAAAAATCATTTGGAGCGTACTGTTTAATTTGAGTAAAGTATTTTGAATTTACCCAAACCAAAAAAGCGCCCCCTATGGGTCTGCCATTCCTCAAATAGGCTAATAAACTCTTTAATAACTCTTAACGAGGAAGCATATTTAACAAATTAATACGCGGGGAAGAGAAAGTTGAAAATATTAATTCTAAACCTTTTAGGAAGATATCAGATTAATTGAAGTGCTTTGTAAAATTGGTTTGGTCACGCCTATACTGAAAGTGCAGATAGATTATTATCTACTGCTTTAATCACTAAAGGATATAAGGAACAAGACTTAGTATGGCGATTGGTAATGGTATACATGTACATTACTATAGACTTCCGGGTAAGAACAATTTGTGGAGTCACATGTCACGCGCGGCAAAGCCACACGAACAACATCCGCAACATTGCCAATTTAATGAAGGAACTTCCGCATTTGTCGGCTCCAGCAGATACGGCACATGACTTTCGAGGAAAGAAGTCTTTCACACTTTGGGGAAAATGTGCAACGTTGCCATATGTCTCCAGGATCTTAACTATACCTTTCTTTTTCACTTTTACTTCAATTAAAATGTCCTTGCTAGATTCTGACACTGTTGCGGCAATGTCACTCAAACATACATCACGGTACCCGGATTCCTAGAATTCTTGAACCGAAACTGTACAGCGAAAAACAAAATATCGCTCATGGACTTGTAGTTGCTCTTCGATTTGGTCTTCTGTGTTAGTCAACAAAATACAGACAAAAAAACGAACCACACACAGAACCAATAATTCTTGTGACTTTGTGCGCTATTATGACCTTAATTAGGGCAAATCCATATAATCCAATTCTCTTTGTACGTGTACGACCGACCCTATGATGTACAAGGTCGTGATTAGTTTGGTCTGTAATTGCTTTCTATTCATTAGATGTGACATGAGTGATGTGTCCCATTCACTTTTCCGTCAGCAGCTCTAAGTGTCCAACATGTACGTCCGAATTCACGGAATTGCCACTTAGATACAAAGAGTGCAATTTATCCTTAAAAACCCTGGGAGATACATGTAAAAGTTCTACAACATTGAGTACTTATAATAAAAACAATAACACCGGAGTCTTATAAAGCGCACGTATCTACCAACAATTAGGTACTCAAGGCGCTGGAAATTATGTCTATTATTATAGGCGGGTACATGAACTTTATGAGAAATATGAGACCCATTACAAGGTGCTGCGGCGCATAAAATTATTGCAGCAACTGCCAGAAACACTTTCTCTCTTTAACGTGCATTACACAACACACGAGACCTACGGCTTTACGTCCCATCCGAAGGACGAAGCAATAATGGTAAAGTGCCTTGCTCAAGAGCACAAGCACCATGTTCCCACGGTCAGGATTCGAACCCATGTACAACTTCACACGAGTCGAACACCGTAACCACTGGACCACAGCACCCCACAAATACTTCAAATAACATACAATGTACATACTGAAAACAACGATTTTCATCAGCCATTTAATAAGTTCAGCACATTGGGAATTATTTAACTTCAACATCTAATTCTGGTGAATGAGAAATACTTCAGGATCATTCTGTGTTAAACATGTTTCGAATGAATACTTAAGTATACTGCATACTAAAATATTTCTGTAATAGTTCAAAAGTACATTCCGATGACTAACTTATGTCGACTATTTGTCGTCTCTATATGGTACTAGAAAATTACGTTAATTGGTACATTTTGTATCGAAAAGTTAAACATTATCATATTGTAATTGAACTGTGGTGATATTTCAATAGGAAACTTTGTCAATAACCTTGAGCTTGGACCGTGCTTGCATTGTACATCATCATCAACATTATCGTTTTGTCCTCACTAAGCAATTACATTTGATACAAACATGAAGTATGTCTTAAAAGAGCATGTTCTTCTACTCATCTGAACAAAATAAAATAACTACTGAAATGGATCTATGCTATCAGAAGTTATGCATGTTTTACTAAAATAACCCATTTTTGTAGCTGTCCATGGAGTACCATTGGAAGCTACGGAGCACAGTGAGAATTACAGATTACACACAACTTGGCACAAGCATTCAAATACAAGTGAGATTTGATTAATTTAAATCACGACTGAAACATTATTTTTACTGTTTGTGTTTTGAATATGAGGACCATGACAACTCTTTTCTTTTCTCTTCTGAAAAATTAACGGCGATTTTTGTATGTGTTCCTTTGTTATGTTCCCATTCATCCACGGAGGTTTAAAAACGCACATGTTTCATTGTATTTAATGGGTATTCATCAGTTCGTAGATCGGTAAATGATCAGTGGTGGACAGCTGAATTCTGTGATCTTTTTACTAAAATAGACACACTTGAGAAATAGGATGCAAATTACGTCAAATGTTCACAGGTACTAGTCAAGAACATGTACTTTATTTTTATGAAATAATGCGAGCCATTTTTTTTTTTTTTTTACTATTTGTTTAATTCGGTCACTTTCTTTTTGACTCACCCTGTATACCTCTAATCGTTCACGAAAAAGGCATATAGACCGTATGCAGAGCGGCCATCTTAGATGGCATCTTCTGTTATTTTAATGGACCGATCCAGTAAGCACCGCCCCAAGGTATTCTGACCAATCACAGCCGTGATTTATGTCCGACGTGCGTGCACAAAAGTCCGACATGCGTGCACGCGCGTATGATGCGCGCAGCAGGAAAATGCAGCGTGGCATTGGAGAGGAGCACGTGTTAATTTGCCCACGTGCGCAGTGGGAGGGGCTTAGTGGATCGGTCCATTCAGTAACAGTGATTGCAGAAAAGGTTCACCCATGCATATCCCAGCAAAACAAAGACATTGCCCTCTAAGATGGCTGCTACGCATTTGATCTATAGCTCCATACAACCAAAATTAATTGAATTACCGTGTTACTCTGCGTACAAAGGTCCTTTATATAAATTCTATGATTATTCTACAAATATTTGCAACATAGGCTGAGATTAACGAAATCCAAAAGGTTATTAGTATAAAATTGAGATGTCACAGTCTTGCAAATAATATACTAAAAATAAATCAGTACTAAAAACTACATCAAACTGGCAAGAACATAAAACTCAGTAAAATGTCCTGATCAGCAGCAAGTACGATAACTAGAAAACCATTAAACTAGACTTTTAATCAAAATTTATAAAAGTCAGCCTCTAGATACTGGGATGTGTCCGCTCCGAACTTTCGAATAAAATACAAAAGAATAGAAAATTGCAGTTTTATACAGCTTAAAGGTTGCACACTAGCAGCGCATCGATATATGTATAACCAGACATATTGCTATATGCTCGAATGCAGGGCACTAGTACACACATGCACACTCATTTGTTTCATGATAATTTAAAAGGTAATGCATTGAACGCTCCATTAAAGCCACAAGTCTTATTGAAGTTTATGCATGTTGTACAGTACACTAGAGCTACTTATAATATTTGCAATATATTTGGCACCACAGAAGTCAATCATAATAAACTTACATATACATACATAATGAATACAATAACAGCTAGAACCTCAAATAGTCTTAGAAACAAAGCGGACAGAAGAGCGTTACAATGTAAATTTGCTCATTATATCTGTTGGCCAATAGTGTTAGCCCTATAAATATATGGTACATGTATAAACACCAGGAATGCAGACAATGAACTTTAATATTGGTAAATTACATTACAGCGCATTTTATACAGTCCGGACAGGAACATTGTGTTTGTGCTCTTGGGCAAGTCACTTTACTACAATTATTAATTGTAGGTGCCTCTGAAAGTGGAGATCAGATTGCGCTGATCTTGAGCTGCTGCAGAAAGTTTGCCTCATGGTCTGATGGGCAGGGGTAACAAATGTGAATTACTAGGAGTCGATGGTATAGAGCACCACATGCTGAACATTATTTGAATTATTAATAGTCGCAAAGTCTTTGCCAATGACATATGCACCAATGGATTTGAGCTCACAATCTACACAATAGACCTTTATCATGCTTCCACCATTTTAGTCATGTTCCCTGTATCCAATAATAATGATAATGTTTTTGTGCAAAAAGGAACCAGCCTATTTTTCCCTCCAGCCTCGCTTTGGCTACATTGATTTGAATGGGAAAAAAATCAAATGGCTGCAACATGATAATGGTCTATTTACTGACATCTAAAATCACGCTGAGGCGCTTCACACATCGTTAACATAAATTTCATGTTGATTTCAGTTTAAGATTCGGCCAAAACAAAAAAAGTTCTGCTTCCGATTACATGGCATTCGAAAAAAAGGGAATTTTTTTTTGGGGGGGGCCATATTTTTTGTGTACGATAATATGGATGCATCTGCATGTAGTCAAGGTTAAAAGGGAGAAATTGATGGTTTGGGGTGTTTTTCCTCATTTTTCCAATAAAAAAATTAGGGTAGGGGTTGTCAGAATAGGGTAGGTAGGGAAACCGGAAGCAGAGGTATTTTTTTTTATTGGCCTTAGGAATGATTTGCATTTTAGGCTATGACTATCAGGCAAGCAACTTTTTAACCTGGTGATTTCCTTGTTTTGTTTTTGTTTTGCCTCAGGAATGATTTGCAGTTTAGCCTATGACTATCAGGCATGCAACTTTTTAAACTGGTGATTTCCCTGTTTTTTTTTTTACTTCTAAGAATGCCATTACAAATTGAAAAACCACTGTACAAAGTCTTGTGCGGTTTGGAATTTCCTCGTTTTTTCTAAATTGGCAGTTGCATGTTTGGACTATCCAACTTTATAGTAAAACAACTGCCATACATGTAGTACTGTGATTGTTCACAATTACAGGTGTATGTAGCTATAACCCAAAAGGAATATCTTCCATCGAAAAAAAAATCAGAAATAAAAGCTTTCATACAAAATGGTTTGATACAAAATAATAAGCAAGGGTGTTTACAGTTTTAGTTTTAGGCCAAAAAAAAAAGTCTCCGGTTTCTGGTATGGAGCTTGCCCAAAAAAAGTGGTGCGGCAACGCGGCTTTTTTTGTTTCTACCTGACTTTTTTGCTTCAAATGTCGGCTGATGACTGCAAATGGTGCCCGACTAAACTTAGTACAAATAGGCCTATATGGGATTGGGAGTCCAGAGAGGCCACATAAAGCTTATTCTCGACAATAACTCCATCTAAAAACACGTTAAAAATGTGCAGCAGCAGGATTCCAGTCAAACCAGTGAGTTTGGCGGTTTTGAGACATCATCTTTTATTGAAAAAAAAACTTTTTCATTTTGCCGACGCGCATGGCTACAGCAACGCGCGCGCATACCAGAAACCGGAGACTTTTTTTTTTGGCCTTACATTTTCATTTTATTTAGCTTCCCACTACATATCCCCATACAAGTTTTTGTGTTCATGGTTTCAATATTTCAGCTGGAATGACTTGGCTCAGAACTACATCTGTGTATCTACATCAACCTCATCGTATGTATTCTCAGATGGAGGCGGAGTGTGCTTGGGAGGTGGTGGGGGTTTGTTTGGAGTGGTCTCCTTATGAGGTGTTGCATAAATGGGTTGCTTGGTCGGTGAATTCTCCTCAACCTTGTCATCCAATGAGGCTGCTTTTCCAAGTCGAGGCATTGTGTGGGCGACCCGTGGGGTATTGACAACCTCTTTGGGAGTCTCCTCAGATGGGGTGTGCTTGGGAGGTGCTGGAGGTTTGTTTGGGGTCGTCTCCCGATGCTGGGTTGATTCTCTTGGTGCTGCCTGAGGCTTGCTTGGCGACTTCCCCTCTTCTGAAGTGGTTGGCGTGCCTGGTCGAGGTGGCGCTGTGTGGGTCTTCGGCTGATGTGGAGGTGGCGGAGGGGGCCCACCTGGGGAATGTGAGGGTATGGGAGGTGTGTTGACGGATCTACCTCGCTTCATGGGAGGCGCCTGGGGGCGACTGGGCTCGCTGACACAGCTCAGGAAGCCGTCAACTGACTTGCGAAGCTTCTTCTTAGCCGGGTAGACCAATTCCTGGAGGAGGCTGATCTCTTTGGTGTCAAAGAGCAAGAGATACCTGGAGCTGGGAACAAGAGGATGTGCAGCCGGTGCATCATCGAAGACAACACCCTTGATGGAATGAAAGTCCTCAGTGTGTTCGCGATACAAAACGTAGTCTAGGAACGACAGGCCGTCAAGACGTTGGAACAGATTCCGTGGCATGGCTGGTGGCAGCTCATCAACTACCACATCCCCCTCGCCGTTGGTGGCCCTATCACCTTCTGCATGGCCCTGGTCATAATGCCCCCGGACCCACTTCTTGCATAGTTCCAGCATGGCGTTCCGTTGCACTGAGACAACACGGATGGGTTTCTCCGTTACGAACAGCCGAGCGCAACTGGTTTCATCACCAGAGGCATTGTTGGTCATCTTCGGCACCGGATCGTCGAATCGAGTTGAATACACGTGCGCGGCTATTCCATCCTGCCAATGACCAGAAAATGAATACAGCTGGGTGTTGGACTCCAGTGTGATGTACCTCAGGTCAATGGCTGTCAGGCTACACTTTCTGAGAACGTCTTTTGTGAGATCTGTCTTAAGGAACTGCCCAAATGTCCTGCTGGAATTAGCAGAGGAGACGGCATCGTAGATACTGGAAAGTTCTTTCACTCTGTTGGCAAACTTTTCAGCCATTGTGACAATTGTTTCTCGTCTACCTGCAGCAATGAAACCGAAGAAAGACTGGAAAAATTAGATCCACATCGGCCCAGATTAATGCTAAAAGCAATTTTTTTGTTTTAAGATTTCTGGATGCTATTTTTTACTTTAGTACTGCATCACTCAACTGTTAAAAAAATCCTCTGGTACCTACATGTACAATGTAGCTCTATTTCTACACATTCTCTGTTGTGGTTACACCACCAGACTACTGAAGGGTCAATTTTTGCAAAAAGTTGGACATGCACCAGTCTAGTTTTTAGCTAAAAATTTAAACCGCTTGGCTTCACTCTCGAGTGCTAAATGTTTAAAGAAAGGCAGTGGATTATGTGGATATATAGCTGGCACGGTTTTCTTTTATTAAAATTTAATGATACATGTATGCTGCCGGATAGACACTGAACATGCAGTTTTTACCATGACAAAATTTAGTCTGGTCTGTGCTAAAATAGTTTTTGTTACTTCGTATACATGAGATGGAAATCAGACCAGACTTAATTTTCTTTCAAGAAATCCTCCAGAGCCAAAAATCACAAAAAAGAACTGCAATACTTTGCTATAGTATTAAATGCTGGAGTCAATTTAAATAATAAAAGAATATCTTTATTTTTTTTTTTAATGAATTTTTTGTTTTTAAATGTTGATACAATGTTTTTAATAATGTAGGCCTACTTGTATATACCCGTCAAAGATATGCGCTGTACAATGTAGACGGCTAATAACCAATTTCTTCATTTATTTGTTTGTTTGTATATTTCTCTCAGCCAACAGCAAATAACTGCCAATTGCAGGCCAAGTAAAACATTAAACATATATTACAATTTACATTTATGATAAAATTACATTAAAAATTAAGAAAAAAAATTTATAGGCCTACAATGTACACTAAAAAAAAAAAAAAAAAAAAAGAGCAACTAAACACCAAAAAAGATAAAAAAAATTATAAAATACTTCTTTTACACACACACACATTTATTGACACTGCAGTTTAAGAAAAGCCCCCTTTAAAACTGAATTGAGGGAAAGAATGTTGCAACCTGATGCTGTTTTTTCTTCATATATCTCAAAGAAGGTCAGTCATTGCGAAAATGATGATAAAAAGACATGAATCTGGGACTGAAAAATGTCCAATTTTGTTAGGAAGTACTCAGAAAAATTTCTAGACTCTCAATCCATAGACTGATAGACTTTGTAGGGCCTACAAAACCGCTGAAGTAGCGTCAGGTTGCAACATTTTTTCAACACTCTTTCCAAAATGAGACTCACTCATTGCTCAATCGTCATGATCGTTAAATTCGTTTTTGATCCAGGAACGTTTGGGGAATTTTGTTGGCTAAAGGAAATAAAGAGTAAAGTTGGTCTCAGCTGGTTTTCCATTGGGGGGGGGGGGGGGTGCACTTAAGGTCCCAGTCTAAACCCCGGCCGCGCCCCGCCCGGTCACATACTTTACTGTACTATGACACTGTCAGTCACGACTGTATGACAAGGAGAAACTAAATTCACCGCCATTCACATCTTAAACCTACCTGATGGAAGCTGGAATCGACCGTTGTAGCGCCTAGGAGAATGTTGCTGCTCTGCTGTACGTTAACACTGCGAAAGAACGGACAAAACTGAAAGACTCGTCAAAATACTTTCCATCTATACTAGACTGAGCGGACTACCGTATGTTTACATATAACAGCAACACTCTCGCTAGTCATGTTGACCTCTGACCTTTATCAGTTCGATACTATCTAGGACTCGATGCGGATATTCGCTACACTGCAAAGAATCGATACCCAGCGTTTCATTACTATGTGCTCGCAAAGCTGTCGATACTTCTATTGAATCGGTAAAAAGAAGTAAAAGGAATCGATTTTCTTTCGAGGGAAAGCGAAAGTGGCGTACTTTGTACTGATTTTTTTTAGTTGGGGTTGCATTACGGAATAATTATAAGATTGAGTGCCATGCCCGAGACAAGAAAGCGCAACCAAAAGGTTTTACAACTACAGTTTGTTTGTAAAGCAATGCTCGAACCAACTGAGGGGAATTTAAAGCCTAGCAACCGTTTTTCTTCTTCGAGTGCTGTGGAAAGTTGGCCACGGAACCCGGAAGTACATGCATGCGCTCGGCGCTGACATGGCATATCGCGTATCGGGCTAGGCTCCGCAACGATTTACTGTCACATGCTCTAGTCACACGTCATGGAATGTCATTATTTCCCGGTGACGTATGTCATCATACATGCATGTGCCACAGTGACAATATATGCCTCTCGATTGGAAAGCAGTGATTTTCATTTTTTATTATTTTTTTTTCGGGTGCACCCCTCCCCCGCTGAAGGGGGAGGGGGACGGTGCTGTCTGCGATGAATATATGGCGCCCTCTATTTTGCGTCAGCGCCCAAGATCCTTTCCTTTGATAGCGATGCTGTTTAGTTTGGAGACAAGACCGGTATACAGTCTCGCGTTATTGGGTTGATTATGCCCGAAACAAAACTGATCAGGCCTAGAAAGTGAATGATAGAGTGAATCGGATCGAGTTCGATGATCGCGTCATTATCATGTCGAGGTCATTTTGTAATAAGGATACGATTTCAATACAGTTTTTAATTATTACAAGGATTTGTAAGACTATCTTGCTGACCTCGATTACAGTTGCATACCGGTATAATTTTTGTGTAGACATTTCGAGCATGGGTTGGCAGGCCTTAGGGCTACAGTGTTTTAGTACACTTTTGTTTACCCTGGCCGGTTCGGAATGTTATATTGTTCTTCACGGTAATGAACAGTTTTGGACATTTGCTCTCTGCGTGTACACGCTCAGTATATGTGCGCGTGCGTTGTTGAGAGACCAAAACAGGCATATCTTTAAAACCGGGCAACGTACAAATCTGGGGTGATCAGAACATGAAAGAAGACATCTTTAGCTTTCTATAGGAATGAAATTTGTCAATGACAGTGCTCGCGCGGCACACTGTAACGACCATTTTAGTTTGAAAAAAAAAACACATCCACGCTTTGTGCTCCTATTCAATAGTGCACATCACGAAGCGTAAACTAGTTTTTTAGCACGCATGTCCAAGTGTTTTTTACCACAGCGTCAAAACAAAAAGTTCGGCAACCTTGGGGTGACGTCATTCATAAAGTTTATAAAATTCTCTATACGCTGATATAAGAAGCATGCTATTTGGACAATAAATTCCCACGACCATTTTGGCTTAAAAAATATAGCCAGCCAGTGTTTTGATAAGTTAGCCCATGGTTAGCCACCCACACACGCGCGCGCGCGTATATACATTGTATATAAATGTGCGCGCCTGTTGTGTAGCGTGGGTGTTCTGAAGTGTGTGTATGCAGCGCCCCGCGTACTTGAGCTATGTCCGTTTGCCTATATAAACTTTTCATTATCCCTCTATCTCCTGTCCCCTGTCAAACTGTCCACCCTCCCTTCCCTCCCCCTCCCCGACCCATTCCTACTCGCATTCTTCAGTCTTGTCTGGTCTTACTTTTCAATTTCCAATTTTTGTTTAATTTTTAATTTTTATTTTCTTTGTCATTGTACTTTAGTTCATTTGTTGGCCGAATAAATAATAATAATACTACTACTAATAACAACAGGGGCGTATCCGGGGAGGGTGCCCCCCCCCCCTTGACCGGGGGAGGGGAGGGCTATTGAATCATCAACCGACATCTTTTCTTTCCTGTTATCTCTTGAGCTTATTCATTTGTCACTCAAGTATCATCAAAAGCTAGTTCGAACTTAACTCCATGCACATGCCTTATTTGTTGGGTATGTTGCCGCATGCATACTCGTTCTTGGGGGAAGACGGCAAGTTGGGGAATACCTCCAGAATTTACAGAATGGTACAAGTCAAGAACACAATAAGAACATAATGGCTTTGCATGGCAACAGACAGCTCAATTAGGATTATTGAAATGGAAAAATGGTGAAGAGGACGGTCCTGAAGCAGTGGAGCGACAGACAAAGTAGACAGACAAAGCATGCAACATTGAAAAGGGACGGGAAAAGTAGTGGACCCAACTACATGTACATGTAGAATTATACAGGTCGAGTGACCCTTTCACAGACGCATCATTAAGGTTCCGGCTAAATGCTTTCCGATACAGTTGGTAAATATTTTTTTTCTGAGTTCTCCTTTAATTTCATCCTGCATGCGAATGGCAGAACAGTTGAAAAGAACTTATAGTCCGTTACAAACTGTCGATTAACGTAAATAAAGGAACTCCGACTAATTCTGCGAGAACGCCAACGCCAAATCAATGAATATACAATTTCGGTGCATTTTAACATAACTGTTCTGTATTTCATCAAAGCACAGTATATTGGCTATTGACATATTACATGTACATTGATACAGATATTAAGAGTTTTATTGTTCAATCAACTTGTTCAATTAATTAAACTTCATGCTGAATTAACCTATACTTTGGTGAAACAAGTTGCTGTGTTTTCACATTATTTTTACGGTTAAACATGGACTGTTTTTGTGTCGGATCAATAAAACGATCCCAAAACCACAAAGAACAATTTTGGCGGGGAAATTACATTACTTTAAAGGGAACATTTTCTCACCGAAATTATTTTACAACAGGCCGATTCAGACCATACAGTTCAAGGGTCACGCCGAACCAAAAAGATGTACATGTACTGTCCATACACGTTTGCGACGTTTTCTTTAGTCTGCCATATTAAATAATATTGAAAGCAGTACGTATTTTTTTTGAGACTCCATTGTAGAAACGGGGCAAATGTTGCATCACGACGCCACTGCTTATATCATATTATTATTATCTCAATGAAGGTCGGTCATCACAAACAAGTGGAAAAGTATGAATCTGGGACTGAGAAACATTTCCAATTAGGTTAGAAAATACTCGGAAAATTCATACAACTCCAAACTGTGTATACACACAAGCAAAAAAAAAGTAGCGCCGGGTCACTATACATTCTTTCCATATAGAAATGAAAGCAACGAATAAAATTCATACTATAACGAACAATTATTTGTGATTAAACATACCAAATGTTTTTTAGCCTCGCTTAAAAAAAAAGGGAAAGTGAGGCGTGGCATGCAATCCAATAATAAAATAGTCTGGCACCATCCATTCAACAGTATATAATATAAAAACAAATCAGGGAACACGATCGAAAATGGCTCCCACGTGAATAAGGTATATTTAGGAGGATTTGGGGAAGACCTGGTTTTCGGCATCAGAAATAAAAACTTGAACTAAATTTCCATCAATTACAATATGGCCAGTCATCACACTGAGGCAAGGGACGTCACTGTACATTTAACCTTCCAGTTTGACAACAGTAATTCATAACAATGGCGTATTAAACATTCAAAGTATTCCGCATAATGAGTAAATATATACTGGAATGCACACTTGGGGAGTAGTGCCACAGCCAAATATTACGCATCATCACGTGTGGGTTGTGCAGGATTCCCGGACTTTTCCCACTACTTTTCCTGTTGAACAAATAACACAATTCCAGTATTTTCCGTGACTTTCCATGGAATTAAATTGCAGGATTTTCCAAGATGTGTTCACGAGTGCGCATCCAAACCCCGTCTTTTCCAATCTTCAGGGGAATTTGGCTGTGGGCACGACTCGGCCCAGTTCCATTTACGGGTTCCCTTGCTTACAGCGCCCTTTGGATAAGACGATAGGACAGGCTATTTAGTTAAAAGAAGTTATTTCTTTTTCATTCTTACGCCCCCCTTTTTTGTTAACTTGAAAGATTCTCAGAGTGGTTGTAATGTAACTTTTTACAGGTTAACTTTGAATTGAATTATTAGAAACTATATATTCAAAATTGAACATCAAATTTGATAATTACATTAACAGGAATACAACTCGTAACAAATTACTGTAAAAAATCCTTGGGTTTACATCCTTGCGTCATAATATCGCACTTTTTCTTCTCAATCAGAAATTCCTAAGAAACAAAAATTAAAAGGAATTATCAAGTAATGCATAGTTGCATACATGATCGTACTGTGGACTTTTGACATTTTCAAATTCAACCTGGCCAGGCAGCCTTAAAGGGATATAGGGTCATTTGCTTTTCTTGCATTCTGTTCGCTCCATATAAAATACTACTTAAAATTCCTTAAGGAATGTTCAAAAACTTAAACCTGTTGAAGTTTTAGCTGAGTGGATATCACAATCATCAATAACACTACATGTAGTTCGAAACGGTAGTCAATATTGACTGATAGTTGGAAATCACCTAAATTTCTTGATATCTTCTACGTTGTAAATGACAAGCAGATAGACCGACCAATTTCACTGGGTGCTAAGCAAATTCAATGGGTACTTTCGCCGCTTTGTGTAATGCCGGCAAGTTAAGCCATTGTGCCCTTGACGAAAGGCTACCCAAACACATGAACGCCACTTTGTGTGCTGCCGAAAAGCTGAGCCCACTTTTACGACAATATGGTACAAAGCGGAATGGAATAGGGATGATTCCCAAATACATGTACAGGGGGACTAAAAAAAAGCGAAACCCAAATGTCGGGACTATAGACTTATATCATGCTTCCACCATTTTACATGTACATGTAGTAATGTTCCCTGTATCCAATAACAGTACTGAATGATAATTGGATAAAAAGGAACCAGACTATTTTTCCCTCCAGCCTCGCTTTGGTCACATTGTTTTCAATGGGGAAAAATCAAATGGCTGTAACAAGATAATGGTCTATTGTTTCAGTGAAGTTCTGCATGTACCTGTAGCACTTTCAAAATATATAGGATATGAAAGCCCATTCCATATAAGCTTTCGTTTGTACAAGAATCATTCAAATCACTGATGTAGTTTTCAGGTAAGGGAATTTTAAACACAACCCACATTGTAATGTTCTGTCCACGGATCACAAGAAGATAAGTGTTCTTCCAGCAAAACGAAACCAAATCACACGGGTGTGTGTGAATTGTTTCGTTTTGCTGAAAGAAGGCACACCTTTTTTTTGTGATCCGTGGACAGAACTTTAAAACGGTAGTTGTGTTTAATATTCCGTAACTTGAAAACTACATGAGTGATCTGAATGCTTCTTGAATTAAAGAAAGCTTATAAATTGGGCTTTCCTATCCTAGATTTAAAAAAAAAGCTACATGCATTACTTCACACAATAGTCCCACATTTGGGTCTCGTTTCTTTTTTGACTCCCCCTGTATAGGTGCGCCACCAAGAGCTTGTCACAGAGTGTCCACTTTTCAAGTTTACAGTCGACAAAAACATGGCCGACTTGCCACGATTTGAACAAATGTCAGTAAACAACTTCAGGATATTTTTTTTCATAGATCGAGGCATACAATTCTTCCGCCTCATAAAAAAACACACCATATCTTGATATAAAAGACAAGAGAAGAAAAAGATAAATCTTATCATATGCATACACCTACTACTGACCGGACAAACTAACAATTTTAAATGGCCCGCGCCATGGAAAATTTGTCGACCGTTTCCCACAATGCACTGCAAAAAATTGACTCTCCGTGGTAGCCTCTTGGTGGCGCACTGTATTCCGAATCGCTCAAGTTGCAGCTATGCAAAAAGTACATGCTTGGCAAAATCAGGTTAAAGGGAATATACACCATTTGCTTTTGCTGTACTTTTCAGAAATGGATGGAATTGGGGGGTTGGAAATATATAGCAAATATAGTTACACTGACTTTTTTTAGGTTTTGGGTTCGAAAATGCTATAAAAACCAAGAAAAACGATCATTTTCCTGTAGTCTGGATCCCTGACTCCATATAAGAAGAAACAGAGCAGTTTACTTACATTGGGGAATTGTAAGGTCAGGGAACCAGTCTAGCTGGCTCGTACCCGTTCATAGGTTTGTAATCGATTGCAAACAAGTGCGATGGTCAATTGGGGCCAGTATTTGAAAAAAAAGCCAGTTGTTTCCAACGCTGATCGGCCGATCAGCGTTGGAAATTGATACAAAAATACCACTTTTCTTGAAAATGACAGTATACCAGGTGCCATGATTTTACAGGATTCTTTACACTGTCATTCACTAACAGTCCAGCAAGGTATTTCAAAATGATTTGGTAGTTTTATTTTTTGATGTTTGCAAATGTTGTATTTTCCCTTTAAGTATAGCATGCAGTTTATAAACAAGTAAATTTGCAGTTCATATAGCAAATTTCTGGTAACTGCCATCAAAGGAAATGTATTACATCTGTACATGTACATGTAAAGTAAACGAAGCAATGCAAAGATTCCTTTTCTTTTCCTCAGAGGTGCCCAAATTTGAACAAGTTGAATTGACCACGACTTGCATCAAACCATAATAACCCTCCAGGGTATTTTGGCCAGAAATCTGAACCCTGCTTAACACAACAACATGAAGTGCTGTCTAAATGACAAGCCTGCCCAGTATAGCAAAATCCATCAAGACACAAGTCTCACCAAAAAAAAATGCCTCAGCCTTCAGAGTCCGTGGTCACCGAATGCTGCAGGATACAACTGTGGATTTGTTCAATGGGACTATAGCTCTCATTTTTTCAGAATTGTTTGTTTATGCACTGGTGTTGATGGCTGAATGCACCAAAGTGCCCTAGACTTTTCAACCTGATGCACTGTGTTGCATCTGGCAGGATAATTAGCGCCTTGGATTTTTTGGGTCTTCATTTCCTGCTTTCTCCTTGTGGTTTTCTCCTTGTGGTCTTCTTTCCCTGTTTTTGTTTGGTCTTCATTCCCTGTGTTCTTCTTGTGGCTTTCTCCTGTCTTCTTTCCCCGTTTTGGGGGTCTTCATTCCCTGTTTTCTCCTTGTGGTTTTCTCCTTGTGGGCTTCTTTCCCTGTTTTGGGGGTCTTCATTCCCCGTTTTCTTTTTGTGGTTTTCTCCTGTCTTCTTTCCCCGTTTTGGGGGTCTTCATTCCCTGTTTTCTCCTTGTGGTTTTCTCCTTGTGGTCTTCCTTCCCTGTTTTGAGGGTCTTCATTTCCCGTTTTCTTTTTGTGGTTTTCTCCTTATGGTCTTCTTTCCCTGCTTGTTGCGTCTTCATTCCCTGTTTTCTTCTTGTGTTCTTCTTTCCCTCTTTGTGGACACCTTTAATGTGTCTATACAAAGTTCCTTTTTGGCGGAAAGCATCTCCACAAATCTTGCATTTGTATGGTTTGGCCCCTGTATGAATATGCTGGTGTGATTGCAGTGCAGCTGTGCTGTGGAATTTCTTAGGGCACAAGTCGCAGGCAAAGGGTCTTACGTTTGTGTGAGCCCTGTTTATGTGCACAGTAAGAATCCTCTGATATTTAAAGACCTTTTGACACACTGGACAGGAACGCCGTTTGTCTCGATGTGAACGCAGGTGTACGGCCAAGTAGTTGTTTTTAGGGTAGGACTTACCACAGAATGGACAGATGAACTCGTGGGTTTCGTGACAGCGCGTTTTTCTATGGCTCCGTAGAGCCTTGTGGGTTTTGTATGTTTTACCGCAGTGTTCACAGATAAACGGGCGCTTGTCAGAATGAATAACCTTGTGTTTTTTTAGGCTTACAGCTGAAGCGAAGATCTTCCCACACAAATCGCACATGAACTGCTCACCCGACCTGTGCTTCTTGTATTTGTGAGAAAGAAGACACTGAACAGTCTTGAATCTTGCACTACAGAATGTACAAGTCAGCTCTTCTTTGCCTGGATGTATCGCCCTGTGTTTGCGAAGAAAATACTGCATGCGGAAACCCTTGTTGCAAACAGTGCATACGTATAACTTGACTGGACCCGCTGGGTGCATCTGCTGCTTATGCGCATGAAGTCTCCAAATAGATTGGAAAGATGCTCGACACTGTTTACAAGAATGCAAACACTGCTTCGTGTGCATGTATTTTAGATGTTTGATCAAGGCGTTTCTGTTTCTGACTTCCATCTGGCATTTTTCACACTTCCTTGGTTCTCCACTTGGATTTGCGACCTGATCCTTCGGATGAAACATCAGCTTATGTCTATGCAGGTGTCTCGCGGTTTTCAAATGTTTCCCACAAGAACTGCAAAAGTTCAGCTCGTCACCTGCGGCATGAATTTCCTGGTGTCTTGTATAGCTTGACATCTTCAGAAAACTTCCGCCACAGGTCATGCATTGGAATCGCCTATTTCTCTTTCTTCGAAAGGCATCTTTCATTTCTTTCACTTTGCTTCTCCCCTTTTGAGCCCTCCGCTGTACTTCAGACTGCCAACTGCTGTGACGTTTGTAGAAGACGGCCCTGTGTGGTTGCCTTGATGGCAAGTGCTTTCCACCACACAGAGTACACTGTATGGCATTCATATGCCAGTGGGCATATTCATGCCGAACTAGACTTGACATCGTAGAGCATGTTTTGCCACACACCTTGCATGCTAACGCTTCACTACTTGTATGAACATCCAACTGATGTTGCCTTAGAAGTGTTAGGTTCTGAAACCATTCCTTGCACTGTGAACAGGTATAATGTCTGTCAACTTGGTGCTTCGAGCCTTCATGGTCTTTGAGTTTTACTAAGGACGAAAACTCCTCCTTGCACAAAATACACACGTAAACAAATGCTTCATCTTCCACTGCAATATCACCAGCAAACTTTGGATCTCTGCGCCGATGGAGTACCTTGTGCCTTTCCAAGTCGCAATTCTTGAGGAATCCTCGGTTGCAAAGACGGCATTGGAATCTTCTGAGGTTGGTGTGAGCCCATATATGGTGCTCTTTAAGATGGCTGTACACCCGGTAGGTTTTGTCACACAGATCACAAGTGAATGGTCTCCCTTCACCATGTGACTGCATTTTGTGTTTTTGGAGCAATGTCTTTGAAGAAAACTTTTCATCGCAGTGATTACATGCTACGCATTCAAAGTCACTCCGACTTGAAGTGGCTCTTTCTACAACATCCAAATGCCCCGTTTTCCGTTTGTGTTGATTCAAGTTGGACTTCCTTGGAAATCCCTTATCGCAAACCTGGCATTTGAATTTCCTGATGTCGCTATGAGACGTAATTTTGTGCTCCTCAAGATGGTTTTTGTAGAAGTACGCTTTGTAACACTGATCACACTTGAATTCCTTTTCGTCCGCATGTGACCACGTTTCGTGCTGCCTGAGCAATGTCTTTGATGGAAACTTCTCATTGCAGAGACAACATGTTAAGGAGCCTTCTGCTGTGTTCTGCTTTCCTTTCTTCCTTTGATTTGGCACTGTTACATTGTGGACCTTTTTGTTATGGTTTACAAATGAACTTCGATAAGTGAATGCCTTATCACAGTGGTCACATTGGAACGTTTTTTGCTTTGCGTGAACACGCTCATGTGCCAACAACCTTGACTCATGGATGAACACCTTTCCACAAAACCTGCAAATGTAATTTTGTCCTCCGGCCGATCTTGGTCGAGCGTTATCCACTACAGCCTTTTCAGTTGGAAGACCTGCCGAGTTTTCACTGATTGGTGATCTAACTTTGGAGCCACTGGCATCATCAATTGCTTTGGAAGTTTCTGGAACAGGTCCTACCTCGTCATCACTATCATCATCATCAGCTGCTGGTGGTTCATAATCACTGTCACTTCCGGCATCATCATCAGAACTACTAGCTGCACTTGTTTCTCTTGAAGCATCTGTGAAGGACACTGTTGGACCATCACCATCAAAAGGTGCATCAGTTGTTTGAGGTTCAGTCTCATTCTTGCTTGAATTATCTGTTTCATCGGAGCCAGCAACCATGGACAACAGTTCTTCAAGGTCTCCACATGGTTGTGCACTGCTTCCTGCTCCAGGTGCATCACCACCAACAGAAGCTCTTGGATCAGTCTCAGAAACCTTTGGCTTTATCATTACTCGATCAGTTGTGTGGGTTTGCTTGTGTTGCTTGAATTCAAACTTCCTTGTAAATTCTTGGTTGCAAACTGGGCATTTGAATTTTGTGACGTTTTTGTGGGTCCGAAGATGTTCTTTCAGGCGGTTGTTTGTCCGGTAGGTCTTCTCACACTGATTACATTGAAATAGTTTCTTCTCATGTGATAGTATTTTGTGTTGTTTGAGCAACGACGAAAACTCTTCATTGCAGAAACTAAACATTGCAGATACATCAACGGCATCCAGAGTTTCCTTCAACTGACTCTTCTCTTTACCGCTTTGAAGAGGCATCATCACTGTCTTTTCATTCGGAAGATGTGCTGATTGTTCACCGATCTGCAACCTTACTTCGGCGCCACTACCAGCATCAGTTCCTTGTGATGCATCTATCAATCTTACTTCTGAAGAATTTGGAGAATCTGCTACTATTGGGAAATCTTGCATCATCACTTCTAGACTTTTAGCATCTGCTGCCTTTGAAGTATCTGAAGCAAGCCCTACTTTATCATCACTATCATTAGCCTGTTTGGCTGCTGGAAGTTCAGTGTCGCTGTCATTTGGACTTGCTGCAGCCTTATTTGAACCAGTTGCTCCTGGAGTATCAGCAGCGGACACTATGGGACCACTACCAGCCACAGACGCATCAGTTGTATGAGGTTCAATGGCACCCCTGCTGGAACTCTCTGCACCCTTATCAGAGCCTGCAGCTGAACACAATGCCTTTGAAGTATCAGCAGAAGGCGTCATTAAACCATCACCACTCTCCGACTCATCACTTGAAAGAGGTTCAATGTCACTCCCGCTTGTACTCTCTGCAGCCTCATCAGAGCCAGCATCAGAGCACACTGCTCTTGAAGAATTGGCAAGAAACCTTATCTTTGTACCATCCTTGGCATCAGTTGCTCTGGAAGAAGTTGAAGTGTCTGGCGACCCGACTTCTGTTCCATGATCTGCATCAGATCCTCCTGATGACGCTTCTGAAAGGTTGTCACAATCAGTTACTCTTAAATCACTAGGCACCTTTACATCTGTACGATTCTCAGCATCAGCGGCTTTGAAAGTTTCAGGCATGTGCCCTGATTGGTTGACACCAGCTGTAGCCCCAGCAGTTGATTTTGGTCCGACATCACTCAGGTCTAAGTTAGCCCCAGTCTCTTCAGATGTAGTGGCTAAATGCGAAGATGATTCTTCACTGACCCCATATAGTTGCCTACAGGTACTGCTACTTGTCCCAGCCACATCATCACGCGTTTTTTTAGAAGACCCAGGATTGCTCCTTATCCTAATGCTGTGGGTCTGTAGATGTCGACTGAGCTGGGGTTTCCTAGCGAATCCTCGTTGGCAGATTGGACATGTTAACTTTCGAATCTTGTCGTGAGTCCAAAGTCGGTGCTCTTTTAGATGGGCTTTAGTCAGGTAGGTTTTGTCGCACTTATCACACTTAAATGGTCTTTCCTGCACATGGGCCTGCTTTTTGTGTTGTTTAAGCAATGAAAGTGACAGAAATTTCTCTGAACAGACATTACACTTGGGAATACGTGATTCGCTGCAAGTGGAATCCTTATCCATAGCCTTCTGATTTTGAATCAAATTGCTCTTCTTTTTCCTTCGAGGAAGAAATGACATCTTGTGGGTTCCTATTTGATGGCTTTGGAGTCCACTTCGGTGTGAAAATGCTCTAATGCAGAGGTCACATTCGAAGGGCTTTTCACGTGTATGAACACGCTCATGCTCTATTAGCCTCGCCCGGAAATTACAGACCTTGTTGCAGAACCTACAGTTGTACGTTTTCTCTCTGGCCATGTGTTGTTGAACTTCATCTCCAGCTGTCTTTTTGGACACAAGACCAGCATTGTTATTGATTGACAACTTGACGTCCTTACCACCATCAGAATCAGCTGCCACTGAAGTATCAGGCAATCCCACTCCTGAACCTTTGTCAGTGTCACCAACTGCTGAATCATCGCTTTGTGTAGACTCGCTGGGATTTTTTACATGACTCTGAAGTGAGCTTTTGAAGCCATGCATCTGCTCCCCGGAGTGAACACATTCGTGATCAGAGAGACTTGACTGATCAAAAAATGTTTTCTCACAAACAGTACATGCAAACGTTTCCTCTCCCCTGGACTCCTGCTCTGTTTCACTGACTGAGGAAATCCCTTTTGCTTTAGCTGCTAGTCTTGTAACTCTAACGCTGGAGGCACCACTTGCCTCAACAGCTGCCAAAACTGTTTTATGGGTCTTGACGTGTTTGCTTAAGTCAGATTTCATGCGGAAGTTTTTATCACAGTACTGGCACTTGAACTCTCTGAGGTTCGTATGGGCTCGCATGTGGTGCTCTTTGAGGTGGGCTTTAGTGCGATACATTTTATCACACTTATCACAACAATAAGGTCTGTCCTTCATGTGTGTCAACTTGTGCTGCTTGAGCAGGGCGACAGATGAAAACACCTCTTTGCAAACTCCACACTTGCTGACGCACTGCGAGTCTAAATTGACACTTGTGCTATCTCCTGCTGTGAGGGAAATTTGTTGACCACATATGCTGTGCCCTTCTGTAACTTGTCCAGTGGCTGCACCGCTTCCACCAGCAGCTGCTAAAGTCCCACGGTGAGTCTTGGCATGTTGGTTTAAGTCAGCTCTCCTGCAAAATTCTTTGTCACAATGCTGGCATTTAAATTCTCTGAGGTTTGTATGGGCTCGGATATGGTGCTCTTTTAGGTGGGCTTTAGTGCGATACATTTTATCACACTTATCACAACAATAAGGTCTGTCCTTCATGTGTGTCAACTTGTGCCTCTTGTACAGGTCGATAGATGGAAACACCTCCTTGCAAACTCCACAAATGCTAAAGCACTGTGAGTATATTTTGACAGTTGTGCTACTTTCTGCTGGGAGGGAACTTTGTTGACCACATTCGCCTTGCCCTTCTGTAACTTGTCCAGTGGCCGCACCACTTGCACCAGCAGCTGCCGAAATCCCATTATGGGTCTTCGCATGTTGCTTGAAGTCAGACTTCATGCGAAAGTTTTTATCACAGTACTGGCACTTGAACTGTCTGAGGTTCGTGTGGGCTCGCATGTGGTGCTCTTTGAGGTGGGCATTAGTGCGATACATTTTATCACACTTATTACAACAGTAAGGTCTGTCCTTCATGTGTGTCAACTTGTGCCTCTGGAGCAGGTCGATAGATGAAAACACCTCTTTGCAAACTCCACACTTGCTGACGCACTGTAAGTCTAAATTGACACTTGTGCTATCATCTGCTGGGAGAGAACTTTGTTGACTACATTCGCCTTGCCCTTCTGTAACTTGTCCAGTTGCTGTGCCACTTGCACCAGCAGCTGCCGAGATCTCCTCATGGGTCTTGGCATGCCTGTTCATGTCAGATCTCCTGCAGAACTCTTTGTCACAATGCTGGCACTTGAATTCTCTGAGGTTCATATGGGCTCGAATATGGTGCTCTTTGAGGTGGGCTTTAGTGTGAAACATGTTATCACACTTGTCACACCCATAAGGTCTGTCCTTGGTGTGTGTCAACTTGTGCTGCTTGAGCAGGGCTAGAGACGCGAACACCTTTTTACATCTACTTACTCCACACTTGATGACAGACACAGATTCCAAATTGGCACTGGCTTTACCTTGTGCTCCATGGGAACTTTGTTGACCACCTACACGTTTGCCTTGCCTTTTCTTCCCTGTTCCAGTGGCCTTTTGGATTTCACCCACAACAGGTTCATTGTTCTCGTGGACTAAAGACACATGAGGCAGGTTCTCATACATCTCCTTTGATGTACATGCAGCAGCCACAGAAGATGTAGTGGCTTCCGTCTCCCCAAACTTTTCCTGTATGCGAGGACATTCATGCTGTAACAGCTTTGTGTAGTGAAGGAAATCCTTTTGACAAAAAAAGCAAGTCAGTGCATTCTCGGTGTCTTCCGTCTGTTGAACGATGGAGCTCTCGCCCGCTTGTACAATCTCAGCTGGATTCTCTTCTTGGTGACTTAACTTGTGGTGGTCCAGATGAAGCTTCGTCTGGAAATCTTTCTTGCAGATATTACAGGTGAACAACTCAATCTTGTCAACGACAAGCTGCAACATGGGAGTGTTCGCACCCAAAATTTGGTTAGCAGACCTGACGGATGTGCTCTGTATCGAGGCCTGACTGACACCAGGGCTGTCATCCTGCTTTTCTGTAAAAGGTCCAGGACTGAAGACTTCCCTACAGGACATCTCAATGACGTCGTCATCCACGTCATCAAAAGTGTCATTTAGTCCAAAATCATTGTCACCATCTGACGATTGGGCATCTGCATCACTGTACACTTTTCTCAATTCACTGTGTCTTAAAGTCTCTTGCAATGTACTGAACGGCTGGGCACTGAGAACCACTCTGGGTACTCTCAAGTTCAATGTTCTCAGCAAATCTACCTCTCCACTGGTTTCATGCACTTCACTGTTCCTTACGTCATGCAGGAAACCTGGTATGGCACAGGCAGATTGTCCATGTGTACCTCTTTGTACATTTAACTGACTGTCTGATGACCTAGGTTCTTGCTGTTCCCACAAGGATACAGAAACTTCACCTATGCATGCGTCACTGGGGTTAACAGCTACAGGAGTGAGATGCCCAAAATTGGTGGCACTGTTTGATGGCTGTTCACCAAATGCTGAATTCTTTTTCTTTTTCGTCAGTGCAGCAGCCCTTTGAGTTTCCTGCATTAAAGTCTGTAATTCAGGCCGATGCGATGCTGGAAGACCATCATTGCTGACTGGGTAATTTATTACGGATGCACCGTCGGAATGTTTTGCTAATAATGCTCTGCCACTGTCTGGGTTCTTCTGACAGATCTGTTGGTGGCGTCGAAGACTTTTTGGCTTTGCAAAGTCTTCGCCACAGAAAGGACAAGAATGGGGCTTTCCATTTAAGTGATTCAACATGTGGGCTTTCAACTGGTTAGTGCTCTTGAAGGATTTCAGACAAACACCACAAAGGTAGGGTCTTTCCATGACGTGTTTGATCCGATGTCTCTGTAAGGTTTTCAGAGAAGGGAAAGTCTTTTGGCACTCATTGCATACAAAGGGATCAATGCAAACACTTTGCTTGTGCTGACTGAGGTCTGTTTCCGTCACAAAGGTCTCCTCACATGTATCACACATGAAAGGCCTTTCCTGGTGCATCTGCTTGTGTTGTCTCATCCGATAGTACGTTTCAAACGAATTACTGCAGATTCCACAGAGGTATTTATCCTTGTCGGATTTTGAGCCCGATGCCGATGACGGACGAGCAGATCGACCAATGTTTTTAGCTTTAGCATGGGTACGGAGGTGGAGATTAAGCCCTGAAAGCTTCTTGAAGCTTTTTTGACAGAACTTGCAAGTGTTCTTTCTGGTGGCTTTGTGAGATGACCGTTGATGTCTCTGAAGACTGGATGCTTTTTTGAAGGATCTACTGCAGCTGAGACATTTGTAAAGCTTCTGCACAGCTTTGTGGCTTTCTCTGTGTTTCTTCAATCCCATATGGGTTAGAAACCTCTTGTTGCACGTGCCACAGACGTGCTCTTCTTTCTTGTGCTCTTGGAGATGCTTCTGCAGTTTTTTGGCTCTGGCAAACATCTTCTTGCAAACGCTACACACGTGGGGTCGGTCCTTATGCGCTTGCCTGTGTTTTGCAATTGCATAATACGTTGGGAAAGAAATGCCACACTTACTGCAAGGAAAGGTTTTTCTATTCCCAGCATTACATGTATGAGTGGCCATGTGTCTGGCAAGACCGCTTTTCGCGGCGAAAGCCTTTCCACACTTCTTGCAATCAAAGGGCTTTTCATTAGTGTGGATCCGTTCATGCTCCAAATGGTGAGTTCGGCACTTGAAAGTTTTACAGCAGTAAGTGCACACGTAGCCCCTCTTGTGGGTCTTGCTTGAGTCTGAAGCATTGTTACTCTCCTGGCTCTTGGAGTGGCTGGCAGTTTGATGTTTCAAAAGTCTTCTTCGGGTCTTGAAAGCTTCACCACACGAGTCACAGCTGAACGGATTGTCCTCCATGTGTATCCGAATATGCTTCTCCAGGTCTGCTTTAGTGTGGAAGGCTTTGCCGCAGACTCTGCAGCTAACAGTATCCATGGCCAAATGAACTGATCTGTGACTGCGAAGTCTGCTTCGGAGAGAGAAAGTTTCACCACAGATGCCGCACTTGAATGGTGCTCCTCCAGAAAAAATCTGACTGTTACTGGTTGATTGGCTTGGCACAATGTTCAGAGCGGTGTCTGGGTCTTTGCTATGCGTCAGTTGGTGTTCTGCACAAGGAACTCCTGTTTGGGAGGAATTGTTGCAAACCACACAGGATGTTTGTTCCTCCTTGATCAGCAAGTTTTCATCAGAGTTTCCAGCTTCGAGGGGCACCTGCATAGACTCACTTATCTCCACTGACAGAGTTGTCTTAACTTCAGCTACAGTTGTCAGGTCCATCTTTGCTTCTCCGATGGGGATAGGGGCAGTCTCCTCTGCTGCATGACCAGTTGCCATGTTCCTGAAATTAAAAGTACAAATCAATTTTTAAAATTCAGGTTGTGTTGAAGAGCAGTAATCTAGATCCTTTTCATAGGGCCTTAGTACCTAGGCATTATTGTGCTGTACCTGAATACACCAATAAAAAGAGCTCACAGGCAATCACCTCAATCCCCCCCCCCCCTTTCCCCCTTCATTCCCCAAACAGGAAAATAAATTACAAATCACAGAAACCTCAAGATTCAGGGAAACAAATTTGTGACCATACCATCCTTTTTAAAAGTTCACTGCGCATAAAATGGGGGGGGGGGGGGGACACCATCTTCTTTTTAATTGGCTGTATAAAAAATGACAATCATGGGCACTATCGGACAATACATGGCATTCTTCATCCCGGCCCCTTTGCCAACAGGACAATTTTGCCAAAATAGTAATTAAATGGCAGATGTCATGACCCCCCCCCCCCCACATAAACACACACAGTTGTGTTTTACTATACTCTTGAGGACAATGTTTTGTGTTTCCCCTTGTCTCTATAATATAACACTCTCCCATGGAATAAGCACATACATGTACACTCACGATTGAGGACTGCTTTCAACAAAAGACAAGAACAACAAAGAATCTGTTTGTTCTCTTTGTCTGTCTGTCCTTGGGTCTGTCCTTTGTCTTTGTCTATCTGTCCCACCACCCCTCTAGCGACACCTGTGGATGTATAGGTCCACCTCCCCCTACAAACTCACCTTTTTGGCAATTTGTCCTGACAAACACGACTCCTAACACTCTTGCTTCCTAGACCCTCATGACGCTGTTTTGGCTGTGTGTATGGTGTACTGAAACAGCAAAAGAAATAGGTCTTACAAGTAACTTAACATGTACATTTAACTAAAGTTGTTTTAACATAAAAACCTGTTCCTCCTTCATGCAAAAGCAAGAGCAGAGAAAATTTATGACATCAACAATTGAGGCTTCAATGTGACGTTCGACGTTACCCTAACGAATTCACTTTGAACTACCCGGTACTATGAAATCCAGTGCATTTGACCATTTTATTGGTTGAACGTTCACAATTTGCACGTAGGCATGCGTACTATTACCGGTGTATTTCATGGTCATCAATTCAAAACGCAACCCCACAGCTGCATCACGCAGAACGTGCGATGCACGCCAATGCCCACAATAGGAGTTGTTTACGACTTATTCGCAAGCTGGACACTCCATTACTATATACCTAGAGGGGTGTTTCGAAAAACATGAAGTGAAATTGTTGAACAAAATCGTTGGAATTTTTTTATTTAAGACAGGTTTTGACTTTTGGACCGAATAGTTTTGATTTTTTTACCAATTCTATTTATGAATGCGAATAAATATGTTTGGTTGGTATAAAACAATTCGTTTACGACTGGTTGGAGTCTGCATGCTGATAATTGCCCTCACCTTCGGCTTGGGAAACTATCAGCATCCAGACTGCAACCAGTCTTAAATGGAGTGTTTAAAACCTCCCAAGCAAACATGTATTCCCTTATTGAAATGCCTGAAATATCGCCAGGATGAACAGCAATACCTACATGTATCAAATAGTGCCCATGATAGCTGCAGCGCACCCTATAATACACGTGTACATGTACATGTACAGTCAAATCTTGTTAGTACAAACTGTGTTATTACATACAAAATTCTGGTTATAACAAACATAAAGCCTTAGTCCCGACTGTGCATTTATGTGCACAATGAATGGGACTGATGTTCCTCTTTATACAAAATTCTGATATAACAAACAATTTGGCTAGGTCCGAACGAGTTTGTATTAACGAGACTCAACTGTACATGAATGAAAATGGTGTCCAGCCCCCCCCCCCCCCCTCCCCCCATTCCCCGGGCACAAATACACCTGTCCTCTGTAAACCTACCTGTTGGCGAATTCTCTTGACAATCTCCTGACTGTCTTGCCCCCTTACGTGTCCATGTAGATTCTCAAACTTGGAAGAAGCAAACTCTAAAAATAAAGAATGGAAAGTTAGCCCAAATAAATTTAGTAAGATTTAGTGTTTGGTTATTTGAACATGTTTTAATTCAATCGGATATTTGACTAAACGAAATGCACAAATCAAGTTTAAATGCACCTGCCTGGTACATGTACATTGCGTGCAATGGTTGGGACACATGCCTGTGAGAAACTTCTTTACCTGATACAACGTGCCCTCTGGAGACGTGTGTACGGAACAAAAGATTGTATGTACCGGTACGTCTCCACAGGGCAATTATAGATAAATAAGTCTCCACAAGGTTTTCACGAAATAGATCTATGGATTTTACTCAAAAACCAGAAATTTCCAAGCTACATGTATGTTGATCTGTCGCGAATGGAAGAGTTTAGAAAAGGGACATTAAGTCAAAATTTCAGCCAAGGAAATTAATTCTGGTTAAAATAAGAGTATTTTTTAACTACACTTTCACACTCGAAAATTTTAGTACACGAGAACAAAGGAATGTCTCCACAAGGATACACATTCCAGTATGCATGCGTGTGCACTGAACAGTATGCGCTTAGTAAAATTATGTTTTGACAAGGTTGCCATACAAGGCAGTCTGCAGAGACGCCTTTGTCTACCGAGAAGCTCGACCCGTAAACATGCCATGGCAGTATCTATGATACCAATTGTCTCTACCATCTTCAAAACATTTAGAAGTCTTCACATTTGCTTCTGCAACTTTTTATGAGCTGAAATTGTCAAAGGGGCTGGTATGTGGTTATGATTTTTAGGGTCGATACAGTTGCTTGAATAAGGAAATTGTAAAAAATTAAATATTTTACCAAAAAATGTCAGACAAAGAACAGGTCCTCAGTATTTCATCAACAAAGTTTGAAGACTCAATTCACTTTTTAAAGGAGACTTTTCTTCCATATTTTGCACCTTTTATTTTTGAGGGAAGTCACATGTTTTCAAAATGAGGCTAAAGACTAGACTGGTACATGTCCAAACATGGTCCAACTGTTTGCAAAGACTGACCTCTTCATTCAGCATGTTCAGTGTCTTAGTCTCGAGGCTGAACTTGGAGAAATAAAATGTAGTACCAGACATGCCAGATGTTTCTTTTAAGTACAAAAACGTCCATCAAAACACAGACATTTCCCACAGACAGCTGCACAGTTTGCCCCTAAACTCCGTAGGGCCTACCTCATGACATACATGTACTCACGTAATATGCGCAGAACAAACGTCGCTCGATTCTGTCAGTCTTTTGGCCAAAATGATGAAAAATAAGTAAATAATGTGACGTCACTATTGAAGAAAAACAAGTCGCGCTTAATCAATGACTGTTTCATGTACTGATATGTGCCCCGCACCAAAAACCCGCAGTCAGACGGCGCGGGGCACATATGACTACATGAAACAGCTATGAGTAAGCGCAACTTGTTTTTCTTCAATAGTGACGTCACACACGCGCGCAATGAATTATGCATCAGTCATGTCAGTGAAATAGACTGTGCAACTCGGCAGACACATTTAATTGTGAGCGGTAAGTTCAGACTATTTTGTTCTTTTTTCAAAATTACCGGTTATTTGAAACAATTTGAGGGGTCTTATGGAATGTCATGAATGTGTGGATCTATCCAGGGTTACTGCCTTTCTCATTTGTATTTTCTGTATCAGTTTTTTTGGGCCTTTTGTCCTCGCGAGGGCATGCACAAAATGCATACCGTCATGACGACCGTGTAAGTGCCACCAAAGTATGGCAAATCGGTGGAGCGTTTGTATGGAGGGGTACCCGCAATTCAACGCTCCACTCAGTAGAGCTAGTACAGTCTGACAGTCGGCGTGGTGAAAGTGAAACATTTTCCATTTCGATAATTCCAAACTCAGTCATGACCATTTTGGTCCCAGTATTTCACATAAATATAATCTTGATATGCACAGGTAGCTGTAGGTAGGTTCAAAAATCCCTGAAGTGTCACACGAAATGGTGGAATTTACGAGACTTTTACTTACCGAACGGAGGTCACAAAACCTCTTTTTTCTCTGTCGTCGTTGGTCGTCGATTGAGGGCGCTTCAGTTACAGCGCGGTTTTAGTCCAGGCATGGTGCACTGAACCAATTCAAGCCCCAACAGTGTAGGCCTAAAAATAAAATCAACAAAGTTCAGGGCCAAATAGCTGCATGCAAGCCGACATCACTGGGGTTTCTCAAACAAAAATGTAATTATTGTCTTATCCTTCATCTGCCTATTTCTTTTAAATTTTTGGTGGGTTAGCCAATTACATTTTTAAATATTCACAACAAAACATAATCACCTCCCGAATTCCCAAGACTGCATGCAGCCATTTTACAAATGGCATCCGTTCACTTTCTCAGGCAAATTTCCATTTTTAAACCGTGATTTTATCAAATCTGCTCTCAGGTGGAAGCCCAAAACCAGGGAGTTGATCCTCAGCTATATTTACACAACAACCCTTTTTTAAGCCAAACGGTATCCTTTTTTAAAAGAAATGGGGGGAGGGGGCACTTTTTATGTGCTAATCCGACAGCTGACGTAGAAATTCTCACTTTAATTAGTTCACTGCACGCTATAAGTTTCATGCAAAAGTGTACGCGTGAGATCTGATAGCATGAACTAATAACTTGGTCAGTTCTTGGGACGTGTTTTGGCTAAATATCCGACTTTTGCACTCTTCGACAAAATGTTGAAAGAGAGAAAATGTTGAGTATTTATCAATTGTTTTCTCCAATGAAAGTTTAGTAGCAGTAAAAAAAATTGAAACACGAGTTTTTGGGTTTATTTTTGGACTTAATTTTAAAACTCTGAACAAACGTTTTCATTTGGGATTGCTTGTACGCCCAAAAAGATACGCCTGAATTTGACAATACTAGAAAATATCAATACAAAATATTAAACTTATTTTGAGGATGAAACTTGAAAAACAGAACTAGCCTAGAAAGCAACTTATGATAGGCTTCCTATGGCTAATGAACTGAGCGGTGTGGTAACAATTCAAATTGATGATATAAAATGTACCCAGTCTGCAAACTGACAAGAAAGCATGCAGCGCTCAAGAAAATGCTGGAGGATTCCAAAAACACACCGAAATTGTGAGTTCTTGATACATGGAGGTCAAGGAAAACGGTCATAAATTACACAAAAATGATTTTTTGTTCAATTGATATTTCCTTTATGTAAATCTTTGCAGTGAGCTGAGTAGAGGTGGTGATATTGGCAAATGTTGAGCGAGGTGGTCACTGAAAGTAGGTGGGTCGCCTCATGTTTGAATGGGCAGGGGAAACACTGACCTAATGAATAAGGGCGTTTATGCTATGCATGTTCACAGAAAAATCATGTAAGTTAAAGTCTTGTGTCATCCCAATAAGCCTCTGTACTGATGACGTCACACTTTGTTTACGTGTGTGCTTTGTGCTCAGTGGACCGTTGGCCCCCACTGGCTCCATAGGAAAGTGCACATGTAAACAAATTAAGTGTGACGTCATCAGTACAGAGGCTTATTGTTAAACGGAAAGTGAACGAAGGTAAATCAAGCAATCATTGGTAAGTCTTCTTCTTCATTCATTCATGTTCATGATGACTTGATGAGTTGGGCCCAACTGTCCCTGTCGAGCATATAGTGTTGGAAAGAGATGGACCACTCAGACCAGTTTCTAACTCGATGGATGTTTTCAGGGTCATGTTGGGACGACCTTTTACGGGCATCAGGATTCCAGAAGAGGACTTCGATCCCTATAGCTGGCTCATTATAGATGCTCAAGCCAGTGGCGTAACTTGGGTTAAAATTCCGAAGGGGCACCTGGGGTGCACATTTAATTTTCCAAGGGTATATAATTATTGACGGGTATACTTATTTATTTTATATTTTTTTTAAGTTTAAACTGTTTTGCAATAATGGCAACGAGGTCTACTTCCCCAACCAATATATTGACAAGAAAACCCGTGACTTAACCCTAAAGGGGCCGGGTTATTTTGACCATCTCTCAGCCGGGGGGGGGGGGGGGGGGCGGATTCCGCCCCCCCCCCTAAGATCTCGGCCATCGAGTGACGAAAAATTTTGAAACTCAGCACATGCATAGAGCAACTCTTCCTAAACATGCCCAAGAAATTTCATGACTATAGGTCAAAGGGTTTTGGAATTATGGCTAATTAATTATTCATATGTATGAATGGCAATTCTGCTCGGTGTACACGACGTATATGCGAAAATTCAGTTTTCACGGCGCGTAGCGCCGGAAAATTTTTCGCTACGTGCCAACCCGTGGTCTGATTTTTATGTTTTTGGTATCAAAAGATGCGCAAAGCTCGAGGCTAAAAAGTCACAAGAGCTTGGGTCGCGAAAATTTTTTTTTAGAAGCTATCGCGGAAAATGTTGAGGGGGGGGGGGCGGATTCCGCCCCCCCGGCCCCTTTAGGGTTAAATATAGGATTATATTCGTTTTTACGCAGCGGGTCACAAGACAAGAGATTATCGTGCGTTTACCACTATCACAATGAAGTTTACTCAGTGACGTAGACAGTATACGCACTATCATATACACGCATCAAGTTTGGTTTCGCTCCGTACCCTTGAAAATACCGTACGTCGCATTTGACGTCTACAGGTAGCCGGCAGCGTTCTGTTGTTCAGAACTTCATGATTGTTTGCTTAACTCGATATAGCCCGTTCAAGGTTCAGGTCTTGTGGAACTCGACTTCACGTAGCCCTGAACTGTCGTTTTCCGTTTGCGTGTAGGCCCTGCAATAGACCCATAGTACCAGCACAGAATTTGCCGTTTGGGTTTACATGTAGGCCTATAGGCCTGGGCCTATTGTAGGGGTAAATCATAAGACATCGGATGTTTCAAAAGTATTTAATAAACCATGGACAACGACAACATGAGAAAAGGTAAGTCAAGTTTTTGTTTTCAAGATATTTTAGGCTTATATATGCAGTTTCTGACAAACGTAATGTCTACCCCTGGTCTATTCCGAGTGAGGTGTGTGAGCTCATAATTATTTTGTATAGTATTTTGCACATTTGGTGCACTTCACCATAGGCCTATATAGTTATACAATCTTCACTCCCTCTATTTCCCATTTTCGCGTGATATATCATATCCTGATGTCTTTTATTCCTCACATACGAAAACCCGTTCTCGGTTTTTACCAAACTCTTCCCGTAGGCTAAATAAAGTGTAAAATGCCTGCATCGGTATGAAATTATTCTGCTAAATGTTATAGGTAGGCCTAAATATTAATGTGCTCGCAGCAAACTATCAATCATGAAATAATGTGCGCGCACACAATGTCATGCTTCTAACTAGACTATACATTGACACAAAACGGGCAATTTTAAACAAATTACATTGCATGGGCCATTTAAACACAAGTTCACTTTCACTGACGTATATGTTCTAAGCATGCGTAAATGACTTTGCTATAGCCTGCAGAATACAAATATTAATTTGCATCCAAGCCACATTTTTCATTCTTCAGCAATTAAGCCCCAAACTTTATACCATCCTGCCAAAACATTAATTGGTTACCTTCTTCTTTCTTCTTAGATTTGCTTTCTAATGAGGTACATTACCCTAACGAAGACGACCCTCCTCCGCCATACAACGTAAGTGATATTAATTTTGTTTTAGTTTGCTACAATTTTTATAGCCAGAGGGGGAAGCCAAGGCATTGTGTTTTGCTTGACCAGAGATTAGATCTTTCTTATTTTTTACTGTTTTTCATGTTTCGAGTACTCTTTCCCATCGTGGCCGGCAAAGCACGCGTGCATTTGGACGAATCCACTCACTGTAGGAATGCAGATCAGGAAATAAATTCTTAGAAATTGGTGGAAATTACTAACATCACATATCAAATTAAAGCCCTCTTTGGTTTATCCGTTCCATTTTTGGGGTTAACCGACTTATTTTGTGTGATTTTCAATCCAAAGATGACCAACCCTATAAAAGCCGTATAAACTAGGATTTCGCCACTAATGGTGACGCCTCATCTTTCCTTCTATCATTTTTAAAGCCTTCAGTGGTAGGCCCCGGTCTAGCGCCCCCTGTCGACCCACATCTCTACCGGCCCCCGAGTCCTGGATTAGCGTCCTCTACGGGCTATCAGCAATACCCCCAGCAGCAATACCAACAGCAGCAATACCCCCAGCAGCAATACCCACACACTCAACAGGTATATAATGATATTGGTAATTGACAGCAAAAACCAAAATGACATCGCTGATGGCGAATATGGGATTCCAGTCCGAGGCGGCATTTTACAATAACCGTATAACAGCCACGCTTTGTGTACACGTGCGCCTATGGAAGCCTGGGGCCAATTTCAAGGCGCTGCTCAGCATAAAAAAATGCTTAGCACTAAAACTCTGACTTATAAAAGCAGGTTACCAGCCAAAACTCCACGTGATTTTCATGCTGTAGCAAACAACAGCTCAATACTAATCAGGTGCAATATACATCACATGGAGTTTTGGCTGGTAACCTGCTTGTATAAACTAGACTTTTTTTGTGCTAAGCAATTCTTTGTGCTGAGCAGCGCCATGAAATTGGCCGGTCTATTAGTATGGAGATCATTGGTTAAAACTTTATTACACCAATAAGGTTCGTACGTAATTTAATTAAGGTGCATGGGCGGGGCTTATGTCATGAATCCCGTGCCAGGGTCTACTTTATCCTTGAGACAATGAGAGGAGCTATAGAGGGAGCGTACTACTCGAAGACATGGGGGACAAGGTTGGGTTCAATTCCTGTTGAAACCATCTTTTGTTTCTTCGGTTCACCAGCCCGTCTCGACCTCGTACCCACAAGCCCCACAGGTTGTGCACCACGTGACCGGATCAGCCTGCCCATCTGAAGTGTTCGCGCGGGAGGAGTGTTTCGCTGAGTGCGTTCGCTTTTGGTGGTGTCGACCAATCGGCTGGCTTGCCAAGGGCGAACTGGCCAGGGTACGTATAGAGAATCAAAACAACCTCTTTCAGTCCATATAGTCGTACCGAACTGTTAGGAGTCTGAAACTTTAAATTACATGTTGTCATTCCGTCTTTAAGAATGGAAATGACTGAACCCGCAAATTAAGATCTTTTATCGACTGTTGCAGCAGTTTGCAACAGCTCGACTAGGATGTGTTCCCTTACGTCTGCTGACGTTTGTAAATGCTGGCTACGTACGTTTGCACACGCGAGTAGGATTGAATGTTCGCCCCAAAAGCCATTGGGGAACTTCAGCAATAAAAACGAACCGTCTTGAAACGTTTTCTAAAAATGGCCGACACACATACAAACCTTCCTCACTGATGAATGACTGTTACTGATTGGTCACTTTTCTCACTGACTGACTGTCACTTGTAAATAAGAGTATCTCACATTGGCGAACCTTAAAGCATTTAGCAATAACAACGGACCGTCTTCCTAGCTGGTCGTTTGCGGACGGTTTCTGAAATATGCCCAACACACTGACACACTTGTGAATTAAAATGGTGTATATCCATTTCACTGATGATTGTATGACTGTCACTATTGTGAATTAGACTGGTTACTATATCTCAACATCACTTGTGAATTAAACTGGTTGCCTCACTGACCGTCGTTCACCTGTGAATTAGACTGATTACCTATCTCACTGACTGACTGCATGCACGTCTGTTACTTGTAAATTAGACTGGTTATCTCACTGATCGACTGCCACTTGTGAAATACACTGGTTACCTATCTCACCGACTGACTGTCACTTGTGACCTAGACTGGTTACCAGTCTCACTGATGACTGTCACATGGTTATCAATCACCGTCACTTGTTGGTAACCTAGCTCATTTTATGACTTACTATGTCTCTTTGGAATTAGACTGTTTGTACATGTTGTTCTAATTTCACGACTAACACTTGTGAATTAGACTGGCTCCTATGTCACTGACTGACTGTCGCTATTTGTTTGTCATGCAGGCTAGGACTTTGTACTTGGCGGGTGATTACGTGGAGGCGCAAGCGGCAGCACGCTGCGCTAACGTCTGGAGCACAGTGGGCCTAGTCACTGGTTTGGTAGTGGTTGCCGTTGTGGCTGTGGCTATCTACTTGATCGTAGCCTTTGGCATCAATTAAAATATCATACTGCAGGTATCCTAGTGCCTGAAATAGACTGGTCTCGCCCCTAAATTGGAGTGACTGCGACATTGGAGGACCGGGAATCAGGCCATGCCTAAAACAGACCTTCATCTTTCGTTAATATACATTGAGCGCCATTAATGGTATGTGGAGCCAAAGTGGCATAAGTATACTTTAACCCTGGTTGGCAACATATTTCGAATTGCAAAAACTATATTCAACTCCCTCATTATGATATCGTTCGTTGTTTACATGCATTGATATATCAATCCAGTGATATGTTTGTACACATACATAACAATTTTTGCCATCGTTTGCCTTCCATAATTTGCAAATATTTGTGGGTGCAATGGAAAAAAAATGTGACAAACTAGCTGACGGATGGCATGTTCCATTCCACTGGGCTTCGCTTCGTGGAATGGAACGTTTCATCTGTCACCACATAAAGTTATTCTTACCATTGCACTCACAAACATTCATAATTGTAAAATAGCGCCCCCAACCCCATTCTTGGATCTTGGATAAACCTTGCTCATTACATATACTTTTAATTACGCTCTGTAATTAAAAGTAGCTCTGTAGGCGAATCCTCGCTAGTCGAAACAGCGCTGGAGACGGTGGCGGAAGGTGCGTGCTGTGGCCGAAAGCTTCTGAAGTAATGTAGGATCACCCCCGATGTCATTGCACACCTACTCGGTCGTTTGGCTCAACACACGATCGAGGAGATGTGCAACGACATCAGGGGTGATCCTGCATTCCTTTAGAAGCTTTCGGCGGCAGGACGCGCCGTCCGCCACCGTCTCCAGCAACGTATCGACATTCTGAAAGTGAGCATTTTTTTCGTATGGCGTTTAAATCTCGTCCTCGTGCACAAAGCTGAAAAACTGTATACATACGTCCCCCGTAGAAAAAAAAACTATTTTAAACAGAGAAATCACTGTAAATGACCAAGTGTTATTTGCATAATGTATTATCGAACAAGACGAGGTTTAAAAAACCTGAAGCAATTATGACAACATGCCAATATCGTATTGACGATGTAAATACAATGCTATATTTTGCAATATGTAAGAAAACAAGAGTGACGTATACTAACGATAATAAGTATTATTTACACCAATTTCAGATTAGTAAATAAAATTACACGACACTATGATTACCAACTGAACGCTTTAAATTTGTATTAACTACACTTTTACAGAGGGAGTCAGTTTTAGTTGTCGGTGACAATGAGTTCTTAATGATTATTATCAGTTAAAAAAAAATCGGTAGATACAGTAAAAGTAACTAATGTAACTATAATATTGTGGAACGAGATCAAACTGCCATCTTAAACAAGTACATAAAAAAGAGCTAAACTATAACAATTGGTGACTGTAATACGTATAACAGTTTGAATCGGATTTGTAAAATGTATTTATATTATATAATTATAATGATGACGAATTTTGTAATAAATCTTCTGGAAAACGCAAAGGCATAATACAGATTAAACCTTAAAAAATGGAAATAAAACAATGATAACGATTAATTAACCTGCCATGATTTTCCTGACTCATTTTTGATATGTTGTATTTTCTTCGGGGGGGGGGGGGGGGTGTTGGACCTTGTTTAACGCAAGCTGTGGCGCACCCAAGGAGGGGGGGGGGGGGGGGGCTTGGGGTGGGGCTCGGGGGGCTTGAGGCCCCACGAAGAGGTTGTCATTTTTTTTGCTATGGTCAATATTTTGTTTAGTCTAACAATTTGACCGTGGTGAAATGTATGTGGCCTAGATTCGAGTAGTATACTGGGGATGTCAATAACGCAATCAATGCAAAATAGTCCCTCCCCAAAAACTAATATATATATTTTCTGCGGCCAAAACGAACTTGACTTTTTTTTAAACTTCTTAAAAACATTTGAATAAAAACAATTGTGAGTCCTAATTTTTTTTCTTGAAAAGACTACATTTTGTTTGTTTGAGATGGGTATTGCCCCCGATGCCCCCTCTCCGTCCATGGACTGCCAATGTTCTGACCCATTTCAAACCGAAGAGAAATACCACAATTTTAAGCGCATACATTTTGTACTGAAATTTACATACGTGAGGCTTAATTTGTCATGAAAATGAATGTCAGAATGTTACTGGCCCGCTATAAAATTGTATTCAACATGAAAGATGGGTTTCCATTTTTTGGAAACTTTCCAATGCATTGGTAATTACATGTACAATAAACACACAAGAAGCACTACAATCACCAATACAATAATGAAGCCCCCAACCCTTCAAGTACCATTTAAATCATACTTTCAATACCATGTTTTACTTAAAGACAGACTAGTTAATATTCAATCACATATTCCAAATATATCTTCAGCAAATAGAACCTGAAATACTGAATAATTCCGTCTCCAGTAAGTTTTGACAAATGTGTCGCTTTTCTTTCTTAATTAATTATGAAGCAAAATGAGATGCTCCCATCATTTTGAAAGCTGAGAAAATGTCCAACTCAACAGCCGTTGAAACAAACAACACAATCGAGGTAAAGCTTACTGTAATATACAAAATGCTGAATTGACCATGCTTACGAAAATCATGTTTCAATCTTTGTTCTCGTCCATTCACATCAACCAGTGGTATCTGCTATATAATGTTTACATGCGTTCATCATGCATGTGATTAATGACAGGCCTTGTAATGGACCGATCCAGTAAGCACCGCCCCATGGTGTTCTGACCAATCACAGCCGTGATTTATGTCCGACGTGCGTGCACAAAAGTCCGACATGCGTGCACGCGCGTATGATGCGCGCGGCAGGAAAATGCTGTGTGGCATTGGAGAGGAGCACGTGTTAATTTGCCCAGTGCGCAGTGGGCGGGGCTTACTGGATCGGTCCATGGTGCCCATTGTTCAGTAAATATTACAGAATGTAATGACGAAAGCGTGACAAAACATCTGTTTGACATACAAAGAATGTCCATTCATTGGACCGATCCACTGGGCCCCGCCCACTGCGCATACGCGCACATCGCTCTCTCCACCAATGCCGCACTGTGTGCTCCATACGCGCGCGTCCTTTGCATGTAAACGCGTATCGGACATTAATCACGGCTGTGATTGGTCAAAAACATCAAGGGCGGGGCTTAATGGATCGAAAAGTGCTCGTTGTTAGAATGGGTCGTGTAGACCACTGATCTCCGTATAAAAGGCTGGACAGCCCATTTTGGATGCATTAAAGTGAAGTCACCGTCCGCCATATTACTACACCAAGAAAATAGATTTGTAAAGAAAACTTTCAATAGATTTAACATTTACACATTTTACTCCAGAAATTGTTATCCAAATCAAAATTATAAATAGAAATGGCAACACAATATTTATTTATTGAAATTTCTGTTTAGAAGTTTTTTCGTATACCTCAATACGACTCTATTTTAATGATTTTGAACAATGGGAGTGGTCTAGACTGGTTCCCTCCCCGCATTCGAATGGAGGGATCGGGAACCAGTGTATAGCTTCCCTTTTTTGTACGGCTCGGAATGACCGACCAGCTATCCATAAGCATTTTCACATGGAGATCAGCGGTACAGACTCAGTTCCTATTAAAATTCAATGAATGGACTTTCGGCCCCTCCAAAGTAGTAAAAGACCAGCCAGTAGATGACAAGAAGTACGCCTATGAAGTAAACAGCGCCCCCAATGGCCACCGCCGTCATGGCCCATTTCAGGGCATCCAGTGCGGCTAGCTCGGCCTCCCAGTCGTTGCCCTTACGCAATTTGTCTCGAGTCTGCAAAAAGAAAGACACATTTAGTTTTGTTTTTGTATTGAAGGGAAGACCATACGAATTTGGTATTTATAGCATAAAATCGAAGTGAAACATGCCCAACCATCGACGTCATCTAGAGCATAATACAGGGCAAGTAAAAAAACAAAAACAAACAAACAAACAAACGCACTCCAACTTGTCAGGACCAATTTTTGAATGAAGTTTTGCCCGTAGCACTTTCAAAATCTAGGATATAAAAGCCCTATCAACGAGCTTTCTTTTAGTATAAAAATCATTCAAATCGCTTAGGTACTTTTTAAGTTACGGCATTTTGAACACAAACTCCGCTTTAAAGTTCTGCCCACGGATCACCAAAAATAAGGTAAGTTTTCTTATAGCAAAACGAAAACAATTCACATGCATCCCTATTGTTTTCGTTTTGCTGAAAGGGCACTTACCTTTTTGTGTCCGTGGACAGAACTTTAAAACGATGTCTATGTTCAAAATGCCGTAACTTGAAATGTACATGAGTGATTTGAATGATTCTTGTACTAAAACAAAGCTTAATGACTGGGCGTTCATATCATAGATTTTGGAAGTGGCTGTCATTGCTTGCTATTCTTCCTACATGTATATTGTTCAAAGTACAAATCTGCGAAGGCCCTATAGCCAAAGTGATATACTCTGACTGTGTGCCAAATGCCGTGCTTGTTTCATCAAAGACACAATCCTATCATACTATTGCACTTGGCACAAAACAATTAAAAATGACAAAGGCCGTACTTTTCCCGACTTCCATACTGCCAGAATCCCAAACACAGGGCAGAAGAAGATGGAGATGATGGAGAAGAGAAAATAATCCTTCTGAGGCTCAACCAGCTCTATCACCTTTCCTTTTTCTGAAAGAAAAAAAAACACGAAAAAGTGCAAACCAATCAGTCAAGACTTTTGAGCACTTTTGTACATTAAAAGCATGAACCGACGAATCTGCGCGCACACATTCACAGATTCGCCCAAAATACTAACAAACTATAGAGACAAAGACAAGAAGCAGGACTGTTTTTATCAGAACTAAAAACTACTTAGCGAAAGTTGATAATAAGCAGGAAAAGTTCTTATCAGAACTAAGTATCTACTGAGCGACAAAAGTTATTTCTACATGGTGTAACCGCAAACAGAAACGATACATTAAACAAACTACTAAAGGAAATGTCCAAAAATGTGTCACTTGACGCATCTTTGAAAAAAAATTCTAATACATTGTTTTCTTCAAAATGACAGCATGCCAGAAGGAATAATTGCACAAGGAGTTTAGTGTCATAAATATATTTAAGTAAGCTTTTCAACAATAATTTGGTCGGTTACTTTTTGCATATCTGCAAAATAATAATGGACTACTCCACCTTTAACTAATTAATATTCATTAATCCGAGTTTCCACGTAGAGTTGTATGCAGTTTGAAACCTCGTCCTTTGTGGTGTCGAGTAGAACGCTCCCACTAGCTGCTCTAGGTATTAACTCGACGATGAAAGTTGAAGTAGACCCCTGGGAACGAGGTTGGGCTGTTTGCCACTCTGTCCCCAAGTTGACTTGCAAATTTCAATTTTGGTTAAATAATTACAACTGAATGAAAACAATCAGTAGTTGAGATCTAGCACGTTGCCCGGGCGTTTATTTGGTTAACCTGTGTAATTTATTTGTAGCAGTCCAAAGTTTATTTTTGTTGGAGGGCGTTTGACTCTGGTAAAGTTGAAAGTGCACAGTAAAAGCACACAAACTACCGATTTAATAGGGTTAAGTGTATAAAGTAGCCTATTCTATAACCAAAAAACACAATAATTGTGTGGGTAATCTCAACAGTTTACTTTGACTGGCTTTTTAAAATAAAAATGAATTTGACACATTTTCAAATAATTGGGTGTGGCCCTCAACTTTGAATTGTGGTTACTGCTTCAATGACAGACTTGTTAATTTAAAAATTGTATTAAAGATGTACTGACATGACAGTAGTCTTCATTAATGATTTATTGTTCGTACTCTTCAATGAACTCGACCTTCTTTCCTAAGAAATATCTTATTTGTATATTTAATATTTTAACCATACGAAACCCATCCCCCCGCCTCCCTTTCGGGGGGGGGGGGTCTATTTTGGGCGTCTTTCACCCTCTAAAAAAGTTTTACCCTTTCGGTTGCTGCAAATTGAATGTAATACATGGAGTTAACAAGATAGTGACCAGGATTACTGAACATTTTTTGCTTAAAAAGCAGTCCAATTTGATGCACCAATGAAGTACGTCTTCAAAGAGCATGATCTTTTACTCATCATGGAAAAAAGAATGAATGAAATTGTGAGTTATAACTGAGTTATACATGTTTTACTATAAAAGACCTATAAAAGACTCATAGCTGTTCATGGAATGCCATTGGAAGCTATTGAACTGAGTGAAAATTACAGATTACACACATGCATTCACATACAAATGAGACTTTCATAATAATGATCGAGTTAAGACTGACACATATTTTTTACTGTTCAGAGATTGTGTTATACATAATACATTATTTTATGAGGAACAAGTCAACTCTTTTGTTTTGTGATATATTGATGGCGATTTTTGTCTGTTTTCCTTTGGAAGTTTTCGTTCATTCATCGAGGTGGGACAACGTTTATGTTTCATTGTATTTAATGGGTATTCATCAGTTCGTATAACGATAAATGATCAGTGGACAGCAGATTTTTGTGATCTTTTTATTAAAATAAACATAACTTGGAAATAGAGTATGTAAATTACGTGAAATTTTCACAGTTACTAGTTAATAACATTTAGGCCTACTTTATCCCTGTGTTATTTTTATGAAATGGAACGATCCGCATATTTTTTTAAAAATATCTTTTCCTTTTCGCTCAAGTTTTTTTTGAGGACTCACGCTGTATACTTGCCGTGCTTTTCAACCAATTCCATATTTTTCCTTACATATTTTTTTGTTTGGTGGCCTTTTGGGCATCTGCAACACTCTAAAATGTTTTACTTTTGCGTTGCACATTGTCGGGACAGGTCTGTGATATTTTGTTTTGGAGGGGGGGGGGAGGGGGAACACAGTTCCAGCTGGGGGGGGGAGGGCACACCACAAGAAAAAAAAACACACAAAAATTAATGTAGTGAATTTCTACGCTTTGATTTCTGCAGATGGGGGGGGGGGGGCAAAGTGCTCGCCAGGGGAGCCCCCTTCCCCCTCAGCAACGGGCCTGAGTTACATTGGATCATTTTTTTTGTGGCGATTTTTCGATATTACATAAAGGGCGGCGCTTGTATAGGTAAAACGTCCGGGGGAACCTGGGGTGCGCAAGTCCCCCCCCCCCCCCCATTTGCCCCCCCCCCCCCCCCTTCGCGACGCCAATGGACATAGATTTCATTTGTTCTTTTATTTATCAAGGGTAAACCCAAACACCAAAAAGTTGATCGTCCGGGTTTTTTTTTTAAAGAGGAGGATGAGGGCATTTTTTTTTCCATTTTAGTGACAAATATAGGCTAAAATAGCATAAGCTTATACGATGTGCCTTGAAAAGGAGGAGGCTATTAGAAGCGTCTGAACTTCTGAAACATCTTGAAACAAATTATGACTGAAATAAAAAAATAAAATTGAAAATCGATGCACCCTAAAAATAAAGCGAGCGGGAACGATGGCCCTCTAATTAATAGGAATTTAACAAAATCGAAGACTTACAAAACAAAGATGATTATGCACTAACCTCAATAATAAAGAAAAGATTAACGAAAAGATAAAAGCAAGCCAGCAACAAAACAAAACCAGCAATATGTGTAAAATAACGTTACTGAAATTGAAAAAAAAATAACTAAAAAGGACATGAAAATGCTAATAAAAAGTACTTGTACATTATCTTCCCGTTAAAAAAATCTTCATGGCCATTTTTTTATGTTGGGGGATGATGGTGATAATCATCAAAATCTCTCAGTTTGAGTGATCAATAAAACTAGAGCACAAAGTTAAAACCTACCCATTGCGAGATTCTCTCGAAGTCACTGGAAAGTCACCGACACAACGCCGTGCACTACAGGCGTCCACTGAGACGGAATGGCTTCTCAAATTTCTCAGGCAGTAATTGTCCAGTTATTTTCCAAGTTTACGAGCGTTGCCTGTACAGCTTTTCATGCCACGAATCCAGACCACTTCCACCCTGATGAGTTTTCGTGTATCAATTAATTTAAGGTGGAGTTTCTAACTGTGGTCGGTACTTTGTAACGCTTATCATTGACCCTTGCTCGGTGATTGTGTAGCTGTGTAGTACTAGTAGGCCTAACTTGAGTAACTTGGAAAGGGTGTAGTTTCTGTCGTTGTTAAAACACACAAGATGCGTATCTGTGTAAAAGTTCAAAGTGTGTAGTGCAGGTCGGCCAAGTCGCTGGCAGTGATGATAGGCCTATAGTGGGCCAGTTTTTTTTTTTTTTAGCGTGTCAAAGGTCAGAGGTCGAGGTCAATGTCAATTTGTGTGACTGTGATATGATTTCACTGCGGGTGTTTTCCAGATGGAATGCAACAAATCAGGCCGGGCTGCGAGTCAACTTCGCATGCAGCGCTTTATGTACCCACTTTTATTTCTACCGTTGTTTGACATGTTTATTTTACTTTTACTTTTAGGCATGGTGTAGTACGAAAGCAGTGTACCAATTAACTGAAAGGCGAAATAAAACAAAAACAAAACACGTTTAGCCCGCTTCCCTTTTGGAGGCTGCCTCTTTTTTTAACCGAAAAAATGATAAATTTTTAACAGTGACATCATTTTGGCCTCTTTATGTGTAATATTGCTTAGCCCATATATAGCTGTTGTGTCATTTCCTGAGTCCAATAGCGGTCATTCAAAAAAAAAATAGTAGTCATCTTGACAAATAGCCTGGTCGGGCGGCCATTTTGGAAGGGGGCGGGGGTTCAAGTTGGCCTCCCGCTTCCCTTTTTTTCAAAAAGGCAGGACGCTAAACATGTTTTTTGTAATTTCGCCTAAAGCCCGGTTCATACTTCACGCGAAATTCATGTCGTCAACAATGGTGGACGCGCTTCGAATGTATTGTTGACGTCACGAATTTCGCTTCGCTTTAATTCGCTTTCGCGTGAAGTATGAACCGGGGTTAAGAATAACAAACAGTACAAACTAAAATAAATGGGTAAAATTCGAATGACAGGACATTTCCCATGTTTTCCTCATTTTTTTCACCGTATTTTTTGAAAAATTACGCAACATCAAATGCTGTGTACATGCATTTGTATACTTAATTGTTGTTCACAACTTATTATTGTGATGTCACAAACGGAGATTTTCGTCAGCACAAACAAATATAGTCACATGTTCATATACACACGGAATATAATGTACATTTGTAATTGCTGTTCCTTTTTGTACCTAAATCAGATTTACTCAGTGACTTACGACCGACTGACTCCCCGATGAGTGCGCATGATATGACCGGCCGATCGACTGACTGACCGATTTTCTAAGCCACGGTTTCGTCTGAATTTGGCTTCTGAACACATTTAAAGCTCTCACTTAGTTTTGGCGACTACCTATCAATATTGGTCTCCATTATGTATCAGAATCGTACAACCATAAACAGTGAGGCCAACAGTTTGAGTATTTCTAATGTTTTTGGCATCGAAATAATGATAAAGCCAGTGAATGATCGAGCCATTACTGGAAAGAATGCCCGGTTTCGTAAACACCGATGCCTTATTCAATATGGCTGCTCCCAGATGCAGTTCAGCGTTCGTTGTTTTTTTGGAGAACGGTGCTTAATTTTCTCGAACAAAATCGCAGGTAAGAACACACAACTAACCCCTTTTTGGAAAACGTAGGTGTCTAAGAACCAATTTGGTACAACTATAGAATGCAGGGCCACTTTACTCTACATCCGCGCCTCCGTACGGCTGCGTGGAGGCGTGGAACCGCAGTCGCTCTATGTTAATAACAAGGCAGTGTATATTTTGCTGGAGACGGCAAACCTTTAGTAAACGTTAGTTTGCCGGATATGCACTGAACATGCGCAGTTACTGTTTTTTTGTACTTGAACATTTTCCGGTGACAAGTTTTAGTCTGGCTCCATGCCAAAATTATTGTTGTTACCTCGTATTCACAAGATGGGATTCAGACCATTTTATAATTTCGGACTTTATTTCCCTTTTAAAAAAAATCCTCCAGAGCCACAGATCTGAAAAAGAAAATGTAATACTCTGCAAAAAATGTTTGAGACATGTTAAAATAATAAAAGAAGAATATTCTTATTTATTTGGGGATGAGAAAAAAAACCTTAAAAATATGGTGCGGTCGGAATCGAACGCGAGTCATCCCGCTTACTAGAGCCTTTGCTTAACCATTACACCGAACATGCTACACAACTTTTGGTGGGAATTTAATACATTTTATAATTCAGCCCTATTTTTAAGAGTACAGCGCCCTCTGTTGATATGGATTGCCGCCGGCCAACCTTTAGTAATCGTTAGTTTGCCGTCATTACCTCCGGCAAAATATCCACTATCTTTTTTTAAAAGGGAAATAAAGTCCGAAATTATAAAATGGTCTGAATCCCATCTGGTGAATACGAGGTTACAACGATAATATTGGCATGGAGCCAGACTAAAATTTGTCACCGGAAAATGTTCAAGTACAAAAAAAACAGTAACTGCGCATGTTCAGTGCATATCCGGCAAACTAACGTTTACTAAAGGTTTGCCGTCTCCGGCAAAATATCCACTGCCTTTTTTTTTACACAGACAACTGATTTTTCATTGTGATTATTGCACGTAACGCGAGAGGGCGTTCGTTCCATTATCAAATTCTTGCTCTACATGTTCCATGTTCCTTGCTCTATGTTAATAACAAACCGTAAGTTTATTGCGTAGATGCAGAGCAGAAAAGACAAGTTATGTAAAATAATAATTTGTACAAAAATGACATACATACATGTATGATGATGTACATGTAGGCCTACCGGTGACTGCTCTATGTTCCGACACCCCTATGTTCCGACAACCTAGATTGTGTTACTCCCGGTTAGGGTTAGGGTTAGGGTTAGGAATACAAATGTAGGAATATGTGCAGTCGGAACATAGGGGTGTCGGAACATAGAGGTGTAACCAGCCTACCTAGTCTAAGCACGGAACTGTAATAGGGGAGTGATGTCACAACTTTACTTACCATAATTTGCCAGGAAAAAAATCAAGCTTGTGTGTTTATGTCTGATGCTATACTTGTAATGTTCGACTTCCAGATTGCATGGACTTATTTCATTATCTTTATTTCATTTTCCTGTTTCTGTATTCTTCTTATTTTTGTTTTTCAGAATCGGATGACCCTTGGATGACAATCCGTTACTCAGCATGACTTCGACAGGAAGTTCTGATCTTGCGGCGGCCCACCGCCGAGCGTTGCGCGTGGCCGTCGGTGTAATCTGCATGGAATCCGGGTTTGACCGCGCCAACGAGTCCTGCTTAGAAAGCTTGACTGAAATGTTGCAGAGTTGTAAGTAAAGGGGCAAACAAAAATTTAAAATCTATTTTTTAGAAGCACGGGGCATGCATCTTTAACAGTTGAGCGCTCCCTGCCTACAAAAAGCAGGTTTAACTGGCTGTGACTGTTTACGTAACTTGATATTTATTTGGCAATGTATATTTTGCCGGAGACGGCAAACCTTTAGTAAACGTTAGTTTGCCGAACATGCGCAGTTACTGTTTTTTCGTACTTAAATATTTTCCGGTGACAAATTTTAGTCTGGCTCCATGCCAAAATTATCGTTGTAACCTCGTATTCACAAGATGGGATTCAGACCATTTTATAATTTCGGACTTTATTTCCCTTTTAAAAAAAATCCTCCAGAGCCACAAATCTGAAAAAGAAAATGTAATACTCTGCAAAAAAATGTTTGAGACATGTTAAAATAATAAAAGAAGAACATTCTTATTTATTTGGGGATGAGAAAAAAAAAATTAAAAATGTGCTGCAGTCGGAATCGAACCCAGGTCATCCCGCTTACTAGAGCCTTTGCTTAACCACTACACCAAACGTGCTACACAACTTTTGGTGGGAATTTAATACATCTTATAATTCAGCCCTATCTTAAAGAGTACAGCGCCCTCTGTTGATATGGATTGCCCCCGGCAAACCTTTAGTAAACGTTAGTTTGCCGTCATTACCTCCGGCAAAATATCCACTATCTATTTATTTCTATCCTTCTTTAGATCTTACTGAATTGGGCCGCAGCGCAAGAACGTACTGCGAGCTAGCAGGTCGGACACTGCCTATGGTGACAGATGTAGGCATGGCACTGACAGGGATGGGGTCAAATGTCAAGGGCCTTGCTCATTACGCTCGGCGACGGCGGAGATTTCCCCCACTGCATCGTGAGTTTTGTTGCAATACTTGTAAATCTTGTGTTCTGTGTTGTAGTTGTGTTCGTCATGAGCCCTCCCTTGTTCCCACTTGTCCTCGCAAGTCCTCACAAGTCGTCGCAAGTCCTGACAATTCCAAGGTTCACAAGTTCTCACAAAACCTTCACGAGTTCTCACAATTCCTCATAATTCCTCACAAATCTTCACAACTCCTCACAAGTCCATCACAGGTCATTGCAAGTCCTCACAAGTTCCAACAAGTCCTTGCAGGTCCTCGCAAGTCCATCACAAGTCCTTACCAAACATTTACAAGTTCTCACAAGTCCTCACAAACCCTTCACAAGTTCTCACAATTCCTCATAATTCCTCACGAATCCTCACAACTCACATTTCCATCAAAAGTCCTCACAAGTCCTTGTAAGGCATACGGTGCTCGCCTATCTCACTGCTGTGACGGATTCGATTCCTGGCTTGGATCATGGTTGTTTGTTGATTCTTTTGTGCCACAAGGGTTTCTATGGTTATTATGGAGGCTGTAAAGGCGCCTTTACATGCCGTTGGCTCGTCTACGTTGTAAAGTAGATGCGCCCTTGGAAATTCAGCTTCTGCTGCAATTCAGGACAATTCGCCCCCCAAATTTAATTAGAATGTTGCAAAATGTAACAAGATCTCCCATCGACATTTATTATTTTATGCATATTTGCCCTGAACAAGGCTAAAAGCCACTCCCGGTACAGGCTACAAGAGGAATGAAAAGAAGAGTATAGGTACTCAGGGAAACTGAAGGTAGGAATTAACATTCCTCTTGAAACAGGACAGATCATAGGTTGGAGGGAAACAAGCACCGGGTCTTACTTTGTTTGTGTGTGTACATGTATGGCTTTATGGTATAGGACAGACACACTCGAGCGTTGAGTCTTTTGTTGAAAACGGTCCTCGATTGTACGGTTATGTGCTTAGTCTATGGGAGAGTGTTATATTAAAGGGACAAAGGGAAACACAAAGCATTGTCCTCGGGCATATAGAAATTCATGACTGTATGTCTGTGTTTATGGTTTAAATCGAGAACACACACGTGCATCATCATCAGTGAATCGAGGACAGGAACCGAATCAAGGACGACCTCGATTAGAAAACGTGTACAAAACCAATGAGAGCTGTTGCGAAAAAGTTAAAGTATAAACATTGGAACAAAAGAAAATGCTTGATTTACACCATATTTTGTGTGTGTGTGTTTGTACACAGAGGACCGCAGTAAGCAATCTCAGCCCTGCAAGGCTCTTCAAGCCAGCGAACGCAAGCCGCATCCTTCTTACATTCCTGATCACCTGCCTGAGTTTCCTGATCCGCACACATACATCAGGACAACGGTGAGAATGAGTGTAAAAATGTCAATTACAAAAACAATACGGACCATTTTTGAGAGCCAGGGCATGTGTGGTCTAGCGGTAGCGCACAGGATTCATGATCGTGAGGTTGTGGGTTCGAGCCCTGTTGTGGCCGTGCGTGTTGTGCCCTTGAGTAAGGCGCTTTACCTCAAGTACTCCTCTCTACTCGGGTGTTAAATGGGTACCGGTATTATTCAGTGCTGGGGAGGTGACATACTCGCTGTGGAGGAGGTGTGGCAATCCCCCCTCAGCAGCATATGAGTCTGGCCCAATCGCTAACGAAAGAGAGATGGTACTCGGTTCCAGTGAACACAGGTTCATCCCCTTTAAGGGGAGGACACACGTACTTGTAAGCAAGCCTGACTTGTTTTGTTCTTGATGAACACAAACCCAGTGGTGTCCATCAGAGTTGTAACGAGTCACTGATTTGTGCGACTCGAGTCGAGTCATTTTAAAGAAGTGACTCGAGTCGAGTCGAGTCATTAGGTCAACAAGGTCGAGTCGAGTCGAGTCACAGTGTGTGGTCGAGTCGAGTTGAGTGGAGTCAAGTATTTAGCTTGAGTCAATTCGAGTCACAAATATTTTAACACTATATAATAAATTACAATAAAAAGCAACAAACACAAGAGAGAAAGAATACAAGGCACCATGTCTATTACGAAAATCCAAAGACATAAAGTATGCTGTATGGTACCCAACCAACAGTTTCCATTGCTAGCTCACGTCACAGATAAGAAGATGTGAAACTTCGGTCTTATAACTGGTTTGGCTTCGGGTCTAGATTTTGTTCGCTGATCGCTGACAACGTCAAAACCTAATTACATTATACAAAACTGTTTCTGATTATTTAAAGGTGGTCCCGTCCGTATCCATTTTTTGTGTGAAATCAAGATATAAATTTAGCCAGCGTTCCACCAAGAGCTTTATAAGAAATCGCCCGAAACCAGTGATGAAACCACGGATTGAGAAATGCGTGTTAAGTCTGGTTCCGGGTTTAACATTACATGCTATAGAACCACAAGGTGGGAGTCCGTGACACGGTGTGTGTTTGTTGTATCATTATGGAGGAAGGAAAACAGACGGCCGCTGTATATAAACGTACATTATTCGCGAACATTAACGTGACGTGAACAAAAACTGGCAACGCGAACGGCGCGGCGTAAGTCATTGCAAATATTTTTCGCAAGTAAGTTTTGCTTTTATTTTTGGGACTCGAGTCTTATTAGCCTTCCTCGAGTCGAGTCGAGTCATTTGCTCGCAGTGACTCGAGTCGAGTCGAGTCATTCACCCGTCGGGACTCGAGTCGAGTCAAGTCACCAAAAAATGTGACTCGAGTCGGACTCAAGTCGAGTCATTGACTCCAGTCATTACAACTCTGGTGTCTATCACTCTCCATTTGCAACTATGTGTACCAAGTCCATAGTAATACAATCAGTCTTTGTCCATAACTGGATTTTAAATTGGTGAGGCATTCTGGCAAAATGAGACAGAACTGGGCAGAGGTCAAAATGAGGGTTTGTGGGTATTATAAAATAAAATGAAATTCTCCTTACAATACTGTTTGTTGTACTTCAATCAGACATTCAGTTGACACGTTATGGCTGTTTAAAGTGTGAACGTATCAACAAGTCAAAATGTAAAATACTAAGTCTACTCGTTCTCTTTTTAAAAAGCATGTACCGAAAGAAAGAAATGAAATAGGAATAATGACCTCCCAATAAGATTTCCTCTTCAAAATTTTTGGCTGGTCATAACTACAAATCCTGGATGTGGCACTGTCTTCGTGTCCCCCCCCCCACCTCTTCTTGACAATTTGGTTCTGTGTCTGCCAGTGCCATCAGCAAATCACATTTAGGAAAATCTCATAAGATTGACAATGTTTTCTTGTTTCGTCCCATCAGACAAATAGACAGCAGGAGAATGACTACAAAGTCATCCGCGAGAGAGCGGCATCGCAGAAACGTGACGTGGAGAGGGCGCTGACACGATTTATCGCTAAGACGGGTGATACACAGACGTTGTTTCCCGGAGACAGCAATGTCTTTCCCCGTAAGTCTTCTTATTTTGTTCCAGTTTGAAAATTCCCCCGACAAGATTTAGTTTGTCTGATAGAAACTCAATCTTGTTTCCAAGACATCCTTAGTGGTGCTGTGTTTCAGGACACATGAGATAGCAGTCTGCGCAGCGATTCACCGAAGTGTGCGCTCTTTGCACGCAAACCAACAAGCCGCTAACCAACATTGAACAAGTGCGATGTGTCAACGGAGTGAGGTTGGCGGATGGGTACAGATTGCCCGCTGAGGTTCAACCTCAACTGTTTCTTTACTAGCCAGCTGGGCTTGTGGAACAGACTCTTAACTAGCCCGTGGTCATTTTCACTAGCCCGCACGTTTTCTTAACCAACAATATAGAGTGTCTCATTACCAACAATGTGCATACATGTAAAACGTGTATCCTGAAGCAATCTTGTCAGTGTTTTTAATAAACAGATCTAATAAGCCCTAATGTAACCCTAAACATTTTATAAATTAGACACAAATTGAAACTGGTTTGCTTTCTGAATTTTAATGTTTATATCTTCCTGTCCTTTCATCTTTGCTGTAGCCCAATCTTTTTTTTTTGGCTCACCAGCTGGGATACTTAAGGAATAGTTTGACTAGCCCGTCGCTGTTTTGCCTAGCATTTGGCTAGCGGGCTACCGCTCAAGTTGAACCCTGCTACATGTATTAGGGACAATATGCAACATGCATGATGCTTCGCGGTACAAGTCACAAGTCCAGTCACAAGTAATGGGATGAACAATAACAAAGGAATGCTTTTGTAACAGTTCATTTGAATAGCTAGTGACTTGACTTGAGACTGAATGAATCATCGACCAATAGGGTAACCTCATCTTTAAGAACGCATGCGGCGTGCAAGCGAACGTGGCACCACTGCAAAAATGGCGTCTAATTCTGTTTGCTGGATTACACTATGGGCTACCAGCACCAGCAAAAGAGGGCGCTTTTACCACATTTGAAAGCACTGTGACGGGACAAACAGCGTGTGCGTACTGTTCTGGTTCGCGCGTGAAGTACGCACGACTGAATGTGCCAAAGCTATTAGCCACACCGTCTTCGCATGAGCGTCAGGCATCATCGGCGTGCGATGCTTTAAAATATCTCTTTCAATGGTCTACCAGATTATTCCCTGCTCCCAATAACCTTAGATATAGTCGTGTTCCCTAACGTGGCCCACTTTGAAGCTTACCCAACTTTCCTCGTGTAGTGTTGCCAAACTTGTTTGTTGACAAACCTCAAATTCATGCAGTGAAATACTGGTACTTTGACCTTATTAATGCTTGCTATTTAACATCTGTGAACAATTTCGGTTTCATAAAATTTAAGCCGAAATTAAAAAACGGTGGCGTCCGGAAATTGGGTACAAATTGGCGGAGTGTTCCCTAACGTGGCGCACTTGAATAAATCTCGGAAAATTCCAAATCAACATTTAAGAATTTCTGTAAACTTGATAAATTCTGATAAAACATTATAATCTCTACTTACATACCCAGCCAGATGTTTGTCAGAAAATTATTTCCTTATTTTTCGGGGCATTTTCAAAGGGTTTACTTTGCACTTGAAAATAAAATCGGAAAATCACGCCAAAATAATTTTTTCTTTTAACTTTGTAGCGGGTAAATAAACTCGCAATTTATGAACGGGAGTGTTTAGAACTTGATGAAATTTCACTTTCTGTAAAATTTCAGTTAAAACTTTTGCTCTAGCTAGGCGCTACAGCCGAAAAATCAAAGTGCGCCACGTTAGGGGCCATGCCACGTTAGGGTACATGTACATCAACAATACATTCAAAATCCGCAGTGGATGGACCTGGAACCAGACTAGGTCTCCCCCAACTCTCCTTTTCTGGCTGTTGAAGGAGTACTTGTGCACAGAGCCCATAGCACGAAGTACACATACAACAAATGTTATTCTAAAGGGCTTTGTGATTAACACCTGACTGAACTTGTGATGGACTACATTGCTGCCATTAACCCTTATAATCCCCATCCGGTCAAACTCCAACACCAGGGTATGTTGGAATTTATTAGAGTGAGTACCGGTACTGCACTCTAAACTGATTATGCTTTACATGGGGTTAGGCATTCCACCAATAATCAGAGTCCAACAGTTTTTGTGTACAGTTTACCATATGGTGTTGGAATTTGTAGGAGTGTTGAAGGATCCTAGTCAATCACTCTTAAGGGTTTTGGGTTAATGGGCTGACTTCTACTGAACATAATCCTCCTTTGTAATTTTCCAGTGATTGCCTGCACCCCGTCTCCCCTCCCCTACATCGACGCCCTTATGCCCCCCGAACACGAAATCTGCGATGATGACGAAATGGATGATACCGACACGGACGATCAGAAACTGGCGACAGACGAAGGCGATTCTGCGAAACCAGAGGATGGGGAGACTGGGGCTCCGAAGTCTCCTGGCAGCGCCAGGCCTCGCGTCGAACGGATGAAAGTCGACGCCATCCTGAGCGACAATCCGTTCTTGCGGAAAGTCAAGAAGCCGCGACTAAAAGTCAAAAAGAAGTGAAGGATTTGACATCTGCACGTGTTCTTTAGTTACGTTTCAGGGCTTCTTATGCTTATTTACTGTGGTGCTCTTAAGTCTGACTTGTTTTGTCAAATCTCGTGTGAAGGGGATAAAAGTAGACGCTGCTCGGAGTGACAATCTGTTCTTGCAAAAAGTTAAGAAGCCCAGACTTCAAGTCAAAAAGAAGTGAAGGATTTGACATTTGGATTTGTTTTCATCCCCCTGGCTTTTAAGCTAGACAGGGGGATATTGCGATCGTGTATTCCTACTGTGCGTTCGTGTATGTGTGTTCCATTTGTAAAGTTCAGTCATCAATCTCAACCAGACTTGAAAGGTGGTCTGTGGAGAGGAGGCCAATATAAAAAAAAAAAATCCTTTCCAATATGGATTTTTATGAGGTCTCTGGAGAGCTCAGCTCAGTATTACTAAGGACTGTAACATATGCTGCAGTGGCAAGGGGAATACACATAGACTAGGCCGCACCGAGTCCGGTGTCTCATCTAAACTCCCCATTCAACCCAAACTCCCCATTCAACTGAGAACTGGAAGTCTGGTACCTGCCGGGTAGACATCAAGGTCATCACTGAAAACTGTCTTTACTAACTGCCTGTACATGTACATGCATGCAAACTGGCAGGATGCCAGGGGATCGCGCAAGTTTTACTTGAGTATTGTTTTGTTATATATTAGGCCAACTTATTTTCATTTACTGTCGCGCTTGAAACTCTCGCCGAGTACCAAAGCTTACACGGAGTGGATAAAAGAAGATGCCATTTTGAGCAAACAGCCTGTTGGTGCGGGAAGTCAAGAAGGAAAGATTTGAAGGATTTGATAGTTTGGATGCATTCTTTTTTTCAGTGTGAAAGCGAAGACCTGTCTTGGTCAACCCTTTCTCCCTAATTGCTTCTTCCCACCCAGGAGTAAATGGGTACATGTATGTGCGAGGGCCGAGTGCTTAATTTAACGCAATGACTTTAGCTGCTTTGCACCAAAATGGCAGCATCGAACTGTTTTACAATGGATTAGGCCCCCCCAAAAAAGTCTCCGGTTTCTGGTATGCGCGCGCGTCGCCGTAGCCATGCGCGTCGGCAAAATGAAAAAGGTTTTTTTTCAATTAAAGATGATGTCTCAAAACCGCCAAACTCACTGGTTTGACTGGAATCCCACTGCTGTACAATTTTAACATGTTTTTAGACTGGATTATGGTCGAGAATAAGCTTTACATGTATGTGGCCTCTCTGGACTCCCATATATTTGCACTAAGTTTAGTCGGGCACCATTTGCAGTCATCAGCCGACATTTGAAGCAACAAAATCAGGTAAAAAATGTTGTGGTGTCGCCGCACCACTTTTTGGACGAGCTCCATACCAGAAACCGGAGCCTTTGTTTTTTTGGCCTTACATGTACTATACAAATGTATGTACTTGTAAAAATAATATCCAAACAGAAAAATAAAAAATCCATTTGAGTTGTACATGTATTTCATTTCTTGAGTTACATTTCCCTTTGTGCGTGTTAAAAAAACCAAAAAAAAATATGAAATCTTTTTCGCCCTCCACACAAATTACACAATCTACACATTCCTGTACATTTTAAGCAGACAATAAAACTTTATTCAAAATAAATATTTTTAAACAATACACATTTAAAATAATATATGATGGAACATTTAAATATATAGATTTAATGCAAAATAGACCACTGAAAGTACAGTACTTACATAATTTCAGACTTCCATGATTAAAATTTAAAAAAAAAGGGGAACAAAAATCTCATTTACATGTTGAATTTGGTGTTTAAAGCCATTGCGCAACTTTTTTAGCTATTCCTTTTAGTCGAGAGCTGTCACGTGGCCGGTCTTAAACGGATGATAAAGACATGGCTAGCTGGTCTTAAACACTTTTCCAGTGTCACAATAAAGTGTGGACTCCTAAAAATCCAGTGCCTCTTACCGTTTCATTGGTTGAACGTTCACAATCCTCACGTAGGCATGAATGTTGATTAAGGGAATAAATGTGTGCTCCGGAGATTTTATCACTCTGTTTAAGACCGCTTAGAGTCTGGATGCTGATAATTACCCTCGCCTCCGGCTCGGGTAATTATCAGCACCCAGACTCTAAGCGGTCTTAAACAGGGTGATAAAACACATTTATTCCCTTAATCAACATTTTTGGTAGGAAAAATGATTATGCTTTCCATGTGTACAAATGTACATTACATGTACATGTATATGCACATTGGATCAGGCATAATCAGTTTCCAACAGTTTGCGTGTAGGGTTTACCGTACAGTGTGAAAAGGTTTCTAGTCAATTACTCAAAGGGGTTAGGGCTAACGCAATTTTAAAATAACTCGCAACAAAAATGTCTTGACAACTGGAAATGCGTACAAACTGACGGAAAAAAAACAACCAAACCAGAAACCAACCAACAACCAGAAACCCCCAAAATTAGTCAATCGCATATATATCATTATATTAAATATACAGTGCTTCAAGGGGAAAAAAAATATGACTCGGGTCGGGTGTGAATCGAACCCATGACCATTCAACCAGCGAGCTTGACTGGGTCGGCTGGCTGCTTTGTATACATGTATTAGTGGTGGCATTCAATTCGGATTTTTTTAAAAATTTGTTTTAATTATACTGTTTGGTTCCAATTTTGGAAGCTAAGAAAAATTAAGCCTTCCATTTTGTGCAACATAAAAGAAAACAACAGAAACTTCCCCAAATTTGCTCCATGGTCTCTGATTGTAACTGCATTCACTTGCTAGTGGTCTTCTTGGTACAGGTATGTGAATAGCCTGCCCGTTCCACTGATCAGAGTTCCCATTGTTTTCAACGTTACAGCTCTGGAGCGTTTTTGTAAAGGCCCAGTGGTTTTTGAATCCTGCAAACTACATTGTACATGTACATGTAAACCCAGTCATTGGGAGGGCATGTCACTTTGCACCTCACTACATGCACTAGTCACTTTTTACTGGCATTACTGTCAGCTGGATGGCAGCTTCCAGTGAAATTGAATAACCGTAATTCGGTTTGAAAAACTCTCCCACTACAAGTTTGAATCGACAAGAGCAATCAAATGGGAATTAGCCCAGGAAGATGTAAATTTCAGTACTGTGTTTACCCATCACATGATCACGGACATAATCTATGGAAGAATTTGGTAGTAAAAATCAATAAACAGGGATATATTTTCAATAAACAGGTATATTTTCAACAATTCTTTCATTTTTGTTCCCTATAAGTTCTGGCAGCGCAAGCGAGGATGATTCCGTTGTCAACCACAGCAAGGCATCCAACATGTCCTCTGTACACTGAGCAATAAACCTGATGAAGGGCCGTATATCTCCAACGTTGCCCTTTTTGATGGCTTCGTAGTATTCGTGCCGCTGAGTGACTTTGACGATGATTGGCGGGTACCCGGCCCGCATCAGAATCAGGTTCATTAGCAATCGGGACGTCCTGCCGTTACCGTCCAAAAACGGATGGATGTAAACCAACTTGTAATGGGCTAGAGCTGCGAATTCAACCGGATGCATTGAGTTGGCCTCCTCAGATTTCAGCCAGTCCACAAAATCCTCAAGAAGGATTTCCACGTCCGATGGTGCGGGCGGGACGTGCGAGCCGACAAAAACTTGGGTCGTCCGGATCTGGCCGGCTTCGAGCGGATCCACGTGGCCGAGGACCCGCCGATGGATTTCCAGAATGTCCCGGACCGAGATGTCCCCGAATTTACCCATCAGGGTGTTGTTGATGTACTGCAGTGCGGAGCTCATCCCTATGATCTCGTTGTGCTCTAAGATGCTTTTCCCCGTTACGGCCATTCCTGTCTCCATGATGCTCCTCATCTGCTCCAGCGAGAGCGTGTTTCCTTCAATCGCTGTCGTGTGGTAAATATGCTGGTAGTACATCTCCTGCTGCGCGCGCTGCAACGCGCGACTGTTCGCAGGCACTTGCAGAAAATCGTTCCTCTTGTTATCAATCCGCGTCAGTATCCCCTGATCAATTTCCTCCACAATCACTGATGTCCTTTTCAAATTGATGAGCGCCCTCATGTGAGATGCGTTGTTCAAGAGCGCGCAGGTGTACAGATGATCCGCACGTAAGATATCCTCCTCCTCCAGAAATTCGCCGTACTCGTTTAAGGCATCTGCGTGGTTAGGATCAAGAGCCAGTGCATGCAAGAACAGTTTGTGCGCTTTCTCGTTTTTCCCTTGGACTTTGGCGATCATGGCCTGATGAAGAGCAGCAAGCACCTCGCCTTTTATGTCTAAAGCAAAGGATAACAAAATCTGCTTTGGTTAAAAAAAAATCAAATACACAAACCAACAATACACAACATACATGTAGTAATCCTATTGTTTTTATAACCAACTGAGAGTTACTTTGAAACTGAAAATAAAGTTACAGAGAACAATCCATTTCTAAATTGTTCAAACCTAAAACATCATTCTCAAATTTGAGAATTGGACATGTTGAGGCAAACGCTTGAAAAACCCAGCTTATTTTTCCTGTGTTTGTGTAAGAGTATTACCATGTAAACGTAAATGTACATCGGAAGTGACGTTCCAGCATGTGCAGGAAAAAAAGTGTAGAGAATTTACCCTTTTGAATTATCATGTTCTACAAGTTTAAAACTTTTTCTCTAATTTAGAACTTAGAAGTACACTCAGGCCTTCCTTGTCAAATAAATTTGGGCATAAAATTGTGCAATTTTCAAAGGAAAGTTTAAACTCAAACGTTAACAAACAAACATAACAACTGAAGTGAAGTGAAGATTTCCTCTGATGTTGAACGGAAACTTCCGTCATGTCCGTTTTTAAAACACATACACTGTGCATGTACTTCATTTTACAGGTTAACAGATGAAATATATTACCCGGTCTTATAATGGGCTTGTCCCTGACAGTGATCGGCCAGTCCCTCATGCCGTGGTAGTCCATGCCGGGCCACTGCTCCAAATCCCCCATCACGCCCACTGCTTTCGACGCGCTGGCAGGCGGTGAAGCTTCCGTAGCAACTTGGCGAGTACCGCCCTCCAAAACGATCACAAATCTGGACATTACTGAGAAAAGGCAGGCGACAAAGACCCCGCCGATTAGACAGAATACAACCGATGACTTGGGGATTAAATTCTGGTTATCGTCGGTTGGCATTTTGGACGACATTTTGGGAAATTTAAAGGCAAACGAAACATATTTTACGCAGTGACAGAGCATTTTCACGTTCGTTACGGAAATGTCAAACTCTTCCGATGACGTATGTGTGTGTGGTACCCGAGACCACACGTGCCAACACATATGCTGATTAATGCCAACTTACCAAAATTAAAGCAAGGAACCCGTCTGTCATTCAATGATCATTTGGCCTTTTCTGATTGGACAATCATGATTTCAAGATGGCAGCGTCCATGTAAAAATGGAAGCGGCACGTGGGCAATGTAAAATTTGCTTTCTTTTTGAATCCTAACAACGATATACAATCACAAGATGGCTCTTTTTCACATGAAAAGGTAAGTGTTACAGTTTCTTAGAAATGTATATGTTAACGTAAATGAAAATGCTGTAGTGTACGTAGGCCCTAAGATTAAGAAAAAAAAAGGCATCGTTTTTCGCGTTTCGTTGCCGTTGGTCATCCTGTCATGCCTGTCCGGAAATTGGGCTACATCACATGTACATATTAATTATTATTTCCCACAAATCTCAGTAGTGGGGGATGGGTGGCCGTGGCGGTTGGGGGGGGGGGGGGGGGGGGTGGGGGGGGGTTACGCACGGGTTCTTTACTGTCACGGTTCCACTGTGTCAGTGTCACAACTATATACATCATTACATGTAATACAGGCATGACAGGCATGACAGGACCACTCCACTGTACCCGCGCCTCCGTCTGGCTGCGTGGAGCTGTGGAGCCACAGTCGACCTACCTCCGAGAATTGTGCCCTCTACCGGTGCGCGACTCCGCAACTCCAAGGCTCTGCCTCTCCATGGCTCGAGTCAAGTGCTTCGTCACAAGCGCGCCCTCCCGTCTTTTGCGAGGAAATTCTCAAAAAAATGGTCCCAGGATCATTTTGCGTGGAGCCATGGAGTTGCAGTCGACCTACCGCTGAGAATAGCGCCCTCTACCGGCGAGCGACTCTGCGACTCCGCAGCTCCAAGGCTCCGCGCCGCCACGGCCGGCTCCAGTGCTCTGTCACAAGCGCGCCCTCCCTTCCTTTGCGAGGAAACTAATATGGATATGGATGTTTCGTTCTCATAAAAATGTAGTCCTAGAATCATTCATATGGATATCCTACCACCGAGAATTGCACGCTCTGCCGGCGCGCGACTCCACGGCTCCGCGCCTCCATGGCTTTGCGGCTCCGTGGCTCCAGTGCCCTGTCACAAGCGCGCCCTCCCTTCCTTGAGAAGACAATTGCATTTGCTTCAATTAGCACTTTTTGCGCATCTGCATATTATTGTACTTTATGCCCACTGACCCCACCTGTTTCCATACTTAGACCTAGATAATCAATTCCTGACATCGTTCTCTCTGAAGGCATTACCCCTATCCTCACATCGCCGCCGGCCTCGATCCAAGGCTCCAAGTACATGAAAAAAACCTTGCTCTGGCGTGGCCCTGTATTCTATAGTTACTCCGTCACTTCGCCCGATATATTATTCACTTTGCCCTAGCATTATCACTTCGCCCTTTTCCGTATTTTTATCTCAAATAACCGAAAGATGGTCTGTGAAACTGAAAGTGGCGATCTTGTATCTACGGGCTCGGTTCCTATAAGGGAACAAAATCCACTTTCAAATTATTTGACCTACCAAACTAGTTGGCGACATAATTAAGAACATCCAGGTACGTCATAGATAGAGGGCAGGGTTTTGAATTTTTGACCAGGAAATTTTGGGGTAAAATGACGATGACAACGACAAAACGCAACACAAAAATAAAGATGGCAATCACCGCACCATGTACATGTACCTTGAACGCGCAAGGCGCTCTGAATCGCATGGCACGAACATGACCAACCATAAACTGCGTAGGAAAATCTTATACATGTATAGCGACTTGTAAGTGAACGCTAATTCTGCTCGCAGTTAACGCGCCAGCGCCGTGCGACTGTCTCCCTGCATATGTTCATGCACCTTTGATGAACGTTTGATTATCCTGAATGACCTGTGTCCCATCATTGTGCCCTTGCACAGTTGAAATACACAACTGGCTTATTAATGTTGGCTTTGTGGATCAAAAGTAAAATTCATGTACAGTGTATCTTGTAATCCAACATTACTTATTAAAATTAAAATGGTTAAAGGGAAAATACAACATTTGCAAACATCAAAAAATAAAACTACCAAATCATTTTGAAATACCTTGCTGGACTGTTAGTGAATGACAGTGTAGAGCATCCTGTAAAATCATGGCACCAGCTGGTATAGGCTTACTGTCATTTTCAAGAAAAGTGGTATTTTTGTATCAATTTCCAACGCTGATTGGTCGATCAGCGTTGGAAAAAAACTGGCTTTTTTTCAAATACTGGCCCCAATTGACCATCGCACTTGTTTGCAATCGATTACACACCTATGAACGGGTACAAGCCAGCTAGACTGGTTCCCTGACCTTACAATTCCCCAATGTATGTAAACTGCTCTGTTTCTTCTTAAATGGAGTCAGGGAACCAGACTACAGGAAAATGATTGTTTTTCTTGGTTTTTATAGCATTTTTGAACCCAAAACCTCAAAAAAGTCAGTGTAACTATATTAGCTATATATTTCCAACCCCCCAATTCCATCCATTTCTGAAAATTACCGCAAAAGCAAATGATGTATATTCCCTTTAAAGTGGCTGGGAAAGTGATAATCTCCATGTACATGTATAGTAATTTTGTGTTGAGAATCACAAATTTGAATCTTACAGTGCAGTATACAATAATTTGTCTCCATTCCAGATTTATGGGCGGAGAAGAAAGCAACTTTGGAGAAAACGGGTCTTCGGAGTCTATCTTGAAAAAGCTCCACGAGAAAGCCAAGGCACGGGAGAGGCAGTCACATGACAGGCAGTCATCACCTGACAAGTCAAAGGACAAGTCACATGGGAAAACAGTTCCTAAGAAATCTGTGGATGGCTCAAGTTTGACAGAATCTGCAAAAAATGTAAAGAAGCGTCAGTCACAAGCTCCAAAAAACCGTGGTATTGACAGGAAAGAAGAACTTTTAACAAGTTCGTCAGCGAAAAAGAGGAAAACTGGAGATGTTGCGGAGAGTCGCTCGGGGAAAAATAAGATCAAGAACAGAACTCCCAAGAAGTTGAGTGTGTTAGAAGAGTCGAAGTTGCAAAGTCAGAAAAGTGGCAAACGTAATCCACAAAAAACTGAAAAAGTAAGCAGGGATGACCTCCATCTTGGAAAACAGCTAGCTGCAGCTACAGGGGATTTTTCAGAGATAGCTCAGAAAAATGTGAAAGATACAAAAAGTGATCCGGATGAATCTCCAGTGCGGGTCATCAAAGAAGAATCTGATATTAATAGGTCTGGTTTGAGAGCATTTCGGGAAAATGCTGAAACGGCCAAGAAGCAGAAGAAAATGAAAACGCCTTCGTCAGCATCAAAATTAAAATCTGCAACAATTGACGCAGATTCGAACAGGACAGTGGACAATCGGACTTGTAAATTGAAAGATTTCAAAGAAGACACAGTAGTGCTCACGAAAGAAACTCCTTCCAAACAGTCGAAGGCTTGTCCAGAATTGGCCCGTAATACATTAAAAAACGCAGAGGGAACATCGCCAGAAACAAGGAAACAGAAAAAGAGAAAGCTGAGCAAAGTCTCAGATTGCGAAGTCAAATCTGAGAAACATCTGAAGGTTTCTGCTAGAACTTGTGAAAAAAACAAGGAAGAGGATGTAAGTGTTAACGACACTTCTGATGAATTTGATGGAAGCGATCAATCAGAGGATTACAAGGATTGCGCGCGTGCCTTGCCTGCGCAGGAGCCCTGCTCTATGGAAGACGATAGTCCAAGTAATGAGGGAAGCGGTATTGATGTGAAACAGGAGGAGATGGATTCTGAAGTCGTTGACAAGGTTCAGCAAAGCAGAGAAGTTGAGATGGAGGAAGGGCCATCAATCACGGATGATGCAGATGAGGAAAGGGAGGATGAAGGTAATTTTGGTATTAACCCTAACCCTGCTAGACGCAGCGCAGTACATCCAGACATCAGGTGGAAAAGTCTGGTGCACTTTGATACATGTACATGTAGCTATCAGCACCTGTGCCCAAACGGCCAGTTCTGAAACAATGAGATCTAGTCCCAAACGATTTGAATTTGGGATGGGGTTTCTTTTTGGGGGTACCTGTGCTTTACCTCAATAGGGTGCTTGGTTTCCATACTACCCATAAATGCGCACCACTAAAACTATACCCAGTCGTTGTGGAAGTCGTTGCATGTGGCACCTCGCTTTTTGTTGGAGTGACTGTGAGCTGAATGGGAACTTCCCGTGGAATCAGGCAACCTTTATTCGGTTTGAAAAACAAGTCAGGATAATTGCTTTTGAAATTTCCGGTTTCTCCAACCATTACATGTAGATGAAGGCACGGTGAAGGAGTCTAAAGAGGAAGGAGAGGTGGACAAGGCATTTGCTCTGCTTGGAAGTGACAAACATAAGAAGAAACAAAGGGTATGTACATGTATATTCAATTCAAATTATGCCTTATAATGTAACTCAAGTTTGTGTGTACTTCAGTCAGTGTTGTAACAAGTCAACTTGACTTCAGCCATTTCATTTGTTATTTGAGTCGAGTTGTTTTAAAGGTAGAGTATATAATTTGCTCATATCCTTTTTTTTAGGTGGCTAGAGTACTTCCCGATTGGCTAGCTCACCCGACCCTTGTTGAGCACGACTTGAATAAGCACAGTATAGCAGTGGAAGAGATGGAACAACTGGATCCACGGCTCATCAGAAGTCTACTGGATGATGGCATCAAGAGCCTGTTTCCTGGTAAATAAGTAGTCTTGGAAGAAAAGTGGATTTGGATTTTGCTTCCTTAACCCTTTCTGTACCACATTGTTTATTGACTGGGCTCTTCCCAGAACCAAACAGTTGCTCAGCCATGATCAGAGGGTCAGGGGTTCAAATCCAGCTGCTGGCGATATATATTGTGTCCTTGGACAATCCGCTTTACCCCAACTAGTTAGTACTCCATGATAGACTGGCATCCCATCCAGGGGAAACAGAAATATTCCCTGTCATATCATGTCAAGGAAACCGGAGATAAACACCGGCCTGCATGATGGGCCATATTTTGTTTTATACAACACCTGAATAAATTCTCGTCATCTGATTGGTGGATCGTTGATCACATGTCATTGAATTATTTGTCCCAATGCATGGCGTGCAGCACACAGTGCAATGGAAGTTCTATTACACGGTGAATATAACTTCCATGACATGGTTTCAGTGTTGCCGGTGTTGGCGCTGCGACCCGAATCTATTTCACAAAATGCAAACGTTACGCAAGACTGAACCACCGTTTATTCTCCTAACAGAAGTTGAAATATCAGAACTTGTAGGACAGCTGCTAACAAAAAGAAGCAAATAAAATTATAAAATATGGTGCCAAACGATTAGACAAATTCGCAAAACATACAGCAACATCTGTTGAAGCATTGTACTGATCCATAACTGAATAACTTCTTGTCGCGATTTTACTCAGGACGTGTTTTTACTCGGGAGTTATTCAGGTGTTGTATAAAACAAATAATGAATGTTTCACATTCGTGCAATGGTAAGAATAATTTCATTCGGTGACAAATGTTCCATTCCACTCGGCTTCGCCTCATGGAACATTTCATCTGTCACCTCATGAAATTATTCTTTCCATTGCACTCATAAACATTAATTAATTGTACATGTATATTGAGCACAACTTTAAACAATGGGGCAGACAAGATATTAGTTGCCGATGACATTTACAGTCAGACAGAGGTGTCATGCTACTCAGGGACGGAAGAAATATCCTCTTCTGTCAATTCTCAATAAATTACTGAAACATTTCAAAATGTTTCTTTTTACAAATATACGTATTCATCATAGTTTCATTTTATAACCATTTTCAGATTTTTTTTCAATTCTGTTTCTGTGAACCGTTTTAACAAGACACTGTGATAAATTTGTCTTAAATCGTGTTTTGCATTTTGTTTTTGTTTTTTTTATGTAGTTCAACGCCACGTGATACCAGTCATTCTGGACTCGGTCAAGCTGGGAATTCAAGCAGGGGATGCCGGTTACCGGCCACGAGATCTGTGTGTGTCGGCCCCTACCGGCAGCGGGAAGACACTTGCGTTCGCTCTGCCCATTGTCCAGGTACCGGTACTCAGCAATAACTGGTTAACAATGCTACCACGATACGTTAATTGGGGGCCGTATTTCAATAAAAGTCAGTTTTTTCCAACAATGGTCGGCCGACCATCGTTGGAAATTGATACAAAAATTCCAATTTTCTTGAAAATGACAGCACACCAGGTGCCATGATTTCACAGGATTCTTGAAACTTTTATTCACTTACAGTCAAGTAAGGTTTTTCATAACAATTTGTTAGTTTTGTTTTTTTGATGTTTGCAAATGGTGTACAGGGTGAGTAAAAAAAAACGAAACCCAAATGGCAGGACCAATTTTTGAATGAAGTTTTGCCTGTAGCACTTTCAAAATCTAGGATATGATAGCCCAATCAGTGAGCTTTCTTTTAGTACAAGATTCATTCAAATCACTCATGTACTTTTCAAGTTACAGAAGTTTGAACACAACCACCGTTTTAAAGTTCTGTCCAAAGGTCAGAACAAAAAGTTAATGTTCTTTCAGCAACATGAAAGCAATTCTCATAGGGATTCATGCGAATTGTGTTTTGTTTACTGAAAGAACACTTACCTTTTTGTGATCCATGGACAGAACTTTAAAACGGTGTTTGTTTTCAAAATTTCGTAACTTGAAAAGAACATGAGTGATGTGAATGATTATTGTCCTTAAAGAAAGCTCACTGATTGGACTTTCATATTCTAGATTTTGAAAGTGCTACAGGCAACTTAAAACGTCATTCAAAAATTGGTCCCGCCATTTGGGTTTTGGGTTTTTTTCTACTCACCTTGTATATTACCTTTATAAGGGGCCTTTAGGCAAATTACCAACATATACGATGTACAAAAGACTCTACATTGCTCTGGGTTTCTCGGTGACCCTCAAACCAGCTTGGACCAACTTTAATAAGAGGATTTCCTGGTCAAGTTTTTATTTTAATTTTTTTCCCGGCAACCAGGCTCTTCTGGACCGGGTGGTACCGCGTATCCGTGCCCTGGTCGTCTTGCCAACCCGCGACCTCGCTCAGCAGGTCAGCAAAGTCTTCACCACACTCTGCAAAGGAACCGATCTAAGGACGTCTCTGATTGGTGGATTGAAAAAGTTCGGCCAGGAGCAAAGGATGCTGGTCCAGACTAGGTGAGACAGAAAAAAACATTCGTCTCCAATTGTGATGCAATCAAGCTAAATCAGTCATTTGTCGACCCTGGTCAATTTTTTTGCTTACAGATTTGAAAAGAGCACAATCTCAGCATTACTGCTGTGAAAACTGCATGCTGATACCATCTTTAGTTAAAAAATTATGGAAGTCGGAACACCAGGAGATGTGATGAAGTGATGTGATGAAGTGGCCCTATTTTGGCCTGAATCTCCAAATAAAACTTCCTGACAAATGACTCATTTAGATTGATCGCATCACAATTGTGTAACCTCCAAGTTAATTTAACATCAGTCTGCCAAAAGTTAAATTTCTCTTTTTCCAATTCAACGCCATTCTCCACGTGAGACAAATTTCCCGTACGCAAAACAAGGAGGAATTAGGATACTGCCATTTTGAATTACATTGTACATCACATCAAAAATGAAATCTTTCTGTGCAAATTTGAAATTATTCTTAACAATGAAGCCCGAAAATTGTTCTGAAGTGAAATTATAGTATATTTCCATAGAATTGTTGTATTTCTCTTTCTGGTAATGAAACCAAGGATTCCTCAAAAACGGCCCAGGCACTGTAGCTTGAGATTCTGCAGAAACCTATTGTGGAATCCGGAAACCAGAAATACAAGTTTTTACTATGGTGGTGTCATGCTCTAGCGCATGCTGCATGCATTCTTAAAGACGAGGTGCACATGCATTTTGGTATTCCTATTGGTCGAAGGAGCCCGGAGTGCGTGTGTTCTTCCTGAGCGCGACTCCTGCGAGCCCAGTGCCACCGCAGAAAATGACTGCCGACAAATTTGTCTACAAATATACAGAGAAGACAGTGTGAAGAAATTACAGTTTTAGAGGTGGGAGGAAAATCCCAGAACATTCTAGGGAGTGATAACCCAATGCACATGCGGACCAGGGCAGGAATCGAACCCGGGCCGAAACGATGGAAGGCCAGGAGAGTAGGAGTGGAGTAGTGATACCATTGTCTGAATTTTCCCCTCTGTTGCAGTGGTGAGAGCCAGTGTGACATAGTAGTGGCTACCCCGGGCAGACTAGTGGATCACATCAATAAGACGCAAGGCTTCACGTTACAGTCACTCCGATTCTTGGTAAGGCAACAACTCCCAGAGTCATCCAAATGAGTATTCTCAGGGTAATTTCTTTTTACCCGCAGTCATGTAAATCTATCCTAACCTTAACCCTAACCCTAACACTAACCCTTACCATGCACTCTGTTGCATTGTGCAGTGGTCTCATTACACACCAGCCTAAGCTTGGCACCAAGTAGTTACCCTTTGAAATGCAACCAAATGTAGTAGGGCACTGCCATGGTTACTCACGTTACATTTGCGTAACATGAGTAACCGATTGTGTGCGTCTTGTTTATCATACATAACACATTTTTCTGGATGTCATCTTTGGTGCTTAGGTAGGTCTAGGTCTACTCTATCTACCATGGGGATAACAGTTACTAAACCTTTTCAGTAAGGTAATTACAGCACAAGGAAACTCAAAAGTACATCAAAAATGTAACGTGAGTAACCATGGAATTGCCCAGCAGTTGATTTTGTTGTATCACTGGTTGGGGTAAATGGGGTATAGCCCTCCCCCCTAATTAAATTATTTAACACATTGCTCAGCTTTTCAAAGTTTCATGAAAACGACCGTTAGCTTATTGCGCAGCTGCACAACAAAGTTGTTGCACAAGTCCTACGCATGGCGTAAATTGCACACGTACTGTTTCGTGAAATTCTGTGCAGCTTTATAAGGCATGCCTAGATCTTGTTGTGATGCAATCAAGCTAAATTTCATTTCATTTATTTTCATTTATTAATTTCACAGGTAAAAAATCAAGCACAGACAATAAGAACAGTAAAGAAAACAAAAACATGCACATACAGTTAGGAGAGAGAACAAGAAAAAGAGAAAAAAAAAGTAGCACCCCTGATGGATTTTAAAAAAGTAAACTAAATTACTATCGAGTTAATCTCCTGATGCCACAATTTAAGAAGAGACAATACAAAAGGACATTACAAATGGACATTATTAAAACATGGCTTACAGTATAAGAATATAGAACTATACAAGCAGTTAAAACTTTAAAAGCACAAATGGGCATTAAAAAATACAGATTCGGTAAAAGAGAGATTCGAGTGAATTATAATGCAAAAGGCACTATAAAATTGAGAAGAAAAAACAAGCAGCAAGGTATTTGAATGGGCAAGGCAACTAGAAATTTAAACTGTTTGGGTCAAGGGGACCTCCTGGCCAGGGACTAATCAATGATTTCTGAGAGAATTTGTAAAGGAGGATAAACTATGGATAATTGTATCTTTAATGCAGGCCGGTAGTTCATCCCATAATCTAGGGAATCTGTGAAAAAGAGAATGATGGGCAGCATTGGAACGAGCCCGATGATGGACAAATTTAACAGATTCGATATGTCTACAATTAATGGGAATTAGAGTGTCAGTGTCAACGTCAAATTTATTATATAAACATTTAATAACAAACGTAATTGAAAGGAAATGAACCCTGTTGATTAAAAGAGGCAGACCCAGCTTGACACACCTGTCTGAATATTCAATTACATTTACAGAATCAATTAAAACCCTTCTCGGCAGACCCAAACAAAAACGGGTGAATCGCCTCTGTACCTTCTCTAGCGTTTTTTGCTGAGTCGAAAGAACAGGGCACCAGACTGGAGCTGCGTATTCAAGTATGGGTCTGCTAATTGAGCGATAAAGTGAAGACAGAATGTTAGGGTTTCTAGTTTTAACTACTCTACCAATAAATCCGTTGAGTCTAGTGGCTTTGGAAGTGATTTTATTAACATGTGTTTTCCAGCTTACATGTAAGTCCCTGGAGATAATAACACCCAAGTATTTGTAACTATCCACATTTTCCAAAGTGTTTTCAGCAATTTTATACAGTGGTTTAGCAGGGTTTCTAGACCTGGTCACAGTCATCAATTTACACTTATTTGGGTTTAAAGTCATACAGTTTAGATTACACCAAGTGTTTATGTGCTGCAGGTCATCCTGGAGTGCCACTTCATCCTCTTGATTTTTAATGACTCTGTACAAGACAGTGTCATCTGCATACTGACGGAGATTAGATTGAATGCAAAATGGTAAATCAAAAGCAAATGAGTCGTTTGTCGGGAATTTTCATTTGAAGATTCAGGCCACTTCATCACATTACTTCATCACATCTCTTGGTGTTCTGACTTCCATAATTTTTGAACTAAAGATGGTATCAGCATGCGGTTTTCACAGCAGTAATGCTGAAATTGTGCTCTTTTCAAATCTGTAAATAAAATTTGTTTACCAGGATGACAAACGACTCATTTAGCTTGATCGCGTCACAAGTTTTAATATCATTTTCATTTTTTGGGCGATGAAGTCATATTATGCATAAAATCTTATTCTTTTGATGGGAATGAGGAATTAGTTTGAGTTAAACACAGTTTTGAGTCATGTTTGACTGAATATCCACTGACCTGAAACTTCAACACCAAGAGTTGTGATGAATTTCACGATTTCACTGAAATTCTTTATGTGAACACAGGTGATTGACGAAGCAGACCGCATGATGGATCAGATTTCTAAGGATTGGATCAGCCAGGTGGAGAAATGCGTATTCATGGAAAGCAGACAGGCGCCCGGCCCGATTACTGTGGAGACCTGCAGAAAGATTTGCCTGCCAGTAAGTTGATTCTTGAATTCATTGGATTACAATTCACTTTCTATTGTGTATTTGTTTTGATAAATACTCATCGTGTCTGATGTCCATAAATGTGGGGTCCAAAAGTGTGACATTTTCGTGTCCTTGTTATACCTGACCTGTGTAATTTGCCATACAAGTATCGCTAAAATTGGCTTCAAATGTTGTTTGGCGATAATAACACCACTCGAAATGGAAAGAAGAATGTTCAATACCTAACCTGTTGAAGTTTCAGCTCAGTGGATATTAAACTCTTCAAGAAAACAGGGAAAACCATGCACAACCTTTTGATCACAAAACACAATTAATTGCATTCTTTATTTCCAAACTTTAGTCAATTGGTCATTGGAAGTCAACTACATTTCTAGATTTCTTCAAAATGACAGCCAGCCAGATGAACTAATTTCACTGTGTTTAGTACCAGTACGATCTTTAATCCAAGTAATCATTTTGATAATAATTCAGAAGTTACTTTTGGGTTAAATGCAAATGATCTATTATGCCTTTAATATGGACTCATAGAGTTAGTAGCACTGTTGATCTGTTCACACTAGTATCATCATGACGTACGGTTTGTCATTTCCCCGACTTTCAGTGACTTAAAGGTATAGTCCATCATTTGTAATTTGTGCATTTTGTTCGTTTGAAGCAACAAACGTGCTCAAAATCTAAAGAAGGCCATTGAACAACTAACCTGATGAAGTTTCAGCTCAGCTTCAGCTGTATATTCCGAGAAAAACAGCATTCTAGGATCTTGATTTCAAATCAAAAGTTGCTGAATCATGTTTTGAATTGGGCCTGAATTCAGCGTCCGAGACACGTTGTCAATGAGCCGATTGCAGCTACGCGATGTTGCGCACTGATCCGACGAATTATAGCAACCGCGCGTGCGTGTTCGTCGTGCGCGCGCTTCGCTGCAAAACAAAATGAACTACTAATTTAAATTTCCTACGGTGCTTCTTAAGAAGCTTACTATCTTTCAACAAAGTATGTTTTTCAACAAGAATTACGCCAGTTACTTTTTGGATAGCTGCAAATGATGGACTCCAGCTTTAATTTCCAAAATATTTCTGTTTGGTTCCATTTATCTTTCAGCTACAGAAGTTGTTGTTCTCCGCAACGCTGTCCCAGAACCCAGAGAAATTGATCCAGTTGAACCTGTTCCGGCCCCGACTCATCACGTCGGTCGTGAGCAGCACAAGGAGCAGACAGGAAGCCCAACTGCATGATGGGAAGGGTCAGGAGAGAGGAGAGTTTGTTGGGAAGTACACAACTCCAGTGGGGCTTACAGTGAGTTGCAGAGTCCATATTTGTTTCATGTATATGTTGTAATCATATAGTGTGTTGCTTATGTAGCGTTTTTATTACTCCTGTTCATCATGCCATAATACCAGTTTTGTGCAGCAGCTCGAGATTAGTACAATCTGGTCTCTATCCTCACAGGTACATTTTAATTCTCCTTGATGGAGAGACAATTGTAGTAAAGTGTCTTGCCCAAGAACATAAATACTATGCTGCTGATGAATTTATGATGATGATGCTGATGATGTTCCTGATGAGTGTCAACTTTGACAAGTTGCAATGTAGGCAGTGACGGCTCTAGATGTATCATGGTCATGATTCATGTGATAAGTCCACATACTCCATAGTATGCCATAACCTTTGTCACCCTAAACCTCCTCAATCCTCCAAAATCAACCAGGCGGTTTTGGATTTTGGAGGATTGAGGCTCAAAGCCATAAATCCTCTTTTAAAAGAAAACCCGCGGCGGTTAGGGTTAATGACTACAGATATTTTGCAAGAACTTGTTTTGCAAATCTGTTTCACAACTAACAACAGAATTTGCTGAAGTGGAGCAAAGGCGTTGTTAAAAAGTTGAGAAAGCAAACCCTGTGTTGTACACGAGGTGAACACTCCTCTTAAGACCAACCCGACCAACCATATAGGCCACTCGGGTTGGGACACACCATTTTGGAGAGTTTGCCCTGGGGGATTAAGACTCTTAACCACACTTATCCTATAATTGGTTCCATAAAGGAGTGAAGGTCACTCTGCCTGAGAGATTTCAAGCATATTATTTCGTTGCTACATTCAATCTAAAAGTATTATCATGATGATGTACCTGAAGTGTTGACTGTGAACTGTAAAAATCGGTGAATAAATGGCCGAGAACGATCTTTTACTTCTATGCTAGCATAAAACCACAATCACCAGAAAGTATAGTTCCAGAAAGCAGTGTGGCTAACAGGAGGTAGTTCATTTAACCGCAAGTGATTATCTCGCTGGGACTGTGGAGCAGGGAGGGGAGTTTTGTTTACTTAAAGGCTCCCCAGGGGCTCCCAACAGAGGCCAAAATGGTAAGTGAAACTAGCCACTTTTTTAAGAGGGCCGTTTTCGTCATGATTTTTGCAGGAGCATTACATCCAGTGCACATCCGGTGAGAAGCCACTTGTCATCCTACACCTCATCCAGACCCTGAACCTTAGCCAGATCCTCTGCTTTGCCAACACCGTGGAGTCCACCCATCGCTTGTACCACCTGATCAAGCTTGTCGGCGGCATTGAGGTGGCTGAGTTCTCGTCCAATCAGACGGCAGGCCAGCGACGTCAGATCCTCAAACAGTTTAAGACCGGCAAGATCCAACTGTGAGTATGACTGTCCCACTATCCCTTACCCTGCCTGAAGCCCGGTTCATACTCATAACGTCAACAATGGTGGACATGCTGCGAACTATTGTTGACGCTTGCGCGCAGTGTGGTAGTCGAGTCACCAACGTCGAGTCCGAGTCCAAGTCTTGAGTCTCAAATCTTGAGTCCGAGTCACAAGCCTTGAAGTCCGAGTCTCGAGTCACAAGCCTCTAGTCCTAGTCACGAGTCACTTGTTCTTCGTTGTTCACGTGACACTCTTTGATACCGGACAGTTTTTGGCATGACACCGGGCCCTGGTGCTCGACCGTCGCACAAATACGTAACGTAAATATGTTTTGTCTTTTGGTGAAAATACGTGACTCGAGTCACGAGTCACCAAGCTCGAGTCCGAGTCATCATAGTCGAGTCTGAGTTAGAGTTCAAGATACGACAAATGTGACTCGAGTCCGACTGGAGTCCGAGTCCTTGACTCGAGTTCTACAACACTGCTTGCGCGTGAAGTATGAACTGGGCTTTAGGCATCACATAGCATTGAGAGTACAGTTTTGGGGACTTTGCTGTATTGAGCAATCAAATCCAGTGTATAAACTGCCAATTCTGAGACAATGAGAGCTACTCCCATTGAACAATAGACAACCAGAGCATCCTGGTCGAAACGTCAAGTTCACACTCACTGGTTCTTCTCAGAACCATCACTCTTATAAAATAGATAGTATCCACATGGTGTACCTGCAAACCTTCTCTCAATTAATAGTAGTAAAGTCTGTCACGAGCCAACATGGCACATCAAGTTTACACTTATCTCCAGTTTCCTAGGCATAAAAGGACTGGAAATGCTTCTGTTCCCCCTTGATGGGATGCTAGTCCATCGCAGGTTACTCCCCAGCTAATGCTGGTACCCATTCATACTCCTGGGTGGAGAGAGGCAAGTGCAGTGAAGTGTCTGGCCCAAGGACACAGCATATGGCCAGCAGCTGAATTTGAATCCCTGACCCTCTGATCATGAGTCACAAACCCTAACCACTAGGCCACACTCCCCCACAATGCCACATTGCATCCTGCTGCAGTTGGTGACCACAGACCCTGTGGCAGTTTGGCCTTCAGACTTTGACCTGATGGATCTTGCTACACTAGGCAGGCTTGCCATTTTGACAAGTGTTGCCTGTTGTTGCATTCCGCAGGGGTTTCTAGCCAACCAAACTCTAAGGCATCATAACCCACTAATTCATAATATTTCTGAGTTGCTTTGGGAGTGAATGCGTATTATACTGCATAGTTCCATACGTGGACCTCTCATTCTGTCCCTTTTGTCAATCCATAAGCAGCAATTACTGATTTCAATGGATGACTATCCTCGTTTAAAATTGCCTCAAGTCTAGGGGTATGCATCGTGTGCATTATTATATGTTGCGTTTCCACTTTCCTGTAGGCTCATCTGCTCTGATGCCATGGCCCGCGGTATGGACGTTGAGAATGCCAAGTACGTCATCTCCTACGACATGCCACCGTACATTAAGACGTACATCCACCGCGTTGGTAGAACTGCTAGGGCCGGCAAGACTGGTGTAGCGTTCTCTCTGCTACAGCAGTATGAGGTAATAGCTTCATCTTTTCATTTACCTTAACCAATAAAAACCCTGGTCAGGTTCCATTTATGTGAAAGATTCTGTGTGCGAAGTGGGTGTGAGAAAACATAAGGCTGGTGGAGATGTACCTGATTTAACAACGTGTAACATGTAGGCCTAGTAACATGTCGAAATTGCGTCGCGTCATATGATCCATTTCATGAAACTTGCCATGTGTTGAACTTGTTGGAAGTTCCTTGACATCGGCTTAAAACACATCGCAAGTAACGACGTGTCTGGTGGTCATTGCAAAATAAGAAGCATTCTTTTCTTAGCCATTCTTATGCCATAAAAGTACATAAAAGAGACTATAATACCAAGACAATGTGTGTAAAGATGTAAATCAAAAATTCATTGAATAAGTATGAATTAGCATGGAATATTGCAGTTGAAATTTCAAAGTAGCTATACAGTCCACTGAAATCTTGTTTTCCTTTGATATTGCATCACATGTCCGCCATTTTGTTTTATGTTTTAAAACTTTTTGAGAGGGGATCCGACGACGCTTTGTTAAAAGTCAGACAACTATTTACTGTACGCTGAATAAATACATCAAATAGTCACCGAGTTGTGCTATAAATACACCTACGACGCGTCGCACTTACAATGTGTTTTGTGAAATGAATCGTAGGGATGCGATGCTGTGATGCATCTTTAAGTTATGATGAGTTTCATAAAATAGGGTGCTGATAAGGGCCCAATTTCACGGCACTGCTAAGCACAAAAATTAGCTTAGCGTAAAAAAGTCTGGCTTATAAAAGCAGGTTATCAGCCAAATCTCCATGTGATTTTCATGCTAAGCAAACAACAGCTGAATACTAATCACCAGCAATGTACATCACGTGGAATTTTGGCTGGTAATCTGCTTTTATAAGCCAGACTTTTTTGTGCTAAGCAAATTTGTTTACTGAGCAGCGCTGTGAAATTGGCCCAAGATATGTACTCTGCCATCATCTGATGCAGGTGCCCAAGTTGCTAAAGCTGCTGAAGCATGCTGGGAAGACAGGCATCCAGCGGTACACTGTCAATCGACAAGATATGGACCACCTTGAAGAGTCCTATGAGAAAGCACTGCAGCGACTTCCCGGAGTACTAAGGGTAGGTCATTGTATAGAATATAAATATTGACTGCTTTTGAGTGGTAATATATATGAATATTGACTGAGGCATGCTGGGAAGACAAGCATCCACTGATGCAGCATCAGTCGACAACATATGGACCACCTTGTTCAGTCCTATGAGAAAGCACTGCAGCACCTGCCTTGAGTACTAGGGGTATGCCATTGTATAGAATACAAATATTGACTGCTTTGGGTGGTAATATACAAATATTGACTGAAGCATGCTTGGCAGACAAGCATCCAGCGGTACAGCATCAGTTGAAAAGATATGGACCACCTTGTTGGGTCCTATGAGAAAGCACTGCAGCACCTGCCTTGAGTTTTTAGGGTAGGTCATTGTATAGTATACAGATATTGACTGCTTCATCAGGTGGTATAATATACAACTATTGACTGCTAAAAGTGGTCTAGTGAAACTATAGCCTCCCAAAAGATTAGTATTCATTGAGCATAGCTATCTGATTATGTAAAACCAAAATTCCAATATAAATGTACTTCTATTTCATTTTGGCATAATTTAAAATTTACCTCCTCTAATAATGAAACATTTGTACCCAACTCTTGTTTTCATTTTTGATTTTACACAGATGGAGAAAGCTCACTCGGTCTGATGACAAACAAGTGAGAACAATGGCCAATAATATCAATTGACATGTGAAAGTTTTAACCGGCGCACTTAACGTGCAACTTTTGACGGTTGTGGCATACCCATAGAAATATATTAAATTACTAGAGCGCTAACTCGTCATACTGCGCGCGGAGCATTTTGAAGCCGTCCTGGGCGCAGACATTTTGAATTCATGTGCGTGTTTGTAGAACATAATGAAATTAAATGGATTGAATTTTGAAAGTGTACTCTAAAATACAATGCGCAAAATAAACATGCGCAAACAACTTAAGCGCGTTATGATGGTTTAAAAAATGTCACGGCAAAGAGCATCCACAGCGGATACGGGCATGCATGGCGTTGTTTGCGTAGAGCAAAATGAAACGCTCATTTGCTGATTGTGCGATTCGGTTATGGGCGTATCGGCTTCAATAACGCACCTGTATAGAATACAATATGCAAATAGCAGTACAAAAGCTGTACAAAATTGTGAGTTTGCCATAGGTTTGTGCACAAACATGGATGCGCCCAGCAGGCATCACTTTGTACATGAGTCAGCACTCTAGTAATTTAATATAGCTCTATGGGCATACAGTTGTAGCTCGCATGTGATTTTTAATATATTCCAGTATTTGGTCAAACGTAGTTTTGAATAATCAAATACTAAATTATTCGAAAATGAACAGCTCTAATGCCACCTCAATACATTGAAGTAAAAACAAGACACTGTTGTGGGTAAAAGATTCCTCAAAATACTTTTTTTTTAATTCCAAAAAAAAGGTAAAATTTATCAAACTATATATTTTGCAAGGCAACGGAACTTATTTCAGGGTTGAATACATAAGAACAGTTACTTTTCAATGTTTTAATTATTAAATTATTTAGTTACTTCTTTTTATTATTATCTTCTTTTTTTTTTTACCAATCAACAACTTTTAGATGGCCTTACATTTCGATCCTAATTATAAGCAAGACCTTTGTTGATTTGTGTATTTCAGGTCAATCGAGTCAGTAAGCAGTTTGCAGGAATTGTATTAATTTTGGTTTTCCTGTTTTAGAATACTGAAAAGATTTATAAAATAGAGTTGATGTCCCATGCCCTATTGAGACGCAACCATTCTTCAGAAATGTCAAGACTTTTCCAAAAGTCTAATTCCAAATTGTCACTGATGTCGTAAATGTGTTATAGAAGATGCAGTTATTAAAACAAATCTTAATCACATGTTTCAAAGTACATGTCAAGTTTTAGAAAAGCTCATTATGAAATTTATGAAATGTACATTAAGAATACACTATTTTTTTAACAGTTACATACTGTAATTGTGCAATGATATTCATTTGTCCTTACAGTATATACAAATAATACTCCACGAATGATAATGCAGTTAGAAATAAAAAAATAAAAACTGCCAATAACTGCAAATGATATGATCAATCTTTCAAAGATATCATATTCTTAATACTGATGTTGAAAACGCTGATTTTAAATTCGGACTCAAAAACACAGTCGGAAAAGCCAGTGTCATATGAAATGTTGACTCCTATGATATCTGGTCTCTTTTACCTAATGTGGACTTTAACATGCGCAATACAACCAAATCCGTATTTCATAGACAATCCAAATTTCTCATGACACCGGAATGTACATACATGGAAGTGGGGAGTAATTAAACAATAAAATAAGTACATTTTGTATGTGTCAATCAACAGCTAAATTGATAGTGTTAAAGTTACTTTCACAAATTAAATCTTTTTTTCTCTTATTAAAGTTTAAAGTTTGTATGTTAACAATTGCAAAATAACATTTTTTTTAATTTCGGCTTTAACAAACCCTCTGACTAAATGGCATCATTAGGATTGCTTTTGTGTCTCTGTTGCTGTATATAATTCTAACTTGTATAACAATTATCTATTTTAAATTAAACGTGGGCATTTTTGTTTCTTTGGCTGTCCCATTCCAAAGTGATTAACTATTGCAACGCTAGAAAAATTAGAGAAAGTATAATAAATCAAAATATATTTTTTTGCTTTTTTTCAGGATTTAACTCAAAAATAACACAGGGGAGATAACTACAGAATATTATTTCGGTTTTAGCAAGGGTTTCTTGTTAAGTCCGTTATACAGGTAATCACTGATGTTACCAGATAGTATGTGCCTTTAAAATTACTGTTGTGGATATTATTTACCTGGTAGCGAACATGAAGAATTAGAGCTTTGCAGTATAGTACGGATCCCTCACCACCAGACTCTGTGAGATATCAGATGGACTGGCACATTCTGCATATAAAAATATACCACAAACATTAGATTTTTAAAGTATTGAAAAAAATATATATACCACAAACACTTCAACAACTGTTGAAAGTCGTCAGGGCCAAAAATGGGTCAAAAGGTCAACTTCGGATTTTTCGGGTAATTTATAGAGCATGGAAATATCTTTCATTTGATATACGCTTGGTCGCAAAGGGCTACGTCAAGCCCCGTTCATACTCGGCGCGAAAGCGAACGCGAATTTGTGACGTCATGGAAAGTACAGCGTGAGTCAATAAAAACGCAGGATTCAAAGCGATTTTTTTTTCTGAGAAAATTATGCTACTGGTGTGCCTAATTTGATAAGGATTTGATTGTCCATAATTTCATCTTTGACAATATTTTTGTTTGGTGGAATTTGGACTTTTGGTTCAAAAGTTATGACAAGTTTTGTGAAGCCCTTCTGAAGCGGGTTGGTCTGATTCAATGACCTTAACACAACGACCAGTTATGTACAATGCAGGTATGCATTGAAGACAATTAAACCAGAACAAAACTTTCTTTGAAACAACTGATGATAAGTATCACTTAAATTTAATAACTAGACTATCATTGTTGGGATCACTTGGGCAATTATTGACTAATAACATTGATTGTGGACTAAAGGATTATGTAAGCCTAATCCTGCCACACATGTCCTTCTTTGTGATCCACAAATACTTTCACCTGTACTGAATTCAAACCTTTCATTAGGTGATTTCACAAATCAGACCAGCTTGGAATTTATAACCCTTCTTCAATGTACTCTATCTCTGGACAGGATTGTCCAAATGAGATGGGATAAAAAGCATAGTGAAGAGAAGGAAAGGTACTTTGAAAAGAGGGTTAACATTATGATGAATAGGGGTGGTTTATATTCATAATATTTTTGTTTCTAATCCTGCGTTTTTATTGACACGCTGTATCCGCGCTGTGAATTCGTAAAAGCTGAACATCTTTCAACTCGGACGAATTTCGCAGCGAATGTTTCATGACGTTAAATTCACTTCGCATTCGCAAGAAGTATGAACCGGGCTTCATACGGTAAACAAAAGACGTGAGGTTTTTCATAATTGTGTCCACAGCAAAAGGTCGTTAGCCAAGTGCGCTAACGACCCACTTATGGGTACGCAAAGCCAAGTTTGTTTCAGGCAAAAGGACGTTAGGATTTAGCATGCCGCTTAAGCGCACGTTTAATGCAGGGTCAGTTCACGGTTAAGGCAGATGGAATTCTCGGTAAAAGGTCGTAAGCAGAAAAATTGAAATAACTTCAAAATTAAGTAAATAACTTTCAAAAATAATTTTGAAATAACAATGCACAATTTTATTGTAATTAATAACGACTTTCATGAGCCCAAATTTCAGCCTGATGTGACTTTTTATTTAGAAATGGGAGCCCAAAACTTTCAACTCGATTATCTCCAAAAGTGCTTTTTGCGCGGCTGGGTTGCCTTAATTATGTCCTTTTCCTTGGCACACGACGAAATATTCTTCTTGTTAAAAGAATCCTACCTGCCAGTCCCAGTGCATGGCTGAACTCGTCTCTGATAATCTCCAGGACTTTCTTCACTCCTTCTTGTCCCTGTTAAGGCGGGAAAAATAATCCAAGATGTTTGTTTGAATGATTTTCTTATACAACACACTGTAATTCACGATTATAGCACTACCAACCAAAAAAAAGGTTTTGCATCAACGCGACCTTATCACGTGATGGACGGTTTACGATCCGCCATTTTGGACGTCTAGCGTAGTATTCGAAGGAGTATGGTACAGTACATGCATGTACATTACATTATGATTCATTGCATTGATGGTCTACTTTGTATGGAATGTTCTCCAAAAAAAAGTCATTGGTTAACCAAAAAAATGAACAGAAAATGAAAGATGATGAAATAAGCTTTAATGTGACGTGTGTCTCAAACACCTTTCTTGGAGAGTTGTGGGTATATCCCTGAATTTCGCAGTATGTGGACGTCCAATCCAGTTCGTAAGTGTGACGTCATTTCAACTAAAACCACGCCCACTGCACACGGAGTCGCATTTAAAATCATTGGAATAGTTGGAGCCGGAAGTAGTGAAAAGTGGCGGGTTTAGCCAATAGGCGCTAGTAATCAGTGGTGCGTGCGTGCGCGTGTATGACGCAGTCACTTATGAACCGGATACCACATAACAAGGCAGCGCGCTGTGCCGTCCTGAACGCGCTTTACTATTGGTTAACAAAGTTGACCCTGTATCCAACCTGATAATTCATTGCGTAAGAAAAATGCATAAATGGGAAAATGTTACGAAGTCTACACCCCCGTGCATAGAGAATTATATTTTGATGAGACGGCCCAGGCCTGGTTATCGACGATGCGTTGTATTTGTACAGGCCTACTTTAATTCGCGTAATAAAGTAATGTTGTCAGTTGTACCACAACTTGTGAATAAAAAAAGTCCGAGAAATTACATTATAGGCGAGTCCCCAGAGAACTGGTCGACCGATGAAGACAGCTCTTGCTCCCATGGCCAAAGCCTTCAGCACATCGTTGCCTGTCCGTACGCCACCGTCGAGGTACACCTCCATGTTGGAGCCATGCAAAATGGCCATCAAAGCGACACGAAGTCTTCTCAATCAACTTGATCTGCAAAATGTCAACTTCACTGTCTTTACAAGTCTTTTTTTTTATATCGGTCCTAACCGATAATGTAACAAAAATTGAATGCTATTGTTGTAACATTACTACTACACTATCGGTTAATGTTTGTGACATTATCGCGCAGTGATACAATATCGGTCAATTTGTGTGACATTATCGGTTGGTGATATGTTATCCGTGGGTTACTACATTATCAGTTGTAACAACCTTCAAGTTGATGAGTTGTTTTTGTAAACATATTATGCATAACACAGGTTGAGTTCCATACTAGGCCTCCACTTACCTGCCGCCAAACACATCAATTTTCACCTCACCTTGTGCTTTCACCCAAGATGAATCCAGGAAGACTCGCAAATGCGAAAGTTTTTTTAGGAAAAATGTTTTTAGAGCACATTTTGGACGCACACGTCGTGCAGAATTATGTTGGAGGCAGCTGGTCAAATTGATTGAAGTGTCTGGAAGACAGCGGTACTTTATACGCATGACATCGACAACCATGACAACACATTAGCCGGCCGATGGTAGTTCAATACGTCATTATGAATATTTAATTTCTCATGAATATTAGTTTATTTCAATGGATTCTTCAAATACGTCCAAAGATTGATCATTGCAATGCGACCGTGCGCGTGGTCTTAAGGTAATAGTTTTGTTTTTCAAGCAAGTGTCCGAGGTTCGAATCTCGATGAAGTAAAGTGACTGATTAATAAATAGGAATAAAGGAAAGGAGAGGGTGAGAGTAGAGGAGGAAATAAACCATAAAGGATGCAACTTTTTGGCGCTTGAAAAAAAGTAGTGGCCCAGTACGGAATTCTTTCCCATACCGTTGCTAAAGAGCCATCTAGGGCGCGCCCGCCCTGATTAGAGACCCACAGTCCGGCCACTCTGTGTTTCCTAGCTTCCCGTGCATTCAGTCCTGCATACAAATAGTAACAAAAAAATAATGATAAAATCATTAAACCTCTTCAATTCAACATTTTGCAGTTTCGTTTTATGTTTAGTTTCCCTTGATATTGCACCAATTTTGTCTTGCTTTTGTGCTAATTATTTGCAGTATCGGTGTCCTGGTCAATATTTTGTAAAAATTCGAGCCGAGTTACATTTTCTGTACCTCTGCAGTCTTTTTTGGAGAACAATCGCAGGCCTATAGTAGAGCCATATTTCTATATGTAGTACAGTTGTTGGTTGGTTAATCCTTGTGTGTTTTTGTTGGGTACACCAGGCCACAAACAGAATCAATATATAAACATAATTGTCTCCCAAAATACACAGTCGCGACTCTTGTTAGTACAAACTCTGTTAATACAAAATTCTGGTTATAACAAACATAAAGCCTTAGTCCCGACTGTGCATTTATATGCACAATGAATGGGACTGGTGTTCCTCTTAATACAAAATTCTGATATAACAAACAATTTGGCTAGGTCCGAACGAACGAGTTTGTTATAACGAGACTCGACTGTACACACGGTGTTGTGCTGCAGCTCATCACAAATCTGGCCACAAGTAGACTTCAGCTGCGGTAACAACGTCTTGTCAGGAGTAACAGGGGATGAACAAAGAGTGACAATGAGTGAAGTGCCTTGCCCAAGGTTACGTGCACCATATAGAGGCGAACCCACAACCTGCAGAATTACAGAGGCCACGTGGACTGAAATAGTGGGAAATGTTCGTCTGGGAACAAGGCTCAGTGCTCAGGACACCAAATAATTTCATAATTATGACAGCAACACCAACCTGACATGACTCCCTTCAGTACGATCGGCAGCGTTGTCAGGTTGCTCAACCAGTCAATCTGATCCCACGTTAGCTTAGGGTTAGCGTTTCTTTCAACAGTTGTGAATGACTGGCTGCGTGCTCCCTCAAAATTTGCGAATCTGTCAATTAGCAGCAATACAGCGCGAGTACAAAATAAACAAAACCCAAATATCAGGAGGATTGTTTTAGTGAAGTTCTGCATGTAGCACTTTCAAAATCCAAGATATGAAAGCCCAATTCATAAGCTTTCTTTTAGAACAAGAATCATTCAAATCACTCATGTACTTTTCAAGTTACGGAATTTTAAACACGACCACCGCTGAAAGAACACTTAGCTTTTTGTGATCCGTGGACAGAACTTTAAAACGGTGTGTTTAAAATTCCGTAACTTCAAAATTACAATGTACATGAGTGATTTGAATGATTCTTGAAAAAGAAAGCTTATGAATTGGGCTTTCATATCCTAGATCTTGTAAGTGCTACATGCAGAACTTCACTAAAACATTGGTCCCGACTTTTTGTTTTCGTTTTTTTTACTCACCCTGTATATTATAATACAGTATTCAATTTATGAACCATATTGGAAAGAAACTGAATTTATTAGAAACGGTTCTCATCCCTGAAAAAAAAGTGTTCTCTCTAGTTGGGCACTCTTGTAACATGTCTCCATGGTCAACGATATCAAATAATTTCATAGCTACACGACCTGTAATAACGTTATCTTAAACCAGTTTATATTTCCAAATGTTACACGGTAACTTGTACAATGTATATACATATGTATTCAAACTTGTACAATTTTTAATGAAAATTCATTTGAAATTCATTATGATCGAGGTATCAGCATATACTTTCTGATAAAAAATGCCAGCACCGAGCCAAAACAAAATATGCATAGTGAACAGTACATATGCATATCATATAAATGCTATAGCCGGTATTAAAGCTAACCTTTTTATTACCACTGTTTTTTTAGTCATCTTAATGCGAATCCAGGATACGTTCTGCAGTAGGCTCATTGTTATACAGTAGGCTCATTGAATTTATTTTAATAATAGTGGGTACGTGTTTATAAAGCACACGTACATGTATATACGTATCCACCAGTATTGGTGCTCCAGGGGACGGACCTGTGTTCACAGGAACGGAGTGCCCATCTCTCTTTCGAAGCGATTAGGCCAGACTCGAGTCCATGAAATGCTGCTGTGGGGGGATCGCCACACCTCCTCCACAGCGAGTCTGTTACCTTCCCAGCATTGAAGAATGCCGGTACCCATTTTACACCATGGTTGAGAGGAGGAAATTGAGGGCACAATACGCATGGCCACGGCGGGCTCGAACCCACATCGGTTCTCAACAAGTCATTTCTGTTGATTTAGGATATGTAATGAACGACACATTATATCCTTACCTGACGTGGGGCGGAATCAAATCTGCCCCCGCTTTCCTCTTTGAAATCTTCGCATCCAGCGAGACAACGATGGCTTTGAAGCCGTTCTGCTCTGCCTTCCTTATCATCCGGCGCACTGCTTCTTCGTCCGTGTAGGCAGTGAGTTGAGCCCAGAGCAGGCTATTGGGAGACGCCGCTGCGGCCACGTCCTCCATCGGGGTAGACGTATAGGTGCTCAACACCATACCGGTCCCCATGGAGGTGGCAGCTATAGATCGAACCATACAGACACCTTATACCTTGCAGGTATCTCAGACGGTGGCATTGTTATTTTGATCATAGGGCTTCGCCACCACGTTTTTTCCCATCTGATACCCATGGGCAAGCCATATGTAGATCCCATATGGCCTAACTTATGGCTCCATATGGGATACATTACATAGGACTTAGCCCATAATGTTATTTTGGTTCATATTACCCAGTATTTGCTCATTGAAAACAATTATGAGAAAACTTTGCTCATTGGCTTATCTTACTGTCATGTACTGAAACAACTTAAGTCACCAAAAAAAGAGAAAATTTACGACAGCGAAAAATACAAAATTCTGGCAAATATTGGTGCAGAAATAGCTGTAACATTGAGGTTCCTGCCTGAAATGGCATCACAGTTTTGCTTATGAATATGAAAATGCGCATTAGGATGAAAACCAAAAAGGTATCAAATTGCCCTTGAAAATGGCAAAATGAACATTGAAACAAGGGTTACATAGGCTACGACACGCTGGTGTACTTTCAAGGACTGCATTAATACAAATTCCATTACATTGGTCGAACATACCGCGGACTGTTGCCAGCTCGCTGTCACTGTGTGCTAAGCGGTGCAACGCAGTCGGTGCTATGGCAACAGGGAAGGCAATTTCATGGCCCAGCAGGGTGGTACGGAGGTCCCGAATGGACACATCACGAAGGGGGCCAGGCCTCAGTCGGTATCTACAGAAGCGATCAACAACAAGATATATTGGCCATCAGCCTCGGCCCAAAATTTTGGCCACCGGTATCAAATGAGGGGAATAATCGTCGTAGCGATTTTTGGCAAGGTATACACCTCCAGAGTTGGAATATGTGATAGCATTGCATTGGTGGAAGCTTTTTGGGTGTTAACACCTTTTTTCCCCAAAAAATGTCAATAAAAATGCTTGTTACCGCTCTAGGGGCGGTATACCTTGCACCTGCGCACTACATGTATAATCATTTATACCCTGATTTGATACTGACCAAACCCGTGTGCCTCGTCTTTAAGAACGCGTGCAGCATTCGCGTGAGCGTGACACCACCGCATTAAAATCTTCTGGTGCATGGTCGCCGGATTCCACTTAATATGCGGGCACGTGATCACATAAGGCCCCGTTCAATGGAGAAACCAATGTGCACGCTATACGAAGCAACTCCGGGCTCCTTCGACCAATAGGAATACCAAAATTCGCATGCACCTCGTCTTTTACCCTGGGCAGAGTGACCTGATGCCCCTGGGGCATCAACAAACCCAATGTTTTGAATATTTTTTTTTTTTTTTGGGGGGGGGGGTCAATAACGTTCACCTCCGATCTAATCCTCATTCAACCCTTGCCAAATCAGTTGGTTCAATGAACTTTGCAGCCAGGGCTACACCCAGGCCGTGTCAACAAACTTTCGACCAGGCCTCTTGTCAAGTCTCATTGAAACATCAACAAAGACCTGTAACTTGACACAGTCATCTCCCTTCATAACTGCATACCACAGCCGCCAGTCAATTATCTTTCCAGCGCACTGTGTGGCAACTGTCTGTAAACTGTCTGGCACGTGGCTTTTTGTTGTATTGCTATGAATAGGGTCTTGCGTAGTGCGGGAAATTACAGTGCTGCCCAGAGGACAGCAGTTGACGAGTTGTTGTAAAGTTTTTTTGTAAACACTGCGCAGGGTTTTGAACGCGTCAGTGCAGCATTCGCATGAGCGTGACACCACCGCATTAAAATCTTCTGGTCGCCGGATTCCACTTATGCGGAACGTGAACCCATTAGGCTCCGGTCAATGGAGTTGCGCACATTTACCAACATGACCAAGCAAGTACCCTCGACGGAGTATCTGAACTTTAGCGCGCAAAATGCTTCCGCAATGGAAGGGGCATCCATGGATGTGATAACCTGCCCGGATTGGTGTAGCACGTGGTGACTTCTTGGCCTTGTGGACACCAACAATATGTTGTTCCCTACTATACACACGTTTCCATAAGGCAGTAAATTACAAAACCACACAAGTGTGTATTTGCCTGCAATCGGGGACCCCTCTTTTGCTTGTTAACTTTTTAGGAAGACTTCCAATATGTTTTGTACACGATCGCCAAATTGGGGACCTTCAGGAATTTGGGACTTATTGTCCTCTATTGTTCAACGTTCCCTTTCGCCGTGTGTGTGTGTAGCCGCTGTGGCAAGTGGTATACAAAAACACAGCCTTGTAATCAAGGCTACAGCATGGCAGACTGTTTTGAATTAATGGTGCTATTTTAGTCATCCGTGACTGATATGGCTGAGTGCGATGTACGAATATACAAATCGCGGAAAGCAAATATATGGAAAATGCATGCTCACAAGTGAATCATAATATTCTGGGATAGCCTTTGGTTTTTACACCCTGTAACGGGTACACACGTTTATATGCATAGATCAAGTACTGAAGTAGTGCGGTATTATAGGAAGTGATTCAATCATGTTAGTAACACCGTCGTGGCCACAATGGATGCTTGACACATGCATACAGCATAGACCCTTGGACTGCATGAATGCGGACTCCTACGAAATGCGGACTCGACTCACTGATTGTATTTCATTATACATCACATCGAGGGTCAGGGTCCAAATAAGGTAAAGATACCAGATTTCATAGGAGTCAAATTTCATATGACACCGGTATAATAACAACGTGCATATGCACATGCATGTAAAGTGTGTGTCATGAGGCTGTAATTTTCTTTCTGTAAGGCTTACCTTTGGAACGCGTGTTCATTATCCCTCAGTGTCTGCTCGGGATAGGCGCCGCTCCTGTAGTATTCATAGACTGTTGCCGGCAAAGATCGCCGTGCGAATGGTTCAAAATCTTTCAAACGGACTGGCTTTGGAAGATCCATTTCCTAGTAGCTTGTACAACGGGAGCTTATATGCACTAGTGAAATACAGACTAGCCGAGGTGGGCCAATACACATACGCTGTGTCTGGAAAGGTCATGGTTCACTGAGCGCGAAGTTCACTCGTAGGCCCTAGTTGTATGTTTCCCGTGTCGACATGCATGACATGTTGAACGGCTCAATGTCTCGTGTCCATGTTACGTACACTAATGCATTTGTTCTACATATAAATATAGCGTTTTTATAAGGTTGCGGAAACACTATTCACCGATCTATAACAAATTAGCTCAATTAGTCGTCTTTCGGACGCTCATTTTAAATGGGCCATGTTTTGTCGACCATAAACTAGTCTGGTTCCCAGACCAAAATATTCTGACTATTCCTGATGAATCTTAAGTCAGGCAGCCTCCGTGGCTAAAAATAAACATGACGACATTAATGGCCCTTTTTCAAAGCTCGGCTTCGTTTCCGATTTCGCTTTATCACTTTTAGCTTTTAATGTTCGATCTGATCAATTTTTTAAGTAAAAAGATCACTTGCTTCGTAATATCATACAGTTATGATAATACAGTTTGATGTTTCTGTAAGATAACATTGACTAATGTTGATCTGGAATCTTCAAAATTAGGCACCCATTTAGCACTGTTAGCAGGCGGAGCGGAATGAAGACCGAGTTTTGGAAAATCTCAGTAACGGTCGTCAAATTCAAAATGGTACATGACGCAGCAAAAAGTTCGCCCATACGATCCGAGTATATTTGATGCACACAAATCGTCGTTGAATTTAAAGTTTTCTAATTGAAAGCAATGAATATTAATTATCAACTCATTTAAAAAAAAAAAATAATAAGCAATTAGCAGTTAATTAAACCTATATGATATTCGGAAATACTCGGGCGCTATCCGATTGCCGACGAAACAATTCGGCAAACTTCGGAAATTTTCGGAAAAAGGAGGAATTCCTCCCGTTTTAGTCACGTGACATAAGTTGTAATACAATGTATTACCGGAGGTTACCGGACCTAAGACAACCTCGTCCCCAGGGTGTCGAGCAGTACGCGCCCACCACTACCTGCTCTCTCACCCTGGTATTGGATCATTTGCATGTGCAAGATTTTTGCACACGTATGCAAATGAGGAACAGTCTGGTGCCTGGATATGTGTTACACATTAGCGTTTGTTTTTGTATGCGGTATCTGGGGTAAAAACAGAGTCAATTCGTAGCAGCGCGAGTGTTACGAAAACACGATTTTTGAAATCAAACTGTTACGATCTTATCGAGACAACATGCAGTATCATATTTCATATTAATATGAGCAAATTGGAAAGGAAATTAGTATTTTCGAGAAGGCGTGGACGAATGATCGCGAAAACACGTACTGCACGTTGTGAATATATAGCACCAAGTACACGATAAAAATCCATTACTAGCCAATTGCGGTATCCAATCAGGATACAGGAAGAAAGTTTCCTATCCAGGGTTTACTATTGGAAACGCGGTTGGAAATAAAGTAAGCACTGGGGACGAGGTTGGACCTAAGATTCATCGGGAATAGTCAGAATCTTTTTTTGGTCTGGGAACCAGACTAACCGTAAACGTGAAAAAATGGACTCTACATCTGGCAAACTCTTGGTGGCGCACTGCATTGGCAGTTGCCCAAATTAAGTTTCAATATTGACCCTCAAAAGTGCAAGGAACCTTGTTCAATTCTGGGTCACTGACCAGAAACTTTGAGAGTTGTATGCATTGTCCGGCCGGATTTCATTCCTGCTTTGATTCACAGGAGTGGGTTGGGTTTTCAGTCCCTGCATGAATGCGTTGGTTTTTCACAGGATATTCTTCGGGGATGTTATTTCACCTGCAAAGCTGTCATTTCTTTCGCCTTGCGAGCTTCAGTTCCCAGCCTGGGTTCTTATTTTGAGGAATCCTTGTTTGAAGTTCATCACCATTTAACCAAAATAATTCCCAAGTTGTCATTTACAGGGACCTCAGCGAGTGACGGCGATGGTGCAAATGTAAGCTTATAAGTGAAGAGTCCAACAAACCGAACTTTCTTTCTGAGAAGGAAGAGGAGTTGGGGGGGGGGGGGAGGGTTGAAACATGTATCCCCCCGCCCCCCATACACACAGATTGCAGGTTCGCCATTATTTTCTCGAAGATGGCTGAAAGGACTCTTCTTTGGTTAATCCCAAAAGTTGAATTTAAAGGGAAATTACATCCTGGAATGTGCTTAATTCGGGCGATTCACAATGCAGCGCGCCACCAAGAGTTTGCCATGGAGAGTCAGTTTTCAAAATTTACGGTCGACAAAACAAGGCCGATTTAAATGAGTGTCATTAAACAACTTTAGCTAATTGGTTATGAATTTGGGTATAGCGTTCTGCCGACCGTTACTAAATATACCATCTTGATACAAGGAAAAGAAAAAGGCAAATTTATACTCGAATCATACGCTTACGAAACTAACAATTTCAAATGTCCCGCGCTGCGAATTTGTCGACCATCTCCCACAATGCACTAGGGAAAATGAAATCTCCGTGTCAAACTTTTGGTGGCGCACTGCAGTGTGAAATGCCCGAAAACGCCTTTTAAGAAAGCAGGCTTCAGGGAAAAACTTGTTTTTAAAAGATGTTACATGTATATGTAATTGCATGATTTATCAAATAATTTGTTTTTGGTTGCTTTGCGCAATAATAAGTTTACAGAATGACAAAAAGAAATCAGCTTTTAACCAACCAGCAGCGTGGTGGCGCCCTTGCACATGGACAGCTACTTTCTGTTCCACTTTTTCTGTGGAGCGTCCGAATTTTCCTTTATATGACTCCACGTAAACACAGCACGTACAAACACGCAAGGGTGTTGCGCTACACCTATGAGGCTTTTTTAACCAATGATGTTAGCAGCTCAGCTCACTGGATTAAAGCTCCGCCCAGTCACGCACACATACACATTAAGTGCACGTGCACCATGTGAGGAAAGTCGCGCCATTACTTCGTTTTAATACAGTTAGGCGCTCTGTTTCGGTCTAAAACAAACAATAGTATACACTACAGTGTATATACATGTAGAGCAGACAGAGGTAACGGGAATTATAGCGTTTCGCCACAGTCAGTATGTAATTCATTTTCGCAACACTTGATATAAGTCTGTGTTTAGAATGGATGACTTGGACGGAATCATCGATGCCCTACCAATCAATCTTGACTTCAAACTTCGAGAGAGACAGAAAGATGTTATACAACTCCTACTGAAAAAGAAGGATGTCCTTGCCATATTGCCAACGGGGTCAGAAAGGAGTGCCATCTTTGCCTTGATGCCTCTCATTCAAGATAAGGTAAGACAACACTGGCAAAAACGAAGTGTTTAAATAGCCGTAAACCGGTGCCGCATTTGTTTACGTTCATATCCGGCATTTATCATTTGTTTTCCGATTCGTAGCTTTGGAACATTTGTTTTAAGGGAAATAAAGTCGGAAATTGTATTAGGTCTGCCGGATTGCCATCTCGTACGTGAATAGGAAGTCACAACAAAGCATATCGAACCAGACGAAGATTCGTTACACAGTCCAAAATTAACTCACTGAACATGTTTAGTGCTGTGCCGGTGTGACAGGTAATTCTGTCCCCCCTGGTAAATGTGTCCCCCGGACACATTTACCGGCTCGTGACCCGGTAAATGTGTCCGGGGGGACACTTTTACCTAGGTAAATTTGTCCCCCTCCAGGTAAAAATGACCCCCTGCCCAACGGTGAAAGTGTCCCCCTGGTAAATGTGGCCCCATGCAGTATGTACTGAGAGTAGCAGCGTGTCGCGCGCGCCAGTACATGCTGCAAGATTTGAGGCAGTGATTATAACATGTGTACATATGCGTCTCCCTCTACAATGGAAATTCGTCCAATAGGAAATTTCGTTACGCGCTATGATGGGAACACAGACCAATCCAAGGAGACGTTGTATCATACTATCAATGAGACGAGGGCCATCGCCATGCATCGCCGCTGTGTTGACCTATCGCGGTAGAATCGCGATAGACTTCACCGTACTCCGAATCGAAACATTGTGTTCACGTATCACCTAATAGACTAAATTAAATATTTTTTATATTCATGAAGGGCAGACTAAAAGTCCAAAATGTATACCTTGTAGAGTGAATTCATCAAAACAATAACCTTCCGGGTTTCAAAAGAGGGGGATAAAAAAACCTGGGGGACAGAATTACCTGGAGGGGACAGAATTACCTGGAGGGGGACAGAATTAACGGGCCAGGGAGGACACTTTTACCTAGGTAATTCTGTCCCCCCGGACACTTTTACCGGGGGACAGAATTACCTTCCGCACCGGTAAAAGAGCTTAACATAATCGGGGACCAGTTTACGGTCAAATATACACCGAATACTTAGAACCAACGTGAAGGTATATAATTTTGGACGCAACTTATTTCTGCATGACCTTTCCCGTATCTATTTATTAAAGTTGCGATCTGAAACTGATATTCAGTGACATTTTCCAAAGTTCAAAACAGACTGATAATGATATTGAAGTTTGGCATCCACGTGGTATTTAATGGGGAAGGCACAAGCACCGTCATTTTGGACATGGCATGCTCGATCGATCGTGGGTCATGTTGATTATGCAAACATGTTCCGGTGTTTATTCCGAACAGGAACTTCAAAAAGTCATCGGCTTATAACCCTTAAACATTCAACAACAAAAATGTAAGTTGATGAAAGAAGCCTTAATGTGATATGTCTCAAACACCTTGGATTATAGTGTTGGTATTGTTTTTTGAATTTCTGAAAAAGGTACTATTTTTATCAATGGGGTTTAGGCCTATGACAGTTTATTTACTAGCCTGCAACCGTAGGCGTTCAAAAATGGTGGGCGCGTGGGTGACCACTGACCTGTGACGTCACGTGAAATACTCCGGTTAATGAAATCCTGCATGACAATCGAATCAATTAACTGGTTTCGAAGGGGAAAATATATTTGCACATGTGACTCCCTGCAAACACTGCCCCATAATACCTGGATTGTGGATTAAACTTCAATAAGCATTTTACGTGTTCAATCTTTACACGGGCGTCGGTCGGGGTTAATTTCGGGTTAATTAATTGAGTCCAAACAATTGGGACTCTCAATACTGTGTATCCATGAGTCCCAAAACTTAAGGTATTGTCAGCATACAATACAAAAGAAATTTGACGGAGCAAGCAAACAGATGTTTCAATGCAGGCATAAACACTGCTGCATTTTGCCAGAGATGAAATACGAGGAAAAAGCTGGTATTCTAACCTTTCACTAAAACCCTCCTTCTTTTAAAAAAGTCACAGGCAGTCAAACAGATCAATCACCTTTCCCTGTCATGTATTTTACACAGGCTAGTCACCAACACAGCTCTATGGGCATACAGTTGTAGCTCGCATGTGATTTTGAATATTCCAGTATTCGGTCAAACGTATTTTTGAATAATCAAATACTAAATTATTCGAAAATGAACAGCTCTAATGCCACCTCAATACATTGAAGGAAAAACAAAACACTGTTGCGGGTAAAAGATTCCTCAAAATACTTTTTTTTTTATTCCCCCCCCCCCCCCAAAAAAGGTAAAAGTTATCAAACTATATATTTTGCAAGGCAACGGAACTTATTTCAGGGTTGAATTCATAAGAACAGTTACTTTTCAATGTTTTAATTATTAAATTATTTAGTTACTTCTTTTTATTATTATCTCCTTTTTTTTTTTAACCAATTAACAACATTTAGATGGTTTTACATTTCGATCCTTAGCAGGACCTTTGTTGATTTGTGTATTTCAGGTCAATTGAGTCAGTAAGCAGTTTGCAGAAATTGTATTAATTTTGGTTTTCCTGTTGTAGAATACTGAAAATATTTCTAAAATAGAGTTTATGTCCCAAGCCCTATTGAGACGCAACCATTCTTCAGAAATGTCAAGACTTTTCCAAAAGTCTAATTCCAAATTGTCACTGATGTCGTAAATGTGTTATAGAAGATGCAGTTCTTAAAACAAATCTTAATCACATGTTTCAAAGTACATGTCAAGTTTTAGAAAAGCTCATTATGAAATTTATGAAATGTACATTAAGAATACACTATTTTTTAACAGTTACATACTGTAATTGTGCAATTTTGTCCTTACAGTATATACAGATAATACACCACGAATGATAATGCAGTTGGAAATAACAAAAAAACAAAAACTGCCAATAACTGCAAATGATATGATCAATCTTTCAAATATATTATATTCTTAATACTGATGTTGAAAACGCTGATATTAAATTCTGACTCAAAAACACAGTCGGAAAAGCCAGTGTCATATGAAATGTTGACTCCTATGATATCTGGTCTCTTTAACATGCGCAATACAACAAAATCCGTATTTTATAGACAATCCAAATTTCACATGACACCGGAATGTACATACATGGAAGTGGGGAGTAATAAAACAATAAAATAAGTACATTTTGTATGTGTCAAGCAACAGCTAAATTGATAGTGTTTAAGTTACTTTCACAAATTAGATCTTTTTTTCTCTTATTAAAGTTTAAATTTTGTATGTTAAAAATTGCAAAAATAACAATTAGTTTTTTATTTCGGCTTCTACAAACCCTCTGACAAAATGGCATAATTAGGGTTGCTTTTGTGTCTCTAAAGCTGCATATAATTCAAATTTGTAAAAAAAAATGATCCATTTTGAATTAAACGTGGGCATTTTTTTTTCTTTGGCTGTCCCATTCCAAAGTAAATAACTATTGCAACCCTGGAAAAATTAGAGAAATTACAAATCAAATATTTGTTTTTGCTTATTTATCAGGATTTAACTCAAAAATAACACAGGGGAGATAACTTTAAAGATACAGAATATTATTTCAGTTTTAGCAAGGGTAACTCATTAAATCCGTAATACAGGTAATCACTGATGTTACCAGATCCTATGTGCCTTTAAAGTCACTGTTGTGGCTATTCTTTACCTGGTAGCGAACATGAAGAATTAGAGCTTTGCAGTATGGAACGGATCCCTCACCACCAGACTCTGTGAGATATCAGATGGACTGGCACATTCTGCATATAAAAATATACCACAAACATTAGATTTTTAAAGTATATTGCTGATCACTCACCACCGTGCTCGATGAAATATCAAATAGACTGGCACATTCTGCATTGAAAAAAAATATACCACAAACACTTTACATGGAAATATATCTATTTGTCGGGTGCGTGAAAGAACTTCATCAGGGCCTACTAGGGTCAAAAGGTCAACTTCGGATTTTTCGGGTAATCTATAGAGCATGGAAATATCTTTCATTTGTATACATTTTGTCGCAAAGGGCTACGTCATACAGTAAAACGTAAGGAGGTTTTTCAATGTTCCCAGCAAAAGGTCGTTAGTGTGTAATTGTAATGTAACAATTAAAATATGTTCCAAGTGCGCTAACGTCCCACTTAAATGGGTAGGCACAGCCAAGTTTGTTCCAGGCACAAGGACGTTAGGATTCAACATGCCGCTTAAGCGCACGTTTAAGGCAGATGGAGTTCTCGGTAAAAGGTCGTAAGCAGAAAAATTGAAATAACTTTATTATAAAATTATTTTGAAATAACAATGCACAATATTATTGTAATTATTAACGACTTTCATGAGCCCAAATTTCAGCCTGAGGTGATTTTTTATTTAGAAATGGGAGCCCAAAACTTTCAACTCGATTATCTCCAAAAGTGCTTTTTGCGTGGCTGGGCTGCCTTATGTCCTTTTCCTTGGCACACCACGAAATATTCTTCTTGTTAAAAGAATCCTACCTGCCAGTCCCAGTGCATGACTGAATTCGTCTCTTATAATCTCCAGGACTTTCTTCACTCCTTCTTGTCCCTGTTAAGGCGGGAAAAATAATCCAAGATGTTTGTTTGAATGATTTTCTTATATACAACATTAACACACTATAATTCACGATTATAGCGCCACCAACCCCAAAATGAGGTTTGGCATCAACACGACTTTATCACGTGATGGACGGTTTACGATCCGCCATTTTGGACGTCTAGCGTGGTATTCGATGGATTATGGTACAGTACATGCATGTACATTACATTATGATTCATTGCATTGATGATCTACCTTGTATGGAATTTTCTCCCAAAAAAGTCATTGCTTTATCCAAAAAAAAAAAAAAAACCAGAAAATGAAAGATGGTGAAATAAGCTTTAATGTGACTTGTGTCTCAAGCACCTTCATTGGAGAGTTGTGGGTATATCCCTGAATTTCGCAGTATGTGGACGTCCAATCGAGTTCGTAAGTGTGACGTCATTTCAACTAAAACCACGCCCACTACACACGGAGTAGCATTTAAAATCATTGGAATAGTTGGAGCCGGAAGTAGTGAAAAGTGGCGGGTTTAGCCAATAGGCGCTAGTAATCAGTGGTGCGTGCGCGTGTATGACGCAGTCACTTACGAACCGGATACCACATAACAAGGCAGAGCGCTGTGCCGTCCTGAACGCGCTTTACTATTGGCTAACAAAGTTGACTCTGTATCCAACATGAATATTCAGTGCGTAAGGAAAATGCATAAATGGGAAAATGTTACGAAGTCTACACGCCCGTGCATAGAGCATTGTATTTTTATGAGACGGCCCAGGCCTGGTTATCGAGGATGCGTTGTATTTGTACAGGCCTACTTTAATTCGCGTAATAAAGTAATGTTGTCAGTTGTACCACAACTTGTGAATAAAAAAAGTCCGAGAAATTACATTATAGGCGAGTCCCCAGAGCACTGGTCGACCGATGAAGACAGCTCTTGCTCCCATGGCCAAAGCCTTCAGCACATCGTTGCCTGTCCGTACGCCACCGTCGAGGTACACCTCCATGTTGGAGCCACGGGCTGCCTCGACCACTTCGGATAACACGTCTATCTGCAAAATGGCCATCGTCAACGCGACAATAATTCCTCTCATTAAATGCTTACAGGGTGATTTGCATTTATCCCCAAAGTAGTCTACCAAATTATTATTGAAAAGCTTACTTGGACTAAAGATCATACGTACTGGTACTAAAAATCCCGTGAAATTATTCCGTCTGGCTTGCCGTCGATGATAAGAAACGTAGGTGATTTCCAACTATCAGTTAATTGACTTAATTTGGAAAAGATAGAGTGCTATGGACGAAATCGTATTTCGTGATCAAAAAGTTTTGCATGGTTTTTCACTGTTTTCTCGAATAGCTGAAACGACACCAGGTTAGGTTTTGAACACTCTTCTTTTGTAAGGGTTTTAAGTGGTGTTATTATTGGCAAAGAACAAAATGCATAAAAAGCAAACTAATTCTATATGATTTTCAATATCCACGATAAGTTGCAGACAACTCTATTTCCAATATGACAACTTCGTTCCCAGCGTTTGCTTCTACCTCGACACAGTAGAGTAGCCCATGGAAGGGAAACTTGCTTCCTTGGTCTGTCCCCTATTTAATCTGTTTGTTCTTCTACTCCTTTCCCTTTTGTTCTTCACCCACATTGGTCTGTCCCCTTATTAAATACCTCTTCTGTCATGTGTTTCTCCTCAAAACCCTGCATGCTTGAGAGTCCCTACATGTTTGTTTCTTGTACCGCCGTCGTTTTGCCTCGGAAGAAGATCTTGTTAAAATCTCAGCGTCAGGCCGCCATAATTGTTTTGATTAATATATAGATTTTTGTAAATATTATGCCTACCGTTGCTAAAGAGCCATCTAGAGAACGCCCACCATGATTAGAGACCCAAAGTCCGGCCACTCTGTGTTTCATAGCTTTACGCGCAGTCAGTCCTGTATATAAATAATAACGGGAAAAAAATAGTAAAAACCAATATTAGGTTTTGCCCTTCACCGACGTATAAACAATGCCGGTACCCATTTATACTCATGAGTAGGGAGAGGCAATTGGGAATGAAGTGGCTTGCCCAAGGACACAACATATATCCAGTAGCTTGATTCGAACCCCTGACCCTCTTATCGCGAGTCTCGAACCCTAACCACTAGGCAACACTCCCCCACACTGCCCACAGTATGGGAGACCTGGTCAGATTGATATATACTGGAAAATACTTAGCTTGGGTCAAACTTTGGTACCTCTGCAAACTGTTTTTGGAGAACCCCCTTTTGTTTATCCCAAGCCTATAGTAGATCCATTTCTATATCATGTTGTACTGTTGTTGGTTAGTTAAATCGTTGTGTGTTTTTGTAGTGTACACCAAGCCACAAATAGAAAAAAAAATAGATAAACACTATGCCCCCCATAAAAAACAACTATATACCAGTGTTGTGTTAGAGATTATCACAAATCCGTCTACTTAAGTAGACCAAAACTCCGTTAACGGGTGATGAACAATGACTAATGAATACTTTTGATACAGTTCATTTGAATAAGTTGTGACTTACTCGAGACTGGGTGACCTGTGTTGAACTTGTGAGGACTCGTGGGGAATTGTTACGACAATGGAATGCTTTTGATACAGTTTATTTCAATAACTTATAACTGACTTGGGGCTGGATGACGTGTGTTGAACTTGTATGAGGACTGTGATAACTTGTGAGGACAACGTAATTCGATATAGCTCATTTGAATCACTAAACGGGAGCTGGATGTCCAGTGTTGAACTTGTGAGGACTCGTGGCTACTATTGATACAGTTCATATCAATGACTTATGAATGATATTTGGGACTTGATAACTTGTGTCAAACTTGTGACGACTCTTGGTGACTTGTGACGACAAAGACAAAGGAATTCTGTTAATACAGTTCATTTGAATAAGTTGTGACGACTTGTGAAAGGATGACCAGTGTGGAACTTGTGAGGACTCGTGGGAACTTTTGAGGACAAAGACAAAGTAATTATTTTGATACAGTTGAATTGAATAACTTGTAACTTCAACTTGAGACGGATTACGTGTTTTGAACTTGTGAGAACTCGTGGGGACATTTGAGGAGAATGGAATGCTTTTGCTACAGTTCATTTCAATAACTTATGACTGATTTATGGGACTGGCTGACTTGTGCTGATCTTGAGAGGACTCGTGTGAATTTGTGAGGACAAAAGAATGCTTTTTATACAGTGCTGCACCTGTGAGGAATGAGGACTCCAATGAATTTCACAATTATGGGAGCAACACCAACCTGACATGACCCCCTTCAGTACGATCGGCAGTGTTGTCAGGTTGCTCAACCAGTCAATCTCATCCCAAGTCAGCTTAGGGTTAGCGTTCCTTTCAACAGTTGTGAACGACTGACTGCGTGCTCCTTCAAAATTTGCGAATCTGTCAATTTGCAGAAATGATTTATGATACAGTTATGTGCTACATTTACGAACCGTACTGGAAAGAATCTGAATTCATTAAAAACGGTTCTCATCCGTGTAAAAAAGTTGTGTTTTTTTTCTTAGTTGGAGCTCTTGTAACATGTCTCCATCTGCATGGGCATCGATATCAAATAATTTCATAGCTACGTGAGTTGTAATAACATAATCTTAACCGAGTCTATTTTTTTCCAAACTTTACACAGTAATAATATATGTATACAGTCAAACTTGTACACTTTGTATGAAATTTAATTTGACAGAAATTCGTTTTGATTGAGGTATGAACATATACTTTCATATCAAAAATGCCAGCACAGAACCAAAACAAAATACAGGGCGAGTCAAAAAAGCAGAACCCAACCCCCCCCCCCATTTTTTTTTTTTATATGTAGTACCAAAACTAATAATGACTTGAAAGCCAATTTCATTAGCTACTTTTTGATGGAAAAATACTGAAGTTGCTTAATCCGTTCAAACAATAGCACCATTTAAACGCAATGACCCTAAGACCTGTCTCGTCCAAAAAAAAAAAAAAAAAATAGGGGGGGGGGGGCGGTTTGACTGTTTGGAGCAACAAAGAAAATGACACAGAATACTTGTTTCAACAACTGTCAACAACTATGGTACACAATATCTTTATAAACAACCCTGGTTAGGCAAACAATATGATTTATAAAATCCACTTTTTTTTTTAAAAAGACGGGCCTTCAAAAGGACTCTGTTGCATATTTTTAACTTTTTAACTCAGGTTTTATCGCTGGTGATGTTTGAAGACAATTGTGACGACGATTCTTGAAACTGCATTTTTGGACGAGACACGTTTTGAGGTCATTGTGTTTAAATGTTGATATTCTCTGAACGGATTGAGCAATTTCAGTATTTTTTTCATCTAAAAGTAGGTTATGAAATTGGCTTTCCAGTCATTATTATTTTTGGTGCTACATACTTTCTTAAATATGAAATATAATTTGGGGGGTTTGGGTTCCGCTTTTTTGACTCGCCCTGTATTCATAGTGAACAATACATTCGCATATATAGCCGATACTAGTACAAAAGCTACCCTTTTATTACCACTGTTTTTCCCCTGTAAGGAGTCATCTTAATGAGAATCCAGAAAAAGTTATGTAGTAGGCTCATTGAATTTTAATTATAATGGGTGTTTATAACTCCCCAATTCACCAATATTGGTGTACATGACATGTCTTTACGATAGAGGACAGATACAGGGGAACAAGAGATCTTTTCAGTCATCGAGCGTCGGGTCTTTTGTTGAAAACGTCCTGGATTTAATACGGTTATGTGCTTAGTCTATGGCAGAGTGTTATATTACAAGGACAAGGGGAAGCACAAAGCATTGTCCTCAGGCGTATATAAATTCACGACTGTGTGCTCAAGTCTGGCTTTAATGGTTCAACAACAACAACAAAGATCAGTCTATTCTTTTGATTTCGGATATTTTATGAGATGATACTTAATCCTTACTTGACGTGGGGCGGAATCAAATCTGCCCCCGCTTTCCTCTTGGACATCTTCGCATCCAGCGAGACAACGATGGCTTTGAAGCCGTTCTGCTCTGCCTTCCTTATCATCCGGCGCACTGCTTCTTCGTCCGTGTAGGCAGTGAGTTGAGCCCAGAGCAGGCTATTTGGAGACGCCGCTGCGGCCACGTCCTCCATAGGGGTAGACGTATAGGTGCTCAATACCATACCAGTTCCCATGGAGGTTGCAGCTAGATCGAACCATACACAAACCTTATATATACCTATCTCAGAGGGTGTCATTGTTGTTTTTAATCATAGGACTTCGCCACCACGTTTTTTCCCCGATCTGATACCCATATGCCCATGTAGATCCCATATGGCCTAACCCACATGGCCCCATATGGGATAAATGGCCCCATATGGGATACATAAGGCTCAGCCAACCCGAAGTTCTTTTTTCACATTGTGAACCCAATATTTGCTCATTGAAAACAATTCGGGCGATTCACAATGCAGAGCGCCACCAATAGTTTGCCACGGAGAGTTCATTTTCCCCAGTGCCTTGTGGGAGATGGTCGACAAATTCGCAGCGTGGGACATTCGAAATTGTTCGGTTTTTTTCCGGTCAGTAGTTTCGTAAGCGTATGATTCGAGCATATGTTTGCCCTTTGATATTCTTTGTATCAATATGGTGATTTTTGTAAGACGGCAGAACGCTAAGCCCCTATCTATAACATACTAACTCAAGTTGTCTACTGACTCTCATTCAAATGGGCCATATTTTGTCGACCGTAAACTTGAAAAGTTGACTCTCCATGGCAAACTCTTGGTGGCGCACTGCAATGTGAATCGCCCGAATTATGAGAAAACTTTGCTCATTTGCTTATCTTACTGTCATGTACTGAAACAACTTAAATCACCAAAGAAAGGAAATTTACAACAGCGAAAAATACCAAATTCTGGCAAATCCTCGACCCTCCTTTATCTGCGCAGGTAACGCTTGCATACGCGCGCACGTTGCCACACACAAATTGAAGGTAAATGCGAAGAAATAGGACCGCGTAGCCGCGGTCTGACGAAATAGTAGGTCAGACACAGCTGTAACATTGAGGTTTCTGCCTTAAATGGCATCACAGTTTTGCTTATGAATATGAAAATGCCCATTAGGATGAAAACCAAAAAGGTATCAACAAATGAACATTGAAACAAGGGTTAAATAGGCTACGACACGCTGGTGTACTTTCAAGGACTACGTTAATACAAATTCCATTACATGGGCCGTTTACATACCTCGGACTGTTGCCAGCTCTCCATCACTGTGTGCTAAGCGGTGCAACGCAGTCGGTGCTATGGCAACAGGGAAGGCAATTTCATGGCCCAGCAAGGTGGTTCGGAAGTCCCGAATGGACACATCACGAAGGGGGCCAGGCCTCAGTCGGTATCTACAGAAACGATCACCAACAAGATATAGGCCTAGACCTACTAAAAAAAGAAGAAGATATATACCGGATCTGCCTGTCAGATATTTCTGCTTTGCACGGGCACTGACGGGGTTATCACACAAATGAGGCCGTGGGTTCTGCTGTCTTTGACGTTATGGGAAACAATATTACGGACTTCGTTAGATGTTATTAACAGTTCAAATTAACAACATATTGTTTTGACCTCCCGAAACATTTGTACACGTAGGCTACGTATAGACAAAAATCCGGCAGCAGCCATTTTCTGCGGTATCGGGCACCATGCAGCGCAAGTCGCGCTCAGTTAGTATACACTGCAATAATTCGACCAATAGGGATACCAAAATGCGCGCGCGCCTCGTCTTTACGCGCGCAGCATTCGCGAGAGTAACACCACCGCAGTACTGTCTTGTAATTCTGATGGCCGGATTCCACTTAGGCCTATGCGGGCACGTGAACACTTGAAGCTCCGTTCAATGGAGAAACCATTGCGCACACTATAGACCTTTCTACGCTCGGTTGGCAAACTGCACATTTTGCCAACCACGGGTTTCAAAACTATGGAAGATCCAACACTGCAAAAATAAGAGGAGTTATTACAGATAACCAAAATATTGTTTGATTGTTGGAAATACAACTTCATTTTCAACAAAGCTACAACATAATTCCTAAACATGCTTTTTTAATATGTATTGAGGGCGTTATGGGGACTTTTCTTGGCAAAATATGTTGCCAACCACGGCTTCAATTTATGCGCTTGCGGCAGCCCATACAAAAACAGCGCCAATTTACAAACAAATGAAAGGTCTATACCAAGCAACCACCCATCGACGGTATCTGAACTATAGCTCGCAAAATGCTTTCGCCATGGAAGGGGCATCCATGGATGTGATAGGCTGCCCTGATTGGTCTATAGCTTTCAATGCGCATGGTGAGTTCATGACCGGATGGCTCACAGGCTATTTCGAGCTGTCCAAACAAGTGAAGCTTCGCGTTGTTTCCAAATTGCTCAGACATTGGAATGTAGGGAGAAAACCAGCCTCAACCACACCCATTGTTCAAAAAATAAATAAATAAAAGAACCTTCTTAAAGCATACGAAAGGTTTTTTTTTTCTCAAAAAGAAATGGTATAAAATGTCTTTTCTTGCCATTTCAATTTTGTTCATAAAAAAACATGTCAATGAAAATCGATGTCTTTCTTTACAAATTCATTGTTGTGTTCTTGGAGTAGTAATACAGCGGTCGGTGACTTTATGGTTAACAGCCCGTATAGGCTATCTCTTTTTTTTTTACATGATCCCACATACTAGAATTTGTATCCTTGTGTAGACATCTCTTTGTTCTCGTGTACAAACATTGAGTTGAAAATTTGGTTTCAAAATGCTCCTGTTTTAACAAGAATTCACTTCCGCGTGCTGAAATTCGGATCCGTTGTCTCTCACATAAATTACTTCAATTTGTGACACACCTTGGAAATTCCTAGTTGTTGAGTAAATTCTATTTGCGAACTCCTTGTGGAGACGTTTTCACCTATAGAAATTGCCTTGTGGATACCTTTACAATATTTTGTTCCCTACTATACACACGTCTCCATAAGGCAGTAAATTACAAAACCACACAAGTGTGTATTTGCCTGCAATTGGGGACCCCAATTGTCCCTCTTTTGCTTGTTAACTTTTTAGGAAGACTTCCAATATGTTTTGTACACGATCGCCAAATTGGGGACATTCAGGAATTTGGGACCTATTATTGTCCTCTATTGTTCAACGTTCCCTTTCGCCGGGTGTGTGTGGAGCCGCTGTGGCAAGTGGTATACACAAACACAGCCTTGCAATCAAGGCTACAGCATGGCAGACTGTTTTGAATTAATGGTGCTATTTTAGTCATCCGTGACTGATATGGCTGAGTGCGATGTACGAATCAATACAAATCGCGGAAAGCAAATATATGGAAAATGCATGCTCACAAGTGAATCATACATTCTGGGATAACCTTTGGTTTTTACACCCTGTAACAGGTACACACGTTCATATGCATTGATCGAGTAGTGCGGTCTAAAGGTGATTATAACACCGTCGTGTCCACAATGGATGCTTGACACATGCATACAGCACATAGGCCCTGTAATTTGGATTGCATGAATGCGAACTCCTACGAAATGCGGACTCGACTCACTGGTTGTATTTCATTACACATCACATCGAGGGTCAGAGTCCAATAAGGTAAAGATACCAGATTTCATAGGAGTCAAATTTCATATGACACCGGTAATAACAACATGCATATGCACATGCATGTGAAGTGTGTGTCATGAGGCTGTAATTTTATTTCTGTAAGGCCTACCTTTGGAACGCGTGTTCATTATCCCTCAGTGTCTGCTCGGGATAGGCGCCGCTCCTGTAGTATTCATAGACTGTTGCCGGCAAAGATCGCCGTGCGAATGGTTCAAAATCTTTCAAACGGACTGGCTTTGGAAGATCCATTTCCTAGTAGCTTGTACAACGGGAGCTTATGCACTAGCCAGTGAAATACAGACTAGCCGACTGTGGGCCAATGCACCTACACTGTGTCTGAAAGGTCATGGTTCACTAAGCGCGAAGTTCACTCGTACTTGGCCTCAATAAACTCGACCCTAGTATGTTTCGTAGCTGTGTCGATATGACATGTACGGCTCAATGTTTGGTGTTCATGTTAATGTATTTGTTTTACACTAGTGCAGTGCCCGTCTAAAATGTGCATGTTCGGGAAGCGCAAATTGCTTTGCCGCTGGTATAGGTTGCATACTTGCAGAGGTTTGGAGAACTGCTCGTGCAAACAACTCACGCGATTCAATGGTGTTGTTTTCACAGGTTGAACGCACACTTACGTCAAAGTTTGTGCCAAGTTTGAAGTTCGACCACCTACAATGGTCGCTCTGTCGACTGCAAAAATAATGTGCCCGTGTACATACGAAAACATGGTATGCAGTGCTATTCACCCGTACTGGACAATGTGTCGCCCTACACCACTGCACGTGCGCGTGTCCGTCCTTTTTGCATTGTTTGCGTCATATTGAGCACGCGCGCTTTAGCTTATACATGACGTAAACAATTGAAAAGAACGGCAGTGCGTGGTGTTATGTTCTAAGCTGCCACGTTTGCCTCCGAAAATACTGCTGTTTTGCAGCTTTTTCGAAAACCGCTCATCCAAACCACTTCAAACTTGGCACTGCACATTATGTTGCCCCGAGCAATACACCCGCCGATTTTCAACGTCATACGGTGCCCGGCTCTGGAGATAATCGGCGGACAGACATAGACAGACAGACGGACAGACAGACAGAGATTCCTTGAATTGTAGTATAGATATAAATATAGCGTTTTTATAAGGTTGCGGAAACACTCTTTACGGATCTATAACAAATTAGCTGAGTAGTCGTCTATTGACACTCATTTATAATGGGCCATGTTTTGTCGACCGTAAACGTACTAGTCTGGTTCCCAGACCAAAAGATTCTGACTATTCCTGATGAATCTAAATTTGTCAGGCAGCCTCCGTGGCTAAAAATAAACATGACGACATTGATGGCCCTTTTTCAAAGCTCGGCTTCGTTTCCAATTTCGCTTTATCACTTTTAGCTTTTAATGTTCGATGTGATCATTTTTTAAAGTAATTCACTTGCTTCGTAATATCATACAGTTATGATAATTATACAGTTTGATGTTTCTGTAAGATAACATTGACTAATGTTGATCTGGAATCTTCAAAATTAGGCACCCATTTAGCACTGTTAGCAGGCGGAGCGGAATGAAGACCGAGTTTTGGAAAATCTCAGTAACGGTCGTCAAATTCAAAATGGTACATGACGCAGCAAAAAGTTCGCCCATAAGATCCAAGTATTTGATGCACAAAATCGTCGTTAAATTTAAAGTTTTCTAAATGAAAGCAATGAATATTAATTATCAACTCATTTAAAAAAAAATTAATAAGCAATTAGCAGTTAATCAAACCTATATGTATTTGGAAATACTCGGGCGCTATCCGATTGTCGACGAAACGAATTCGGCAAACTTCGGAAATTTTCGGAAAAAGGAGGAATTCCTCCCGTTTTAGTCACGTGACATAAGTTGTAATACAATGTATTACCGGAGGGTACCGGTGTCACATGAAAATCCGACTCCTATGAAAATCGGACCCCTTTTCCCTATTATTGGTTAATTCTTCTCATGTGACCGGTCACTCTCCTAATTATCATATTTACGCATGCGTGGTATTACCAATGAGTCTGAATTTCATAGAAACCTAAATTCACGCTACACCGGATCTAAGATTCATCGGGAATAGTCAGAGTCTTTTGGTCTGGGAACCAGACTAACCGTAAACGTGAAAAAATGGACTCTACATATGGCAAACTCTTGGTGGCGGAATGCATGTCAGTTGCCCAAATTAAGTTTCAATATTGACCCTCAAAAGTGCAAGGAACCTGGTTCAATTCTGGGTCACTGACCAGAAACTTTGAGAGTTGTATGCATGGTCCAGCCGGATTTCATTCCTGCTTTGATTCACATGGAGTGGGTTGGGTTTTTCAGTCCCTGCATGAATGCGTTGGTTTTTCACAGGATATTCTTCGGGGATGTTATTTCACCTCCAAAGCTGTCATTTCTTTCGCCTTCCGAGCTTCATTGTTATTTTGAGGAATCCTTGGTTTGAAGTTCATTACCATTTAACCAAAATAATTCCCAAATTGTCATTTACAGGGACCTCAGCGAGTGACGGCGATGGTGCAAATGTAAGCTTATAAGTGAAGAGTCCAACAAACCGAACTTTCTTTCTGAGAAGGAAGAGGAGGTGGCAGTTGGCGGGGGGGGGGGGGGGGGACATGTATCCCCCCGACCCCCATACACACAGATTGCAGGTTCGCCATTATTTTCTCGAAGATGGCTGAAAGCACTCTTCTTTGGTTAATCCCAAAACTTGAATTTAAAGGGAAATTACATCCTGGAATGTGCTTAATTCGGGCGATTCACAATGCAGTGCGCCACCAAGAGTTTGCCATGGAGAGTCAGTTTTCCAAATTTACGGTTGACAAAACAAAGCCCATTGGAATGAGTGTCATTCAACAACTTTAGCTAATTGGTTATGAATTTGGGTGAAGCGTTCTGCCGACTTACTAAAAACACCATATTGATACAAAGAAAAGAAAAAGGCAAATTAATACCCGAATTATTCGCTTACGAAACTACTGACCCGAAACAAAATAACAATTTCAAATGTCCCGCGCTGCGAATTTGTCGACCATCTCCCAAAATGCACTAGGAGAAATGAACTCTCCGTGTCAAACTCTTGGTGGCGCACTGCATTGTGAAATGCCCGAATTGGGATACAAAACGCCTTTTAAGAAAGCAGGTTTCAGGGAAAAACTTGTTTTTAAAAGATGTTATATGCTGCATGATTTAGCAAATACTTTGTTTTTGGTTGCTTTGCGCAATAAGTTTACAGAATGACAAAAATAAATCAGCTTTCTACCTATCAGGAGCGTGGTGGCGCCCTTGCACACGGACAGCTACTTTCTGTTTCACTTTTTCTGTGGAGGGTCCGATCTTCTCTTTATATGACTCCACGTAAACACAGCACGTACAAACACGCATGGGTGCTGCGCTACACCCATGAGGCTTTTTTAACCAATGATGTTAGCAGCTCAGCTCACTGGACTAAAGCTCCGCCCAGTCACGCACGCATACACATTAAGTGCATGTGCACTGTGAGGAAAGTCGCGCCATTACCTCGTTTTAATACAATTAGGTGAGACGTTCTGTTAGGTGAGACGTTCGGTCTGAAACAAACAACATACACTACAGTGTATGTGATAGAGCAGACAGAGGACAGTACGGGAATAGCGTTTTTGCCACAGTCAGTTTGTTATTCATTTTCGCAACACTTGATATAAGTCTGTGTTTAAAATGGATGACTTGGACGGAATCATCGATGCCCTACCAATCAAATTCGACTTCAAACTTCGGGAAAGACAGAAAAATGTCATACAGCTCCTACTGAAAAAGAAGGATGTCCTTGCCATATTGCCAACGGGGTCAGAAAGGAGTGCCATCTTTGCTTTGATGCCTCTCATTCACGATAAGGTAAGACAACACTGGCATAAACGAAGTGTTTAAATAGCCGTAAACCGGTGCCGCATTTGTTTCCGTTCATATCCGGCATTTATCATTTGTTTTCCGATTCGTTGCTTTGGAACATTTTGTTTATGGGAAGTCCGAAATTGTATTAGGTCTGCCGGATTGCCATCTCGTACGTGAATAGGAAGTCACAACAAAGCATGGAACCAGACGAAGATTCGTTGCACAGTCCAAAATTAACTCACTGAACATGTTCAGTGCTGTGCCGGTAAAAGAGCTTAACATAAACGGGGACCAGTTTACGGTCAAATATACACCGAATATTTAGAACCAACGTGAAGGTATGTAATTTTGGGCGCAACTTATTTCTGCATGACCTTTACCGTATCTATTTATTAAAGTTACGATCTGAAACTGATATTCAATGACATTTCCAATGTTCAAAACAGACTGATAATGATACTGAGGTTTTGCATCAACGTGATATTTTCAGGGGAAGGGAACAAGCACCGCCATTTTGGACGATGGCGTGCTCGATCGATCGTGGGTCACGTTGCGATTATGCATAAAGTACATCTTCTGGTGGCATTTCAAACGAGTCTCCAATACGTCATCGGCTTACCCCCAAACATTCAACAACAAAAATGCAAGATGATGAAAGAAGCCTTCATTTGATATGTCTCAAACACCTAATTGGATTATTGTTTGTATTGTTTTCTGAATTTCTGAAAATATGTACTATTTTCATCAATGGGGTTTAGGCCTAGGACAGTTCATTATTGACTAGTCTGCAACCGTAGGCGTCCAAAAATGGTGGGCACGTGGGTGACCACTGACCTGTGACGTCACGTGAAATACTCCGATTAATGAAATCCTGCATGACAATCGAATCAAATAAGTGGTTTCGAAGGGAAAAAATATTTGCACATGTGACTCCCTCCACACACTGCCCCATAATACCTGGATCGTGGATTAAACTCCAATAAGCATTTTACGTGTTCATTCTTTACACGGGCGTCGGCCGGGTTTAATTTCTGGTTACATTAATTGAGTCCAAACAATTGGGACTCTCAATACTGTGTATCCATGAGTCCCAAAACTTAAGGTATTGTCAGCATACAATACTAAAGAAATTAGACTGGCACCTGAAACAGCCAAGCCGACAACCCTCCAGTACTGCAACAATTAGCTGTGCCAAAAGAAATATCTGCCATGTCTGGTACGGCTAGCTAGGTCTCCATTTCTAAATACGTATCTATAGTCAGCCTTCAGATTAATGAAAAGGTCTGTCTTTTCAAACCGTTGGACCATGGTTGGACATGTAGCCTACCAGTCTAGTCTTTAGCCTCATAGTTATGTAACTTGACTTCCCTCTGAGGTGCACAGTATTGAAGAAAAACCTCCTTTAAACAAATGATGACATGTATTAGTAGTGGCGCTTAAATGTTGTGTTTTTCCTGTTAAAATGGAGCGAACTTGTGATTAGAGTATTCAAATTACTAAAGTATTTGCAAATGACATTTCACAGTAACGACACAATGCAATCTGTACTGTATTTCTATGTTATGTTTTGTTAAATTGAGTGGGACATATTTTGTTTGATATTGTTTTGGTAACTCGGTCACTTTCTTTTTAACTTACCCCGTAGCTGACTCCAGAGGGCAGGAATCATACTGCAATTGTGATATCACCGCTGAGGGCGCTGATGACGGAGCAAGCAAACAGATGGTTCAATGCAGGCATAAACACTTGTTGCATTTTGCCAGAGATGAAAGACGAGGAAAAAACTGGTATTCTGACCTTTCCTTAAAACTCTCCTTCTGTTTGAAAAGTCACAGGCAGTCAAAAAGATAAATCTTTTTTACCTGTCATGCATTTTACACAGGCTAGACACCAACAATCAGATCATATTTCAAGCAGGCATAGTGACTAGTCAAAGTTACTCATCAATCAAAAACAGGCAAGAAGTAGGCACAGCTGGCTTATCAATCACCCACAGTCAAATCATAGCTGTATCAAGTTGTTTAAAAATCCACACTCTATCCATCCTGCTTTGTGTAGGCTGGGAGCTCTGTTAACTCCAGAACCACACATCTTCTCAGCAGAGATTTTCCACGTGGTGTTACCGCAAACCTTAAAGAGTAAACTTCTGTTTATTGGATACCTATTTAGCAGGTGCCTATTGTATGCTTTTCGGGTTTTTTTCTCTCAGCAATTATGCAGAAGGGCGCCTCCCTCGTTTTTGCATCACCAGAGGCCTTACTAGATGATGACCAACCATGGAGACAGTTGTTGAGAACATATAGGAAGCACGTTTGCCTCCTTGCCTTCGATGAAGGTCACTGCATTGCTCAAGAGGGGTAAGGCCTGAACGGAAAACAATGACAAATCCAGGGCCGACTGAGTCATCACATGCATGCATTTTCAGACCATGCTACTGAATTTTTCAGTATTCGTGATAACTTCGTTTTGGTGAACACAATCCTTTCTCCATGAATAAACGACAACGTGCAGAGGCAAACAGACACAAATCGCCGTCAATGTTTCAGGGGGAGAAGAGTTCACTTGTTGTTCATATTCAAAACACAAAGCTGATACCAAAAAAAATGTTTCAATCTTGATCGGAGATACGTGTAGATATAACAACAGTGAAGATTACGGACATGTTATCTCATTTGATTTATAGTACTCACCTTGTACATGTTCTTTGTGGTACTGTTAAGGTTACATAATATCAATTAGCGCCTGAGTTATTTTTCTTTTGGTGCTTCATAATTATCATTTTGTCTTTCTTTTGTGGTTTCTGCTTGTAGAGTTAAACCTCAAAACAACACTTACTACTGCACACCAGATTGAAATAAATTAAAGTACAGATTAAGTAAAAATAAAGTAATTTGATAAAAGTAAAGATATATTGCTTGTTAAATGAAGATATCCTACATGACTGTGTTTTTTTTTCATATCTCGTAGGATATACCCATATAAAGTGTATCCTTTCTAATTCACGTTCCCGTACTGAATTAAAAAAAAGACTATAACCACAAACCGTTACAGATTGTATTTTATACTTCATATATATGTTGAACGTTACAGCGAACCAGACAGTGGCATATACAACTACAACTACGTTGAAGAACTTCGTGGGATACTGACAGATGTTCCAACATTAGTTATGACGGCAACATTACCAGCAGAACAACGAAGCAACGTTCTGAAGATTCTACATCTTAATCCCAAAGATACCACAACTGTTGCCCAAAACCCAGACAGGTAAGTGGTGCACAAATGATTAATTATAGACCATGGAAAAATATGTCTCCTATTCATTACTAAATTATACTTATAAGAACGCATCGGATGGGTGGGTAATTTCTTTCTGTCCCTTTAGCCAGAAAAAAAGGTGGTCAGTGTGCTTTATTTAGTTATATTTTTTGTTCTACATTGTATTTTTGTTCTAAATTGTATTTGTGTTCTAGGCATATATTGTTGGTTATATTTAATTGTTCCATTTAATACCATTGTGTGTTTTTTTTTTACATATATCCCACGATATATTCATATAGCCCACATGAACCTGCACTCAATACAAATAACAAATAGGTACATTACACCTGTGTAGTTTATTTAAACTAAACATCTGTTAATTGTATATAACAACTTCTGTGGTATTATAATGATACTATATACCACAAATACATGCATACATACTTTATACTGTGTTTTTCTTTTGGAAAATAGATTCAAAAGAGAATTACATTTCACGTTATACTGTACTCCATAACTTTTTACTGTGCTCCATAATCCCATAACAAGTGGGGGAGTGTGGCCTAGTGGTTAGCATTCATGATCAGAGGATCAGCGGTCCGAATCCAGCCGTTTGTCATACGTTGTGTCCTTGGGCAAGCGACCTCATCCCAACTTGCTTTTCTCCACAAATGTTTATCAGTGGGTACCGGCATTGGAGTAACCTGCGAATGACTAACATCCAGTCCAGGGGGAAGATAACTAAACTTAGTCTCGTATTCCTAATGATGTGCCACATTGGCTTGTTACAGACATTACTTACTTTTTATGACTTATGTCTTCACAGACCCAACGTATTCCTCAAGTTTGTTGAGAGGAACAAGCCGGGTCAGGAAGGTGGCAATGTGCCGAAGTGGCTGCAGGACTATGTGGAGGAATTGCAACAACAAGGTACCAAGGCACCCAAGGCGATCATGTATTGCAGGTATGTATGTACGTATGTAAAAATGTGAATGTTGTGAAAATAAAGCAGCCAGTATTCACTGTGATTGGTAGCCAAACTGTTGATGTACTACAGGTCTCATTCTTTGAAAATCTCTACAACTGCATGTTGGTGTGAGACTCATGACACATCTGTCATTGCTTTGTCTAGCTCTACCTGTTCATCTCCGGTGCTTGACATTCTACATGTACAACCCTGAACAGGAGTTTACTGCGAACTTGATCTGTAATTTTAAAAATTCAGTCGAAACTGAAAAGTGTTGCACATTGAACACAATCTGTGTTTCCCTTTATACATATACCTACTTGACCCCATTTTATAATGACAGTGGCGTGAATATTATTTAATTACACACTCTTCCCTTTTCACTTTTTTTTGTAGACACATCAACACAGTTACTAGGATCTGGGGCTACATGATGGCCTCACTTGGGCAGAGGGCTTGGGTTACTCCTGGATCTAAAAAACCCTCCGACCTCATTGTCGAAATGTATCAATGCGGCATGACGATGGGATGTCAGGAGAGAGTAGTGGACAGGTTCACAATTGACAGTAATCTTCGCTGTATTGTAGCGACGATGCCCTTCGCTATGGGGATCGAAGTACCAGATGTGAGATATATTCTCCATTGGGGACTCTCGAGTAATATCACTGACTACTGGCAGGAGATTGGAAAATGTGCTGTGGACGGAAAACCTGGCGTGGCGCTTCTATACCCAGCTCCATCCATAGGACATACCCCAACTTCAAGCCAGACCTTCAAACAGCTGGTTTTGGACATTCAGGACGGGAAAGTTACCTGTATGAGAGCAGCATTTCTGTCCCAACTCTGGTTACCTGAAATGGGAGTACAGCCTGTTCGTTCCGATGCCAACTGTGATGGTCTGTGTGCTGGACAATGCAGATGTAATAAATGCGTCTGCTGTTCTCTCTGCCAGAGTTCCTGTCCATGTAGGAAGTAGTAAAGAAAACTGATGTTCATGTATACAACAAACAGTACATTGAAAGGTAGTTAATGAACACACTGTAAGTTCATTTGAGACATGTGTTGTAACGTAATTGTACAACCATGGGCAGTTATGTTGACGATGAGAAAATGATTTTGGAATTAGAAGATAAGGAAAGGGCTTATTCAGTGTATTGACAAGCAGTATGCACTAGTCTTCATCGATAAGGACAAATTACTCTTAGTTAATTAATTTTAAGGGAGAAGGTGAGATGAAAGGAAAAACTGAAACGACTATCTCTGGATGTGGGTACCGATAGCTTTGCTTCGTCGGGGAGCGATGGATGGCTAACAATATACCGGATGTGGGCTCTGGTAGCCACTATTAGCGGCTTCCTTAGGGAGAGGCGGCTACCAACATCTCTGGTTGTGGGTACCGGTACCCACTGTTGCTTCCTTGGGGAGAGACGGCCACTAACATCCCTGGATGTGGGTACCAGTACCCACTGTTTGTTTCTTCCTTGAGGAGAGATGGCTACCTACACCGCTGGATGTGGGTACTGGTACCCACTGTTTGTTGCTTCCTTGGGGAGAGATGGCTAGCCACATCTCCGAATGTGGGTACTGGTACCCACTGTTTGTTGCTACCTTAAGGAGTAACATGTCGCTAACATCTCTGGATGTGGGTAGTACCCACTGTTAATTGTTGCTTCCTTGAGGAGAGATGGCTACCAACATCTCAGGATGTGGGTACCGGTACCCACTGTTTGTTGCTTCCTTGAGGAGAGATGGCTACCTTCATCGCTGGATGTGTTGTAACCGGTACCCACTGTTTGTTGCTTCCTTGAGGAGAGATGGCTACCTTCATCGCTGGATGTGTTGTAACCGGTACCCACTGTTTGTTGCTTCCTTGAGGAGAGATGGCTGCCAACATCTCAGGATGTGGGTACTGGTACCCACTGTTTGTTGCTTCCTTGAGGAGAGATGGCTACCTACATCGCTGGGTATGTGGGTACCGGTGCCCACTGTTTGTTGCTTCCTTAAGGAGAGATGGCTACCAACATCTCATTATGTGTTGTAACCGGTACCCACTGTTTGTTGCTTCCTTGAGAGATTGCTACCAACATCTCTGGATGTGGGTACAGGCACCACTGTTGGCTGCTTCACTGAGGAGAGATGGCTGCCAACATCTCGGGATGTGGGTACTGGTGCCCACATCCTGAGATGTTGGCAGCCATCTCTCCTCTAGGTACAGGCACCACTGTTCGCTGCTTCAATGAGGAAATATGGTTCCCAACATCTCAGGATGTGGGTACTGGTGCCCACATCCTGAGGTGTTGGCAGCCATCTCTCCTTTAGGAAGGCTGGATGTGGATTCTGGTACCCACTGCATGTTTGCTGCTTCCTTGAGAGATGGCTACCAACATCTCTGGACATGGTTACCGGTACCCACTCTTGGTTGCTTACTTGAGGAAAGATGGCTACCAACATCTCTGGATGAGGGTTCTGGTACCCAATATCGGTTGCTTTCTTAGGGAGAGAATTAGGCTACCATCATTTTTTGGACGTTGCTACTGGTACCTGCTGTTGGCTGCCTCCTTGGAGAGAGACAGCTACCAACATCTCTGGATGTGGATACTGGTACCTACTGTGGGTTGCTTCCTTGAGGAGATATATGGCTATGCCAACATCTCTAGATCGATGTGCGTACTGGTACCCACTGTTGGTTGCTTTCGTGGGGATCGGAGACGGCTACCAACATCTCTGTGGGTACTGGTACCCACTGTTTGTTGCGTCATAGAGACAGAAAGCAGGGGAATGCATTTGCAAGGGTGAGTAGTTGCATCAGGAAAGCTACTGCCACCCTGCCATCCGAGAAAAATAAGTTCCTAACTGTGTTTATGAGTAGGACAGATGCTCTTTCAAATGTACATGTGGTTGGGGACATGTGTCTACTTTGAAAACCAACGCTGTGTGCAGGTTTTGACAAAAATTGTTGAAACGTTGAATTGACACTAGTTGTGTCATATATATGGTCATCTGTTTTATTGGTGTTTCAAAATAAACAGTCCAGTTCCTGAACCTCCTTGCATAACTTAGAAGTTTGGATTATGAAAATTATTAGTCTAGTTGTTGAAATCTGTCCAGATATCTAGCATCCTGGTGAGATTTTTGCCCGAATATGTCAGGCTAGTTCTTAAAGAGAGACTGCTTATAATCCGGAAAGGAAATGTGATGCGTTCCTGGATAATGTAGTCAAACAAACCATTATTTTGATATCCACTTCCGAAGTTCGGACTTGATTTTCTTCTTACGTGACGAAAAACATGGTTTCACGTGTAACATAGACACACCGTTATGATGTATTGTTATGGTGCTGCTTCAAAATTTGTCACAGTCTTTAGTAGGCCCTTCATGCAAGATGTGTTATTGTTTACTAGTTTACAACTTTTTTTCACTTTGTACACACTCGTTATGACAATAAACATGGAAGATGGTCACAAGTTTTGGTCACAGGTTTTTGTCACATAATGTGCCTTTTACATTTCAGTCGTGTACCTAACGAACCCCACGCCGTAATTTTTTGCACCCACTTTGTGGGGACCAAATGTTTTTGCCCCCCTATTTTTTTTTTGATCCGCCCTTGGTCGTGTAAAGGTTACGAAAGCAAACAAAAAATGTTTTAACCCGAGTATATCACCAATATATTTCATATTCAGTATTAAAAAAATATGTCATGATACATAAACTCTGAGTTACGTAATACAGTTACAAAGTTAATTCAATAACTAAAACGGTATAAAAACATATACGGTGTGATTACAAACTTCTATTATAATACTATTACAAAATATGTTTACGCAGAATTCAAAAACAAATTACACATAAAGACATCTTCTACTCTGAGTTTCATAAAGATGTTCAAACGTTAATTGAATAACTAAAACGTTACAAAAATATATGAGGAAAAAATTGAATTGAATATATATATTACAAAATATGTTTACGCAGTATTCAAATACAAAATAGTTTATACAATGATAAATCATCCACTATGAGTTACATAATGCTGTTCAAACGTTAATTGAATCAATAAAATGTTATATAAAAATATTTGTGAAAAAGTATTCATTAAACCGAGTATATTGCAAACATGTACATGCATTATTCAAAACAACTAATTTATACAATGAAACCGGTACATCATCCATTCTGAGTTGCATAATTAAACGGGAATTGAGAGATATATCCCACAGAAATAACAAAAAATCGTTAAGAGAAAAAATAAGTATCTTTCCAAGCAAATTTTCATTAAACAAAAATAATGTATGCTATGATACTCTGTGTTTCCTTGTGCAGTTTAAACCTGTCATTTAAAGAGACGTTACATCCTACAGAAACAAGTAAATATTAGACGAACATTTAAAAAAAAAAAAGTATGTTAAAGAGACCAAGAAAAAAAGCCGTGAGTACATTTTACAAAACAATATTGCATATGCAGTATTATACAAAAAACAATTCATGCCATTAACACTGAATGAGTCACAATATACATAAATGTTAAAGGAAAGTGTCTCGCTCCATTTCATAATAAAATATATAATATTGAATAGTACCTGTGAAAATTTCATGTAATTTGCATAATCTATTCCCAAGTTATATCTATTAAAAAAATCTACTGCCACCCTGCCATCCCCAAAAAATAAGTTCCTAACTGTGTTTATGAGTAGGACAAATGCTCTTTAAAATGTACATGTGGTTGGGGACATGTGTCTACTTTGAAAACCAACGCTGTGCGTAGGTTTTGACAAAAATTGTTGAAACGTTGAATTGACACTAGTTGTGTCATATATGGTCATCTGTTTTTTTGGTGTTTCAAAATAAACAGTCCAGTTCCTGATCCTGCTTGCATAACTTAGAAGTTTGGATTATGAAAATTATTAGTCTAGTTGTTAAAATCTGTCCAGATATCTAGCATCCTGGTGAGATTTTTGCCCGAATATGTCAGGCTAGTTCTTAAAGAGAGACTGCTTATAATCCGGAAAGGAAATGTGATGCGTTCCTGGATAATGTAGTCAAACAAACCATTATTTTGATATCCACTTCCGAAGTTCGGACTTGATTTTCTTCTTACGTGACGAAAAACATGGTTTCACGTGTAACATAGACACACCGTTATGATGTATTGTTATGGTGCTGCTTCAAAATTTGTCACAGTCTTTAGTAGGCCCTTCATGCAAGATGTGTTATTGTTTACTAGTTTACAACTTTTTTTCACTTTGTACACACTCGTTATGACAATAAACATGGAAGATGGTCACAAGTTTTGGTCACAGGTTTTTGTCACATAATGTGCCTTTTACATTTCAGTCGTGTACCTAACGAACCCCACGCCGTAATTTTTTGCACCCACTTTGTGGGGACCAAATGTTTTTGCCCCCCTATTTTTTTTTTGATCCGCCCTTGGGCGTGTAAAGGTTACGAAAGCAAACAAAAAAATGTTTTAACCCGAGTATATCACCAATATATTTCATATGCAGTATTAAAAATATGTCAAGATACATAAACTCCGAGTTACGTAATACAGTTACAAAGTTAATTCAATAACTAAAACGGTATAAAAACATATACGGTGTGATTACAAACTTCTATTATAATACTATTACAAAATATGTTTACGCAGAATTCAAAAACAAATTACACATAAAGACATCTTCTACTCTGAGTTTCATAAAGATGTTCAAACGTTAATTGAATAACTAAAACGTTACAAAAATATATGAGGAAAAAATTGAATTGAATATATATATTACAAAATATGTTTACGCAGTATTCAAATACAAAATAGTTTATACAATGATAAATCATCCACTATGAGTTACATAATGCTGTTCAAACGTTAATTGAATCAATAAAATGTTATATAAAAATATTTGTGAAAAAATATTCATTAAACCGAGTATATTGCAAACATGTATATGCATTATTATTATTGCATTATTCAAAACAACTAATTTATACAATGAAAACGGTACATCATCCATTCTGAGTTGCATGATTAAACGTAAATTGAGAAATATATCCCACAGAAATAACAAAAAAATTGTTAAGAGAAAAAATAAGTATCTTTGCAAGCAAGTTTCATAAAAAAAAAATAATTATGCTATGATACTCTGTGTTACCTTGTGCAGTTCAAACCTGTCATTTAAAGAGACGTTACATCCTACAGAAACAAGTAAATATTAGACGAAAATTAAAAAAGTATGTTTAAAGAGACCAAGAAAAAAAAAGCCGTGAGTACATTTTACAAAAAAATATTGCATATGCAGTATTAAACTAAAAGCAATTCATGCCATTAACTCTGAATAAGTCACATTATACATAAATGTTAAAGGGAAGTGTCTCGCTCCATTTCATAATAAAATATATAATATTGAATAGTACCTGTGAAAATTTCATGTAATTTGCATAATCTATTCCCAAGTTATATCTATTAAAACAAATCACGAAATTCAGCCATTCACCACTGATCATTAACCGTCTTACGAATAGCCTTTAGTCAAGGCCCACGCGCTTACACCCGGACACGTGACGCACTCCGGATGCTGACACGTAAAACACTAGCACGAGCGGCAAAGCCGCGAGGGCCTTTACCATCTCATGGAGAACGCTTATGTTTTTCTTTACATTTGTCTTCCGATTTGGTAGAAATGCATAATGCATTACCCGTTGTGAATTGACCAATGAAAATGCAGCATTACTATTGTAAA